GCCTCGTTTAAGTGCAATTTCTTGTTATTAGAATCTCTAAACAATGTATTTACTACATTTGTATAACTTTGTACTTTAACAAAAAAACTGACTAATATACTTAGTGTATGTCTGTATTTTGGAAAATTTTATGAGTATGTGATAGTACCTTTCATAAATTTTCTACGATTCCATCAGAAATATAATATATAGAAGTTTCAGTTTCAATTTTTTTGTACTATTTCATAAAGCAAAAATGGAATTACTCCTACAATGTTATCGACTCTGTCCTATGCGAATAATATTTTGTCCACGATCTCTTCACCAAAACCAATTATTTTATGAACACAAAATAGAACAGCAACGTGATTTTCGGTTCAAATAAACCGGCGGCTGATATAAAAGTAAAAATACCCCGTCAATGGAGAATCGAGCGAGAAAATTCGCAAAAACAGGATTTTTTACCGTCAACAGATCATCAATGATATAACGAATAAATCATGTGTATACAGGAGCATCGGCGTTTTATTAACGCTCGATCGACACGAAAAAAATATTCACAAACTTTTACAAATCATTTGCATCTACCTTCAGACATTACAGAGCGTTTTTTAAGTATCCAGAGAGTGGAACGTTTACTTAGCAAACGTTCGTAGGTAATTTGTAACCAGGTCGTTGCTCTTCCGTCGACTTGACCCAAGAGAAATCTTCGCTAGAGTGAAAAATGGAGACAAATAATCGGAGGATCGGTTCCAGCGAGTAAAACTCTCCATCTCGACGTTGGTCCATTCATTCGTTACCTCCATTGTTCGATTGTAAACAAATTGTACTTATAATGGTCAATTTAATGCGCTGGCATAACATAACGAAAGTTATAAATAAAGTCATTCATGAATCAAAGTTTTTTATAATGGTTAAATTTATCTTACAAGTTATTTAGGCTTAATTCAGAAGTTTGTATATCGTGCTAGCAATTAGAGTTCAAATTGAATTTACAAGATTTAGGTTGGGTAAGTGACCTGAAAGCTATTTTGTCTGTGTTTTACTACATTCTTATTTTTTCATTATCTCGTTTATTAATTTTAATCATGAATAGAATAAGCCAGAGATTTAAACAAAATCCGCACATATCCGGATTAAGATTCTTTTCGACAAAAAAATTCCCATTCAGTATTCATCGGCCAGCTCTTGCGAGTAGCTTAAAGAATAAAAAAAAAGGAAAAACTCTTCGTCCATTTTCGTCATTTGTCTTCATATTATTCGCGACTTTTCCGTGTAAAAAGCGGTCTTTCGCCGCATAATTTTAAACTTTACGACTTTCAGCAATTTGTATGAGTGCTCCTGCTTGCTACGCTGCTATATCGCTTTTCCAATATAATATGTAGTATATTATTATTAGGCTACGTACGGGTAATCTCACGTTTATGTAAATAATGCAGTCGGTAAATTGCTATAAACCTTAAGTATACATATAATATGAGAGTAAACATACTTTAAGTTGATTGAAGTAGTTACCTTTTCGATTTAACCGTGGAATAGTGTGTGAAAACTGAGGTTTTTGAATGAATTGTCTGAAATAATTTGGGGTTATGATTAAATTTAAAACGTAAAGACAAACAATAAAGCACTAGATTAAAGTACCTAAATGTAATCAAATCTTCATTGTTTAAAAAATACGAGGTATACAAGACAATGTACAGAAAATAACAAAAACTACGAAAATAGATTAAATAGAATAGTGTTTTCGTTTTGCTGCATTATCTCGATTATAAACTAAACTAAACTGAACAAACCCCGATGAAAATATATTTGGACAAAACCTTTTGTTCAACATAAAATTTAATCTAGGTAAGTACACCATTGTGATATGAATTGTGTAAGGCCAGTGGAGAAAAATAGCCATTTTATTCATATTTTGATAAAACAGTTTTTTTAGAGAATAATTCGTCCAGCCGGATGAGTTTGTATCAGCGTATGTGGGTTGGAATGCATCCATATAAATATTTTTATAAAGCCTACGCAATAAAGAGGAAAATGTGCGATAATTACAAATAAAGCAATCATTCTGTTTTTTTAACGGAACATCTCGCAAACTGTTAATATGGTTTAGATAAAAATTAAATGTTATTTTTAATTACTATCTGCATCAACACAGGACGTAACTAAATTAATAGTTCAATTTTAATAATCGATTAAAAGGGCTGATGAAAAATTATCCAAGCGTTAAACAGAGTGTGCAGTAAAAAGTTTTGTAATTGCTTATTAAAGTGGCGACAAATTAAAAATTCACATGGGCCATACCTCAAAAACTAGATAGAATTTACATACATACATAAAACAGTTTCTTTAATTAACGGTAAACGGTTCTTATATTGCTTTCGAATGGTCATTGTTACCTATTGTTAAAAATGGAATACATCATACAGTACCAAAAGTCGTACTATTGAAATAATGCTAGAACACTGATCCGAATATGGCACACGGCAACAAAGGTGCACTCGAGGAAAGCAGGTGCAAACCAACAAAAACATTCTACTTTGTTCAATCACCTGGCAAGTTTATCTGTACAACTTGTGTAGATACAATTGTTAAAATATAGGTAGAAACGACTTATATGGGCGCATGGTAAAAACATGGTTACCAAACAAGGTAGTTCATCGCCATGAAAATTGGTTAACGAAATTCATAGATAAATATTAGTTAATTTATCATAAGTATGCCTTTATTAGTAACATTTTAAATGAAAAAATATCTGTTTTAAGAATCATATTTCTTTAGAATAAAAAATGTTTATCAGAAAGATTGGTTTCTATTTAATTAAGGCTTCCAGTACCATTTGTGACGTCTGAGTAAAAACTGGAACGATTGACTCAAACACGCACGCTATACAATCATAGAAACCGCACTTATAAAAATGAATCAATACGCATTAGATAATACAGGCACACCCGAGAAAACATTATCACCTTTAAAAGCTGGGTGGAAACCAAAAGCACAAACAAGGAAAAAATTGTTTACTTTGTTATACGTAAATAAAAATATTTCCAGCAAGTCCCTTTGCTTTTTTTTTGAAGACACAGCTGAGACAACCGTTATTATTACAAATTAACCAACAATGAAACGATACTTTGTTTCTGTCATCGTTATAGAAATAAAAAATATTTTTAGTCATGTATTTGCGACAATCGATTTTCATCACCCCATTGTATATTCGTTAGATATTGTTATGCAGTCTATTATTGTCGCAGTCTTACGTAAATGGAAGGTACATTAGACTCAAATAAAACCGAAATATTTGTTGTGTCACCACTTTTGATTTCATTAGTTACAGAATTTTATTTACCTAATCTATTATCAATTTACCATACCAATTTTAAAGCATTTAAACAAAGTTAAATTGTGTCTCTTACAGTGTGATAGGAAAAACTGTGATGTAAAATACAATTAAATATTCTTTGTTTTTTCCAGATATTTTCGCAATATTAGCGGAATATTATTTTTAGACTGTTCGCAATTTGAATTTTTAAGGCTGCTTAATTATTCATTTTCTATTGAACAATATTTTATACAAACCGAATGTTCATATTTTGCACATATGACTTGGAAGTTATATTAACCTTAAGTGCGTGAAAAGAAATTCTCATATTTAGATGTAACTAGTTTCCGATAATTCATTTTTTCCCAAGGTCTGCTGATCACATGCCGCAATTACATTACACAATAATTATCGTTAATTTGATGTCGGACTTTACTCAATAGTTTGTTTGTGTGTTAGAAGTTGAAAAAAAAATGCAAAGTTGGATTTTCTATATTCGATTTCTTTTCGCAAAAATTGCATTTTTACGACATTTTATAATTCTACAAATATATCCTTTTATCAATGCGTCTACTTAGAATTTTAGTTAATATGTCAATAAATATTAAATAGTTATTAATAAATAACTTGATAACATAGATTAGGTATAAAAATACAATAATAGGGGCCTGAAAATAAATTTACATCTATCCGAATATTCACATCATTTCGGCTGAATTATTCAGTTCTAAATTCGAATGCCCAAAGGGCAATAAATTGTACGTGATGAATCGATTTCGTCGCCCAAAGTACGATAGCCAAAATAATGCTGCGCTAAATTTATCCAACATTGCCAAAAAATCGTTGACCCCGTTTTGCCGAAAAATTATCACATTATCTTCGCAAGTACTGCGTGGTGACCGCAATTTTCAAAATCGAATTTTAATTGGTTCCATTTAAACATCAAATTTGCGAGGGATAATAACCGAATGGTTCGGGTAAACATTTGCTACTGTAAAATTCGATTGAGATGTGTACAGGATGTCGCAAAATAGGGAGTTTCATCTCTAAATAAAGGGCGATGGATGCTCATTTTCTTGAGGAGATAATAAGTACCTATGTTAAATTAAACAAAAAAATATATTAATGGAATAGGTTTGAGTGTACTTTTTTAAATCTAAGTGGTCTTTGGAAAAATTATACCTAATTATTCATAATTAGTTAACATCTCTTTAAATACGATAAAATGATTATTCTAATCGGTATTGCTACTATTGCTATTAATAAACGTAAATACTATTTATATTTTTGGAGTACATTAATTTCTATTGTAATCGCAAAATTGTGACCTTATTTCGATATAAAATCGATTTATATCCTTATCGAAATCACGAATGAAATCTTTGATTCAAAAGTGATACAAAACGTAAGTGACGAGAAGTCAGTAAAAAAATGTTTGAATAAATAAAATTCGACGATTCAATAATAGATGTTGAGGAATTTTCTTTGTACATTTTGTAAGGTATTTTATTTTTTATATTTAACCGGCTAAATTCCTGCACTATTTACATACAAATTTAACGAGCCTGTAATTATCATTATTAAACTAAAAATAAATTCGTCCCTGATGGAAACCAATATGCATTTTCCGTTTTCTCGTCCGCGAATCGAGCGCTTCACGATAATAACTATTCGATAGTTTGCAAATTTTCGGAATTGTTCTTACCTTAACGTACCACTTGACGGTTTTTTTGTTGCTTTTCCTAGGCCCGGTGCACACGCAAAACCTGAACCGGCTCCTTCGCAGCGAATCCGCGCTCTTCTCCTTCGCCGGACTCTTGTTCACGCATTTCGATGCGAAAAATTTGGTCTTCTCCGTGACACTGTGGTAGAGTTCGTGCTGAATCCCGATCGGCGATGAATTCGTCGGCAACAACATCGATCGCGAAGGCGAAAACTAGCCGCTTTTCGATTTACCGGTAGTTAAAAAAAATCACAAAAACCGACTCATTCAAAAACACATTCCAAATTTCTCACCGGCTTCGGCATTATTAAAAAACCCGTCAATGACGAATATAAATACACCAATCACGAATCTCGCGAAGTTTCATTGATAATCGGTGCGAAGGAAGGAGGCGAAAAAGATTGGAAAAATCGCTGTAGACGTGGTTAAAAGAAGGAAAAGTCCGACTGGAAATCGATAAGGCGACGTGATTGCCGGTCGGCGCGTTTAAATCGTTCGGCGAGCTTCTCCTACACCGCCGTTCTTCGATCTACTGACTACTGAAAAGCAAAGCGTTTCATACAAACAAATGAGATGTCACGCCGTGAATTCGACGACGGAGAGCGGAGAGAGCGCCGAACGTGTACGTTCCGCGATCGGAGTACGCATGCGCCGATTACCTTTTACAGGGGTGCTCGAGAATTATGGTAATTTTGATTTTTAAGTCGCTCATCTACAGGCAAATCGCCCTCTTCATGCTAATGCTTTTTAAGTTTTGAGGTGTCTTTCTACAAAAGATAGTACTTACCAAAAAATTGGCATTGTTTTGCTAAAGATTTTTTAGTATTACAAGGGGTAGACGATAATTACCTATATTAATTTTGGAGTTACTTGCTTTACTTAAGGGTTCCTTTAGGGTTGTCAATGAATTTCCTAAAGACTTTTAAAAAGAATAAATAATGTTTTCCAAAGAAACTCTAGAATGATAACTTTATAGTCTGTATGACCTGAATCGTTTAGGAGTTTTTTAGTTTGGATTTTTTTATGAATTTGGAAAATAACATTTCATGATCGTCACATTAATAAATTCAACAAATTTCATAATTTTATATAGTTTATTCATGTTGTTTGAAATACCTAATATTTTCGATATTATTGGATGCAACCACACAAATACTCCCTAACAACCTATAAATTTGCTTAATTTGAACCCTGTTGTTAAGATAATGTAAATTTAGTGAATAGCATTTCCCTGCCAAAGTGTAACTAAACTCTTCTTTGAAATATTCCTAATGAACTTTCGAACAATAATGAAGAAATTTTCCGTTAAAAACGTATCTATAATTTCAACTCGATTCCAAGTGATGCGACCATTTACCTAACAGTAATTTAAATAACGGAAGAAGTAGCTAATTTTTAATTGGAGCAACACTTCTTCTCATTAGGACAGGAAGTTTTAATGGGAACTAGTTGTAATTCAACTGAGAAGATAAAACTTTATTTTAATTCTAATTATAATTTAAACTCCGCAGTTAATGCAGGGTGGAAGTTATTGATTACAAAAGTTTAATCCAAAAAACCAAAAAGTATAACAAACTATCACAGCTGTCTACTGCTTATAATAGCAATGGAAATAAAATTACGCACATTAAAGTATTTAAACATTACATTTATGTGTTCCAGAAATTAATTTAGCGCTAATTTCATTAGTGTACGTTCCAATTACCTTCCAACGGCTTCGTTTGCCGCTGATCTCCTAGTTCCTCCTAAACTAGGGCATCCTACATACCGCTATAGATTAAAATTAACCCTTCATCCATTACATAGACTCTTCCGGTACGTTGAAAAACCTTTTTATTAATTACATACAGCTTTAGAGCCGAGTTTAAGCGCTCCAATTTAAACATTAATGAATTTTACCGTCACATCCCTAAAATTGATATACGTTGTTATGTTACTGTTAGGTAGTAAAAAATGTCTAACATAAAGTTGATATTTTAGCTACTCAAGTGTGTGTAAAATACACTTTAAATTCGATTTCACTTTACCTGTGTTGCGTTAAAATGAAATTTCCACTGATGGAAATAAACTTTTAATTGTAGCAATTTTTGCTGTTTGCTAATGTCATTTTGCCGATGATAAGACACGTATAAAACCGCTTTATGGAGCAGAACAAATTGCGCAATTTTCATGAATTCGTTGATGCATCAAACGTATTATCATCTCCTTTTACGTAATTGCAGCGTTTTTCATTTCTTAAGCGAGGCGACACGTGCATGATAGTAGGCATTTGCATTATGTGGGTACATAAAATTACAGAACAATCGCGATATAAATCGCAATTAATGTGAAGGTACTTACAGTAGAAACATAGTATAAATTTCAGTTTGTGATTTCACTCATTGATTTACTAAGTACTCTTTGAAAATTTGTGAGAATGCATAACACACAAATCACCCGAAAAGAAAGTTTCAAAATCTAGTAAAGCTCGGTTTAGAAATTATTTTTCACAACTTAACGAATTTCTGAAGGTAGTTCAGCATAGTGTAAATCCAACATAACATTTGCACCACAATCTTCAATTCACTGTAACCATAATAGATGCAATTTTAATTGCTTGTGCAGCGCTAATTGTTTTCGAATAACAAAATGCAAGTTTACAGCACGAAACGATAAACACGTAAATAAACGCTGAAATTTATTGGAAAAATAATCTCGATTCGGTTCCGTTCGACTTGAAAACTCCGTTTCATTGTGCAACGTAGAAACAATTAGAAGTTCCGCGAAATTATGATTATGATTAATTTTTTCAGCTGTGTAAGTACGTGTTTGTGTCAACCAAAACATGAACATTAAACAATAAGAGGAAAATTATTATCATTTAGAGTGCATGTGTGATACAGATGCATACACTCTTTTTTATAAAGAAAATTAATATATTTAAATTGGAGTAAAGATTATTGTTATATATTCTACTCACGTACAGGGTGTTTCATTAACTAAACTAACATAAGGGAGTTATGTAAAAGATCTCAAAGTAGCTCATATACAATAGGTCTTCTGAACGTCATCCTTCTGTAAGATTCAGGACCCTTTATGTATTTTAATAAAATCGACCCCGATCTCTTTGAATATGTAATTTCCTTTTATATTAGAACATCAAAATGTAATTGTGTGCATTATCCATTGTCACAGAGTACATGCAGACAAATTATTATTAATACGTCCTGACGTTTTCCCCGAGGTGCTATCAATCAAACTATTTTCCTGCTAAAAAAACGCATCAAAACAGCAACGCTGACGCCAGGAAATGGTCGGCCAGTCGAATTTATACGCAAACGACGAGCGGCCAAGTCGCGTGAAAAAACCGATTAGATGAGCGTTGGGAAACGTATCAAATTTTATTCCGTACCACGCGTTTCCTATCACGGGATTATATTAGTCCTCCTGCCCCATTGATGTAACAGCGGGCGTCGCAAATAATAAAACTATACAAGGTGGTCCTGGTGCTGACCAACTTTCAGATCTTCTTTCAGTTCCTCAAAATTTCTCTTCCTCAAAAACACACAATATAAATGATGACATGTAGATATGGGTAATGCAAATTTTTGTTTGCAATTGCAATATGATGGATTCTACGAGTTGAATAAAGAAAAATTATTAAAATAACAGTAGAGTGACAAAATTGCCATCCCCACAATACCACTCTTTCTTTTTCCTTTACATGAGATTAATGAAAGTCTAATGGAAGAGTATACTGTCTAATTTTTAACACAAAAATTTATCTGGTGAGAGGGAAAACGTTAACAAAAAAACCGGTCGTTTTCAGCGCTCTCTAATAGGATAAAAGCCATAAAAACGTTAACTAATTGGAATCAAACCTAACCTTGCCGCAGAATCTCACAAATCCAGAAACCCCTTTGAGGAACTAATCCAATTCCGCTTCTTGTTGAGTGTGAGATAAGTTCAAATTAGCCATTAATTTTATTATGTTTTTTCGCACAATTTAATATACTTTACCCAAGGTGTTATTAATAAATGTTCTTTTATATTTTTGTTCGGTTGAAACTCTATATTATTCAAGCATTTTCCGCTACACTGTACTGCAATATACTAATTGAATATTTGCATAACCTCAGTCGTTTCAAGTAAAAGATACTAGTAAAAGTACCTAAATAAAACATACCATTAATTTAGCTAATAGATTAAATTAGATTAATTGAAGTAGGTATTGCAGCCAAGCTTTGGTAAATTTAATTAGCTTGAATTCAATTAGAAACGACGGCAGAATTCCTTAAAGAATTCGAGAAGTAAGTTGGAAAATCTACCAATCTCCAGAGAAATTTCTGAAGTATTTTCAATTATAAGGCGACTTTTTCTATTTTCAATTCTCTCGTTTAAATTCTAAAGAAATCGAAGTGAAAACGACGGAATATTTTCATTAAAAATTTATTAATTCTTCATAAAGAAGCACATAAATTTAGATATAAGATATATATATAAAATACGATATTTGCGAAATTTAATTAGTTCTTGTAAACAATAAATTAATGTGATTATAGGTACACATTATATTATAGGTTAGTGATTATAGGTTATTAATTGGTAATATAATATTGGTAAGTTATTGGCAAGTTATAATATCATTATTGTTTATAATACTTACCTTCCATAACAAAAAAAATATTATTGTAGAAATTAAAATTGTATAATAAATAAATAACAAAATCTCTCATCAAAATACATCACTTAAAGGCAGATGCAATATTTCATAAACAAACTAATATACATATGTCTGATGGTGTCTCCAAAATATGTCCCATCAAACATTTAGTAACTTAATCAAAGTTCAATAGCAATTTGAATTAATAAATATCCTTTTATTTTTCTCTCGTCAATAAATAAACAACAAACATTTTTTCCCAATCCTAAAAACTGTTACAGCAGGAATAAATTGTCTATTGCCATATTATACAATTACAAGAAGTGCGTATTTGTGGTGTAAAACTAATAAGAAAACGAATGAGGTGAGTATGAAAGATCAATGGAATGTTGGGTAAGTTAGTTTTCAAAAAACGCGAATTGAATGCTAATCAACTTGCGAAAATACAAGGTTAGAATGCGAATGAATTAACAAGCAGTACATAGAAAAGATTTTACTTTCAGTTTTGACTGAAATATCGAAAATTTAACCAAAGTAAATTGATTGATATGTAAAAATATTCATATTAAAATCATAAAGTAAACAATTTAGTTAGCTAAAAGGTCTACCTAATATACCCACCAGTTTCTAGAAAATAAAAAATAAATTTATACATTCCTCTACAACTTTTGGTTCCAAATGTCATTTCACTCCTTTTAAAAAGCCAACAGTTTCATAATTTAGTACCGTTAATTAGAAAATCCAGCACAAAAATTATAATGGAACAGATTTTCCCACACAATCATTTGAATGTAAAAAAACAGAGGAATAGAAAGTTGACTGTAAGTACTAACTACAAGACACTAGGAAATAGTAAGGATATTTCGAAATGAGTTCACCTCAAGGTTAATATGACAAAAAATAATAGAAAAAATACTGACCAAACTGTCGTCATCGTTCATTTTTTCCTGGGCATGTTGGTTTAGTTTTCCTGTGTTTCCTTTATGAAGTCGTAACAACTCAAGGCACTACAATTTTCAGACATTTAAATAAACACTGTTCCACTCATCGCGATTAATTTGCAACACTTATCATTACTAACACATTTGCTAAAGACTTTTTTAAACGGAACACCAGTTTCTACTCGAGAAACTTTACACATCTGTCAGATTGAAAGTAATCAACAAGCCGGAAAACAAGCTGTAATTTAAAATAGTGCCGTTCGACCGAGTAAAATGAACTTGCAAACAATATCCATTAAATGTTTAATCGATTAATTGATTAATTATCACAATTTTGTCATTAATTTTCTCCGGTAACGGAGTAAAAAAGCTTTCTCTTTTCTCAAAAATTGAAAGCTGAAGGATTTATGACATGACACTTGTCACTTCGCTGTCACTGTCAAATGTCAATCACGATTTTTGTTTAGGTAGTGCCAATGTTGAATTACTTAAATTCACTAAGTTGATAAACTAGCAACGTGTTTGTAACTAAACCGGCGTTGTCAGATCTCCGTTAACTTCATTGAAATCGTGAAAAATGTTTTAAACTTGCTGAAAAATCTTAACAAAACTATGACAAATCGCTACATAAATTCTTAAATTTAGTTAAAAATCGTTTAAAAAGTTTACTAATACCGCAAAGAACGATATTTAAGAAGAAATATAGTGATTGCATTTTTTAAACTGTCATCAGTAAATATTTCAAATTTTGATCTGGCATCATTGTGTATAAAATTACATTTATTCCAAGTATTCGAATACTAACCAAACTTTTTATTACCAATTACAAATGTCAAGTCAACGCTTTATATTTTGAAACAATGAGAGTCGTGAACTAGTTTTCGCGAAATAGGTGTAACTGTGGTTCCCAAATTACCAGCCGCGCAGAAATTCTTCTTTGAATAATTTATTGCAGTGTGTACATATCTCTTTAGCTCATTGGAAGTGCGTCAAGCAACGAAAGAAACGTCATAGGTGGTTATAAATAGTCAAAACCACTTGTTGATTTAATTACATTATCATCACTTCGATAAAAGAATAGTATCGATTTATAAATTCATGTCGCTTCCTTAGAAAATGCAAGAAGGCTCACTCGAACGTTGCGTGGACAATTCTCCCGCTCGCTCCCCCGTAAAGGATCCTCCAAAAAAGCCTCCGGTGAATAGTGCGAAGAGCTTGTCGAGGGACTATTCGTTTCAAAGCGACGACGGGACGAATAGCGTGTGCTCCAGTGTAGAATCGTTCTTGGAAATGAGAAGGCCCGATCCCGAAGAAATGCTTATGGAGCTCGGCTTTGGACCCAGTAAGGACAACGAGAGGATCAATCGAATACCATCCAGGTTTTTGCATCCGTCGAAGGTAAGTGTTTTGTGGTTTATCGTAATGTTTATTATTGTTTACTTGCAGTGAATTATGATTGTTTTTTGTAGTTACTGCCTCATATAGACATTGGGAAATTTTTAGAGGAATACAGTACAAAAATGAAATCAGAAACAAAGTGAGTTTAACCTTTATGACTGCTTTTTAGTATTCATTCATGCATATGCATATAATTTACGAGGTGCTTAGTCATTTTTGTGATAAATTTTTTTTATTTCAGTTCTTGCCCTTTTCCGTCATCCAGAAGCCAATCTAGATCAAACTAAGTATTTTATCTAACAAATTTTTTGATCAATCCTTTTCTATGCGTATTGGTTGCGTTTGGAATTGATTCGTTAAGTGACGGTTATGCAGCCAATTGAAACATTCCGGTGAATACTGTGTTGTTTGAGAATCGAGTTCTACCAACAAATTATATGTATATTTTTTATAATTTTGTATACAACTATTTAATTTATTTTTTACTGTAACTTATTCAGTGCAAACTTGCCTTAACTTTGTTTTTGCTGTATTAATTTGCGTTTTTATGTCAGATTTGACAAATGGGAATTTTCGAATTTATTTACAACAAAAGAATTTTATTGGAATCAAAATTTGTAAAGTTTTTACATTTAAATGCTTTTATACCTACTTGTACAGGATGTTAAATTGAATGCCAATACTTTAGGATGTGAATATTTGGATAATTTTAAGATGAATGTATGTCCCAAACCTGTTAGTTTTCGAGAATAACTTTTTTTATTCTTATCATAATTTTCTTATTACTCCAGATATTTTGATGAAATTTTGTATACACTTTTTAATTATTAAGGATCATTTCTTGAAGCAAAAGATTTTTTAAATCTCTTTCTACTGATTGTAGCGCTTGAACTAGGACGGTCGGTATATTGATATAAACTTTTCTTCTTAAAATCATCCAAATATTCACATCCTGAAGTATCGGCATTCAATTAATGAACACCCTATATTTATATGCGTGTGATGAAACGAGATGAATGCCCAATACTTGCCTCTTGGTACCTATTTTTTGTGATAAATTAGATTTAGTCTATGATACGTATTTTTGTAACAAATGTACCGAACACAATCAAATCTCTTGTACGATTAAATTGTCTCAGAACCAATGTATATGTTTATAATGTTACATTTCTCTTTGCTCACTATTCGACTATATAGTGTTCTATAACTTATTCCGAATAAAACTTATTTAAGTTCAAAGTGTATGTGAAAAGTAAATACAAATATGTATTTCAAACTGTTGTTTTATTTATATTTATTCTGTTCAGTAGAGCAAACGCAAAGTTTAATATTATTTATAAAAATAACCTCTTGCTTTCAAAAAATGAAGGAATTGCTTCAAGGTATATGTATATGCATGAAAAGAAGTGAAGGAAGAGGTTTTGGAATAAATATGGATCAGAGCAGAACCTTTTCCTCTCACCTTTTGCTTCTACCTTTTATTTTTGACTCCAAATAAACTCACCTACACTGCAGAATATTCTATTAATAACCACCATCAACACAGCAGCATGCTCTGTACGAATTTTCTAAAAATAATCGGCCGGCTTAGCGTCTAGCCTAGCAGATACTCATTACATAAAATACTGGCAGCATTTTGTGGTAAATATGTCGGACTTCGACGATAAAGATTACAGATCGAGGTGCAGCGAGAAAACGCTGCAAACCGAGTGCAATGGCTTCTTCATGGACTTCGTTCATTTAGTGAAGGAAAACGCCGGAGAAACGTGGATCAAAAAAAAGTTCGGGCGATTGAAAAGCGACAAAGATAGGATCAGGAGTGTTTACGAATCTGAAGAGGTAAGTAACATGAATGTAAAGAATCTTGAAGTAATTGGAAATTTTGTAGACGAAAGAAATTGTTCTAAAACTACTATCAAACGTCCAGCAAGTATACAGAAAGAAAGACGGTACGATATCGATTTTGAAAAGGCTTGAAGCTGAAGCTGCGTTCGATGATGGCGATTTTAATAAATCTCTTCTGTTGTACAGCCAAAGTGTTCTTAGAGCCCCCAAAACAGGTATAGCTCTTAATCACTACACAATTGAGAAAATAAATTATCTGTCCTTTGCAGGAGAATGCAGTACCTACGATTCTGGTTTGTCGCTTTCACTAGCACTATGGGGTCGTGGAAAGCTGCTGATTTCGATGCAAGAATACCATTTAGCTTTGACTGATATTCAACAAGCTATCAAAGAACATCTTCCAAATATTTTCAAAGGCGATGCCTACTGGAAAATGGCTATATGTTACAAAGCCCTTAAGGAAGACAAAAAGTCTAAAGTAGCGTACGATTTGGCTGAAAAACTATTGGATTCCAAAGAACGTTTAGAGGAAATAAGGAAAGATAGGGAATCCGACATTCGCTGGGTTGGAAATGGAGCTAAAAATAGTAAGGGATATTCATTGCGACCTAGATAGATCTATTGTAAATTGTTCTACGTCCTTTATCACAATTATTGATTTCATTTCAGGCAAGTCGAATACAAGCAAACCGTTTCTCTCCGAAAAACTTACCGTGAAAACCGCCGAAAACCTTGGAAGGTTCGTCGTTGCAAAGAAAGAAATCAAAACCGGAGAAACCTTAGTTGTGGAATCTCCATACGCAGCTTGTTTATTACCAGATATGTTCGGAACGCACTGTCACCATTGCTTCGTTAGGTAATAAAAAAAGTTATTAAATATCACATATCAAATCCCTCTATTTTTTCTTTAATTGTGCACAGACTGCGCGCCCCTGTGGGTTGCCCTGACTGCTCTAATGTAGCCTTCTGCTCACCCACCTGCAAAGATGCTGCTACATCGACGTATCATACTTACGAGTGCAAGTATTTGGACCTTCTTATTGGCTCTGGAATGAGTATTTTATCTCATACAGCTTTAAGGATGATAACCCAACAGAGTTATCAGAAAACTTTGGAAATGTGCAAAACAAAATCAGACCAAGAGGTGCTCTCTTTGTGCACGAACAGCGACAAAAGGGAAAGCGGCGATTTCCTGCAAAGAGCCCTAATGGCAGCCTTTTTGTTGAGGTGTCTTCAGAAAAGTGGATATTTTGGAACCGATGGAAGCAACGGTAAGAAACACGTTAGATTATTTACTTCTGAACAAACTGTATTTATACTTTTCAGTGCTACCCAACGAAGATGAGCTCCTAATAGGTGAATTGTTATTATTTAACCTGCAAATGCTGCAATTTAACGCTCACGAAGTATTCGAGCAGCTCATGACGAATGATTGCGACTTGAAATCCTCTAAATTATTGTACATTGGAGTCGCTATTTACCCGAAAGTAGCCTTATTTAATCATGATTGCTACCCTGCTGTTACCAGGTAATTACAACACCTATAAATAATTCCACAACATTTTTCACTCATTCCGTTTCAGGTATTTCAAGGGGAAAGACATAGTCATTACAGCAGTTAGACCTCTACACCCGAACGATACTGTTGCCGAGAATTACGGACCGATTTTCTCCAGGAAAACTTTGCAGGATAGACAAAGAATATTATCTTCCAGGTACTGGTTTAAATGCGAATGCAACGCTTGCACGTTCAACTGGCCTCTAATGGACGCATTAGAAGAATCAACCAAAAACATAAGGTTAGAATGTTCAAACTAAAATTGTCCAAGGTTTGGATAAGGAGGATCCTTTTTGTAGGTGCTGCAATGAAAATTGCAATGGATATTTTACTCTGCCTGTGTCAAACGTTTCGATTACTTGCTCCAAATGCAAAGCCATCACGAAAGTCGAAGATCGAGTGAAATTGCTGCAACGATGCGAGGAGCAGTATGAGGAAGGATTTGAGTTGATGATGAATCGGAAATACGAGGAAGCTGCAGCTGTGTTCTGCAAAGCTATCGATCTATTTAACAGGTACATTTTCCTTTTTTGAAGTTCCAAATAGTTTCTAATTATCTAGAAAACTAATCTCTTGAAAATCGAATGCAATTCTGTATTTGTGACGACTGTTATTGTAATTAGTCCTAATAATAAACAAAGCAGCTGGTTAGCAGTATTTCACGAATGTCGGGAGCAAGAATAGAAGCGATTAATTACTTTATTTTTCAGTATTTCTTGCCCACCTCATAGGACTACCCACATGGCCCAGGAAGCGTTACAACTTTGCCTGACTACCTTTGGAAACGTCTCTAATGTTCTGGTTAAAAAATCTTAATTTACAAATGTACTCTTTTTGGCTGAATAAAGAGTATCCATTGTTAATTATTTTTAGGCCTTATTTCTTAGTATCCTTTTATATAAAGTGTGGCAATTTAAAAACTTGCAATGGCTCTCACAAACGAAAGACGATTATTATCAAAAAATGCCTAAAACCGTTTAAAACACCTAAAAACGGGTGAATTAATAATGGTAAAACCTTGCCTCCATAGAAAAAAATCAGATGGCGTTAAGTCTGGTGATCTCAGTGGCCACTCAATAGGGCCCGTCCATTTGTTCAATTATTATTTATACCATTGGATAACATTTTTATAGGCTTTTCAGGGATGTATCACAAGTAGGGGTTTGCTGTTGATTTTTTTAGTTGGAGTAGGTGGAGCCCAGGAGGTTGATGAATTCTTTTTATGTCATTTTAGTTTCCCCTTCATATCCTAGAAACGGTTTTGGGCATTTTTTGATATCATCTTTCGTTTGTGAAATATAGCCAAAGTATGTTTTTAAATTGTCACACTGTATAATTATACTTTTTTCTAATCAATACATTCATCACCAATTTGGGACACAAGGTATAACTTTTCAAACTTGAAAATTATGGAAAGTACTCTCCCAAAATTCATTTATTCTATTGTAATTACTACTACAATTTCATTTCGTATTTTTGAGGTAAAATAAAATAGGGAGTAATTTGATATTGGTATTGTGTTCATTCTTTTTTATTGTTGGTATAATAAAACAATGAATGGTGTGGTTTCAAAATTTTGTTTAATGGTAAGCCATACATTTTACCAAAAATAAAATAAATTACAATTTCAACAGTATGATTTGTACACTCCGGGAGGGTCCGGGTAAATGTAAATTTGATGGAATGCGAGACACGGTTTAAGCCAGTACCGATCGCCTCCAGAGTGCCTTTTTTTTCATTTTTAAAGTGAACAAAAATAAAATATATAATAGATATTTAACATTGTCAATAATTTGTATAATTTAAGGCACTTTTTAGTACATATATTTGGTATACGTTATACATTTAATTCGATTAAAATGAACACTTGGTTGAAACATAGGTTCGAAGTAGATGCAAAACGGATGTTTCAAAGCATTGGTTGTTCTGCCAGTCGCTCGATATTTTGTGATATTTGACTGTTGGCGTTCTTTTTTCACGTTACTCCTTTTCTCTTAGTAAACGGCAGCTGCAAAATTCATATTAGAGTTTAACACCACAATTATGTAATAAAATTTCATTTTTTTTCTCTTTTTACATCTACTTTCAAGATTAATAGAAGCATTTTTCTAAATCATATTTAATGTATAAAGCACATAAAAGGAGAAAAAAATAGCTAAATTTAATTTGTTTTTAAAAGTTTTAAATAGTAATCTAACTATTAATTATTTATACAAAAACTAGTAAAAATTTTGAAAATTTAGTATCTACTATTATTGTTTAGATTTTTTTTCTTTAAAATACGCGAAGTTCTAGTTAGTTAATATCCTGGCATCAAATTTATAAATAAATTTTATAGATACGTGGGTAGGTATTGTATTAAATAAGCATTTAATTGTTTTCGATGTTATTACAGATAATGTTTCAACAGAAATAGATAAAGTACGAGTGATCTAATTCTAGTCTAATCTACAGTAGAATACGTCTAGAAAAATATTAGAAATTTTACCAAAAATACCAGCGTCCATTTCAAAAAATATCTGGGGAAAAAATCAGGTAAATTCATATTGTCGCTTTGCAGGTGGGATTGATTTGTGAAAAATATACCAATTTAATATCCCACCAAAAAATTAAAAAGATGTTAAAAAATTGTTGCCATTGGTGTAAAATAGGTGTAACGGGCGAATTTACAAAAATGGTGTGTAATTTTGATTTTAATGACACGATCCTTTTCCTTCTTTCTTCCATAGAACTTCCTGGATTCTTAATTTTTCACAAATTTCCACCGTGGATTAGAGTTTAAATGAATAATTGCAGAGATTTAACAATGTGTACCATTATTAGGTTTTTCATAAATAATAATATGCAGTGTAATAAACTCTTAATTAAATTAGAAAAATCATGAACTCAATAGTTTAGTACAAAGAATTTTAATTGTATAAATTGTTATTGTGTTTTTTGGTAGGATATTAGGTTATTTCATACAGAGCTCGCAAGATTGAAGATTTTTTCATTCAATATTATAATACAAATGAAGTTCAATTTCATACCAATATTACAAAAATTAATGACCCGTTTCTATTAAATTGCCCAACAAATAAATTCGAACAAAATCCTTTTGTTATGGCACAAAAAATGTTCCAAATGACCCACTTCAATATTTTAAATATCATCCGCTTGCCAAGAAATTATTTTAAATACCAAGGCAATTATGTCAAAGTTTCTCAAAAAAAAACATATTTACATAACCTTTGAAATTAAATTTAATCTACACAAAACTAGCCACCCAAAAAAAAAAACCTTCAAAAACCAAGCAGCACTCTGTACAAGCTCGCATAATTCGCACAAACCATTTTCAGGGAAAAGGGACATGCCTGGTTAGCTCAACCACTTACCGAACGGCCTGATGGGGTGTTTGTCCCACAGGAACGTCCTCTTCACGGGAGAGAGGTACGAATCGCGAAGGTAGGCTGGAGACTTACCCCAAGGATTATAGGCGGAGGCGGGTTTGAGTGGTGAATCCCACCAGAAAGGATCGCGAGTTACGGCGGATATGGGGAGGCTAGGCGAGGGATTGAGTAGATCATCGATTAGGGTCTTACTTGGATAGAGCCCTCCGCGCGAGTAAATCGGCTGACCGGCGTAGTTGAAGGCCACTTCTGACGGACGGGGAGCAAATTGACCAACCTAGAAAAATTAAATAAAAAAATATTATGGAATATTTTAAACGCAATTGAGCCCTTTCTAATGGGATAGAACTGCGTTTGAACTCTTTTTGAATGATTCAACGAGGTTTAGTACATTTTACAAGAGACCAAGGCATTTCGTACTGTCTAGAATGATTCCAAAGCATTTGGAAGGATACTACATTGTTTTCGAACCCTTTCGGATCATTAAAAAGTATTCTGTACTGTTCTGAATCGTTCTAAACGGAACCGAACAGCTTTGAACCATTTCTTCAAAATCATCCAGACCCTTGCACCAAATCTCACGAGGTCTAAATGCAGTGATATCCAGAGTAAGATTTCGCGTTGAATTTACCTTGATAGGAGTGGGTGTACGCCTGCTCCCGATAGAAGGCCACAGGGACGGGTACAATTTGTCCAATTCAGCTACGCGGTCCAAGTGATCCAGCCACGAGCGGTGGGGATCGTACTTTTCGGCGGCCGGCGCGGGCCTCTTGCTGTAGACCAAGTACAACGGGTAGCGCGAAAAGGGGTAAGTGGTGTGGAAGATGCTGCTCGGCCATTGGGTCGGTTCGCGGCCTTTCACGCGATCGATGTGGTCCTTCCACGCCTGATCGGCGTCGAGCGGCTTCGGCTTTGTGATGTGGAAGGCTGCGTTCAAAATCGAAGTGAATTAAACTGTGCAAGGCAATGCTGCCGGCGGCCGATGGATCGAGTGAAAGTAATTTATCGAGTCGTCCAGTTAAACAATTACCAATTGAAATGCGAGGAGAGTGTTGTCTGAGTTACATGCATTTGTACAATTGAAGAAAATAATTTGAGCTTTCTTACTAAATGGATATGTAAAACTTGCATGCAGTTTGTTAGTAATAAATAGAAAAATATACATTGATAAAATGAATAAATAAAATAGTGGTTAAGAACCAATATTGGTTCTTGGAATAAAATGAATTAAGAAGAGACAAGAATGGTGAAAATTGCATCATGTAGGTATTCTAGTATTATAATGAACTGAGCAAAAAAGAATCTAAAAATAAGTGCATCAGTAGAAAGAAAAGAAAAAAACATAGCAATAGTAAGAATAAAACAACAAGTAAAGAAATGAAGAAGTACTATTATGAAATTACCTATTGGTGTTGTGATAAAGTTGGCTTGTTGTAATCAATACAATTAATACAATTTCATCTGTAGGGCATATTTTTCAGGATGATATATTTCTGACGCGCTTAAGGCATTTTAAAAATTCTACTGTACGTTAATATCGTTGTGGACAATGTTAAAACAACTAGTAAAGCTAAAGCAAGTGTCTTACCTCCAAGGCGACCAAAGTCCTGTCTCCCTCAATAAAATTGTATAAGCATAACGAGTTGAAAACACTGATGTTTTTTATACAAAGAGGTAAAAATGAGGGAATAAATATGGTTCGCCCTGGCAAAGGCTGGAGCCGCTGGGGTGGTTAAATAAGCTTATGATACAATGCGATAAAGATTATGTTTACTAATCAACAATTGACAAATACTCGTTTCATTTCAATCGAATCGCCTGGTTTCAGTTATTCCCAAGTAGCTATACATTTTTAGTTTCACTCGCCATGTATTTAGACTAAAAATCGATTATAAATAGACTTACTTGGACGCATATTCGGATTCGAAATACCGCGAGTCAAGTGGCCGGTTGAGTATAAATACTAAAATATCAACGTGTATTTTCGGAAGACCTTCACAGTTTCGTAATTGTATGAAGTCACTATGTAATTTTAGTTTTCCACAGACGCCTGATCAAATTATTCGTATTTTTGGAAAGCGTTTCGCGAACGTGCTCGTTTTATTTCTCGAAGAAGCGACGCGTCGATTCGACACCGGCGTCGCGACTTCAATGAGTTTATATCGACGCTCGAAGAGGACGAGATCGAGCGATTCGCGTAGATCTGGAAAAATGTCACGCATGCTTAATATACGTGGATTGTTTGCGAAAAAAATGGCACGAACGCGACGTAGGTGAGCTACCAGAAAAAGAAACGGGTCATTACAACGGATAAATCAAATTTTTATATAGAATTGTTCTATATACAGATGCACAAATGAGATCGAAATTTTTGGCAAGGGCGCTTCGTTGTTTGAACGTTTTCTAAAAAAGTACGAGATGTACAGGGCGTTCTAAATCTCTCTATTCGAGGAACGCCATGTATACAATTTCAATCCAAAATTTATAAATAATTTCACCAGATTGCTCTATGAATAGATATGTCATCTGTATAGGTGTAACTCAATTTGTTGAGAGTCAGGGTTCTCAGATGGGAGTCGGCACTCTCTAAGTTCAGGGTTTTTACTCATCAATTTAGTAGTGAAAATTCTGGTGAATATAATGCACGATAAACAAATTTTTGTATAAAAAATCTAACGCAGTTAGAAGCTCTATAGGCAAGTATTACGTGACTAGTGCATGGAAACGATTTTGATATGTTGCAGGCAACAGATGCAGTATTAGAGAATGGATAATCTGCTTATTAACATTCCTGTCACGCAGATTTACGTTAGGAAAATCCCTTAGAGATGCCCAAATATGTGTTTAGTATGCGATAATCACCTGCAGAAATTCGACCAGAAATTTCTGGCAGTAATTATGCATCTCGCCTAATCTCTGGCAATAAAATTAAATTTACGACGTTGCTACTATTACATCGCTTTTTTCGTGTAGTAGCGTTAAAAAACTAAAAATGTTATCTAACAAACCGCTCTAATAAATCATTATTTTACTAGTAAATTAAATGAAACGGAGTATTTACATCAATTGCTGGTGACTGTTATACGTGGTGCTCAAGCTTTTGCGGGGCGCACACAAACGAATGGCTTTTTAAAATTTTATTATACCCATTAATGATGTACAACACTTAATAGAATTATCAAATATCAACACAAAGATTATACAAGAAAATACAGACGACAAAAAAAATTAGATAATAACATAATCGCACGGGAGCAGTGAACGCAGCAGCGCGCGCGGTGTGCCCACAGAACAAAAGGACCCGTGCTTGAACTCATAAGCTAACGAAACTGTCCATAAGGCACTTGTAGTAGAGTAGTGGCAGATATTACAGAAAATACTGTGACAACGACTGTCACATGCGATTTCTAATGCTTGTATTCGAACCTACCGGGCCGGTATCTATCTAGAGAACCGTAATTGTGTGGAAATATCGGCCTCGGCGAGTAGCCGTAGGTGTCTCTGTGGAGCGGGTCGTATCTGTAGCCGGGCACGTGGATCCTCTCGGAGGCGGCGCTCGGATCGTCGTAGATGGATTTGGAGTACGGCCAGGACGATGACATCTCCGGTATGTCACTTATGGGACGGAAGATACCTCTGCGGGAATGGACTGAATCGGTCGCCCTTAAGTCATCGGATCCTATAATAACAAAGGTTTTACAATAATGTATCACCTATACTTTACTTACTTAAGTAGTATGGGCATTCTAGTATATGGTAATAAGTACATCTATGTGTTAGAAAGAGGTGGTATTCTTTTATACCCATTAACATTAACATGATAACAGAAAGTATTATTTGGTTCTTTCTCTTATACTTACTTATAAATAGCATTTTCCTCGTTAACTTCCAAGTATACCTACATTACCTTTAAATGCATAAAAATAAAATAGAAACTATTATGGAGAAATTGTCATTTTACCACTATCCTTAGTACCAATATATTCAAAATTGTAGCTGAAGACTTTGTCATAGTGCATACTCATCAATAACATAATTGGAAGAACTGCACTTGGAAATTAAATACTTACGTATAATAAAAATTTTCGACTGTAAATTGCAAGAATATCCTTGAACTCCACAATCTATTAGTAATATAATCGAGCACCTGTTACTTGTGGCATTCTGCCTAAATAAATTCGTTCACGTTGCATGATTTCGCACCTGTGAAATTCTTGTTATTTGCTACCAAAATGCGAGTGTAAATAAATCAAAATTAGGCGAGAAAAATCGGTCCTTGAGGCCCCGTAAATCTCGTTCAAAAAAATTGTATGGGCATAATTGCTCTGCATAAACAAAATGAATAAAACACTAGCAAGCTTTTCTACTTCGTATTTAAATATTTTACGCATATTTTGCGCAATAATTGAAATAAATAAAATTCTATTAACACATTAAAGGAATAATCATATCAAAGAAGACTTACCCTTTAGGGATCTGACGAAGGACTGCCAAAATTTAGCTTTCTTCGAAGGTGACTCGTTGAGGCTGATCATTTCCAAATGTTCTTTAAAAGACATGGTGTTAGTTTATTTTGTTACTGCTCTCTTTCGATTCGGTGTTCTTCGGTCGTTCGTCCCTGTAATAAAAAAATAGTTGATTTCAATTTTAAAAAAGTCTACAAAATGAAGTATAGGGAAATATTCAGTGTTATTAACTTTAAAGCTAGTTACTTTTATTTAATACCTTTGAACAATATGCAGATTAAAAAAAATAAATTTATAAAGTCTAATGTAAGTGTACTACCACTTATTAAATATATAGCAGGCGTTTTAAAAATCAAATTTGGATGGATTAATAATGGAAAGAACTAAAATTATTTCTCATTTGCCAATTTCTAACGAATTTAATTCAATTCATTCAAACCAGCAAACCCACAATAATTAATCTATTGGCAAAACTTCACCGATCACGTTCGAATTCCTGCTTAAAAATAGCCCATTATAAATTTTCCTCAGCATTGTACTTACAAGCGTTACGCCTGCCCACTGCTTAGGTATTTTCAGAGAAAATATCATTGATCACGCTTTATTTTAGAGAAATTTAATCTATAACCTACTAATTTGCATTTGGTTCGAGTCATAAAAATTGATATAAATAATTTACTGCGTCCTGTTTTTAATTTATTTTCGGAGATTATCTCTTAGCATTATCCAGGCAGAAATTATAGGAGTTATTTTCAGAAAAATGCCGCAAACTGTTATAATTTATAGCATTATTTTTTAATTTTCCTATTGGTAATTTTATCTCTCTGAATTTCTTAAATACATAATAAAATTGCAATTGATTTTAAAGAAATTATTACCTTATTAACATATTGCGCAGGTCAGAAATTGTAGATGGCTAATTAAGTTTTCCAGTATAAAATAATGTTACATGTGTTTAGAAACCCTAGTGAATACAATTTAATTACATTGATTTGTTTTAAAGCCTTTGTATTAGTTGAAAACAGACAGAGGAACATGGCAAGAGACAGTACTTTCACCGGTAACCGGTGCATTGCGACAATACAATAAACAGAAGCGTGCTCAAGCAGTCGCTTTACAAAAACAATTTTCTTGCCTTTACAGGTGTACCTATTAACTGTTTCATTCGATTTAACTGATAAGAGCTAGGTAAACGCCGACGAAGACGATCCCCAGAAAATAAACAACCAACGTTGATATCTCTGAGCTCGGTGGCATGGCCATCGTATTCGTAGATATTCGTATTCGTACTAATTTGGCTTGGTAAATTTTTCAAACTGACGTTCTATTTTCGCAACAGGACTTTTCCCCTCCACCGGCCGCAGCACAGGCGAATTTGATGTAATTATTCGCCACCCACTGGACAAACATTTGCTATTTTCGCTGTAATTGCGGATCAAGGTAAAGTTTTCAAACGTTTGCCCCAGTTCCAGTTTATGACGGATTCATTGATGTCATATTATTTGTTTTTGTTTACGTATGCACGCTTTCCACATTCCGGATGGAGTGGAAATGCTTGTGCCCGATGCATCTACTGAATGCATTGCAACATTTTATTATTCAAAGAATATTCGATCAATCTTCAGTTGTATATTCAACGGATAGAAATAATCTAGAATGTACTATTGTACTCGTAGGATATCTATCTAGTTCTGCTAGATCTGTCTACAGAACAAACTGCGAAATCCACTTGAAAATAATACCTCCTCTTAATCTTATTGATTATAGAGGTAGATACTATACATTACTTTTCTGCTTTATGATTTCCAACTTCATTTGCTTAAGTGTTCTATTGTTTATTTCCAATTGTGCTTCACGAAGTTCATTCACCTATTTTGCAAATGGCAACAAGAATAGTGTATGTTTGAGAATTTAGTAGACAAGTGATAGGAGAAGTATTAAGAAAAGCATCATTGATACTTATGTGATCGATTTTTCGCTCCCTTTGTATCAGTAACAATTTTATTCTGCATGTAATTCGTCTACATACATATTCACCTTCGTTCGTCCACAACCACCTCATAACTGCAGTGACCATCATTGATAAGTAAATTGATCAGTGGGGCCTCTATAAATTGGAGATTATTCATTTTTGATTAAAAAATATACGAATGATATTGTGAGTTGATTTCGACGAGCCACACACAATATTATATTCACTATAATGCTAACCAATGTAGGGCATGGTATGCCAAACGCCGAAAATACTACAAAAATAGATCGACAAAATTAGAATCCGCGGCCTCCACACTTTGCTACTTGACTCATCTTATGTCTCTTGAAAACATTTATGATTGTGTTTTGCAAAAATTTACGAAAAGAATCATAATCAGTCAACTAGGAAATGAAAAAAATGCTGATGAATAGTCAAGTGATGAGTGACGAATCAATATTGGTTCGATTTCAATGTCAGTCCTGATCATGAGGTAAATAACATAACATAACTTCATCCAAGGAGTGCTATATTTAGTTTGCATGAGTAGATTTTGGATTTATGAGAAGATGATAATGATAATTATGATGATATTGTAAGTAGAGCAATTAAAAATATTAACTATTTAAGTAAAAAAGGCCTAAGGTAATCAGAATTTAATGGGTTAAAACAACTTGATTAAAATCGTGCCAAAGTTTGATGTTTATATCCAATTTCTCACTCTATTAAGTTTTATTGTTTCAGCTTAATTCACTTCTAGATCAATGTTGAACCTGTTTCAAGTCAATAATTGAAGAGATGAACTTAACTGAAACTCGGTTTATAACCTACTTGTGTAACCAACTTAAATTACCTACTAAATTTAAGTGAGTGCTATAACTTGCTTTTCCATTACATACATGTTACCACAAGTATTCTGATTTCAAGCAATCAGCACCTGAAATTTGGAAAAAAATACTTGGCATTAGCCTCAAAGCTGATTGGAATACGAGACTACGGGTATAGTATATTTTCTAAATTATTTAAATGCTGCAAGGTTTAATACACTAGTGTAGTGTAAATGATATTTGGAATGGTGTCAAGCATGCAAGCTTTGGCTTGCTCGAAAATTATCAGCTTAAAAGTTAGTAGTAACTTGGTACCTGATTATTGTTTGATGGATTTGAAGTTTAAGTTTCTACAAGTTTCTACATAACGACTTTAAGTTAAAAAATTGAATTTTGGCTCGAGGTTTCATCAAAATAAACGCTGTAAATTGATGATAAGTCGGATGAAGTTATTTTGGTTTTAATTAATTTAATAATAAAATTCGAGATATTTAAAGTTGCATCTAGAGTTCTTTACTCCTAAAGCTGTTGAGACATTATCTTTTATTGATGAAATGTTGATAAAAATTATGAAATCAAAAATTACCGAAATTTTTATGTGAGTCTTGGAAGTTCTCAAATACCCCTAAGAGTTGCCTCTATTTCCTTAATTATTTCGTTAAAAACAATTTATTAATTGGTACCTTTTCATAAAATTTTTATTTTATCCTTGCTTTTGTACTTTTTGATGATTATTTTTATATAACCGATAAGTTTTGGAAGAAGGCGTAAATGCTAATATAATTTACTGTATTTATTTTTAATTCGGCACTGATTGACAGTTGGTAAATTAATTACAATTGCTAATTGATTTTCGCACGTCAGCCATAAACAAAAATAGAATCAATCAACAAATTTTCCAGCCAATTGATACTGAATTCTGGTGGAGGATCACGGGAAAATTTCAGGATCAAATAATACTAATAATAGATATTTTTGATACAGTTTCGGCCAATCGCGAGGTTTTATTTTAAATAGATTATTATTATGTGTTAGAAAAAACTATATTATGTAATCGTTGATATTTTTAAGCATTGGGTACGATTTCTGTTGCGAACGTTAATGTATTGAAAATGTCGAATTTATTAAAAAAATATTCTGTGTCAATTTTGATCAATTTTATATCTTACAAAAAATTGGTGGGTTTTAGGTAATTATTTAGGATAGTCATTTTATAATACCTAATTGGAGTTTGGTGTTAATAATAATGTATTCTAAGAAATTATATTTATATATTTGATTGGTATATTTAACGTTTGTTTTTGCAATTAGGCAATCCAATCCTAATGCCGATCTAGCCGAACATAGAAGTACAAAAAACCAAAAGCTCGTTATATAAATAGACCACCTAAAGTCAGTGGTTACATAAAACCAGTCACGTGGATTAGAAACAAAAAAGAAATCCGCTGATTAAACAGAATAATTTCACTGAATATTCCACCTATACTTACGACGGGATCGTTCGCAAAAAGATTCGATTTGAACCAAAAACCCGCACTTTCGAGCACTCGAATATTCTCTGGGCGAGTACTGACCTAAGTGGCGTTAAATGTGATTCGGATTCTGCGACTGGCGGTGTTCGGCACTGACTGCGTCCCAGAAAGCGTCGCGAGCGTCTCGAGGCGTCTTCGACCTCGAAAACGACGCCGGGCGCGTCACGGCGAAGAATGGGGGGCGGCGCGCGGCACCGCGTCTTTGCCCAGCGCGCTCGTGACGATATCGATGCCATTCATGGCGGATTTTCTCGATTTCGGGTAAACATTTTTAGGCGTAAGCGTCGGTAAACAACTTTCTTTTTTGGCACTGGCTGCTCTCGTGACGCCTTAGCAACCGCTGCTTTTTCCGTTTTCAGTCCACTGGGCCCCTTCTGTGAGCTAATATGGAAAGATTCGATTTTTTTTTTTTTCACCGGGTGACAATTTTTTTCTGAACAAGTCCAAGGTGCTATAAGCTACTCAAAGCTGTATTAATATACTCCCTTTACGACTGTCTTTATGTAGACGGTGCTATTGAAACCCTAGGTACTTATCAGCACTGAAAACTCTTGTAATCAATGTTTGGTGTAGGAATTGAATGTATTGGGAAATTCATAAATTTATCTAGCATTAATCAGTGGCGTAGCAAGTCCTTAGTGTTATTCCTTGTATTCCCTTATTATGTATATAAAAATGGTAAGTATTAAATAAATCCAAACAAGTTACAGGTAACTCATATGCCACTCTTTGCACCCCCGATTGTTACATCCCTGCATTAATGGTTAAATCCAAATACCAAGTACTTATTGAAGTCAATAGTCCAAACAAATCCAGTACTTAATGTTTTGTCCAAAATCCAAGGTGCATTCAAAGACTTATACTTTCTCTTTTATCAGTTTGGTGTATGAATTACAATTGCTGAACAATAAGTAGATTAAATTTAGCAACATACAATGAGGAGTACGTGATGACGAATTAATAATAAGCAGAAATGATAACGATATTGGCACGGGGAGTGCGGCAAAAATTGAATCTGAATGGCGCTTGTTTTTTAAATGGGACGGTCAGAGCAAGAATGTCTCGAAAATAGACGAGTTTGTCCCACTTACGTGACTTTATAAATTTTGAGAAAGGTCGAGCACATGTTGGAAACTGGACACCTTAGTTGTTTTTTTCGTAAAAAAAGATACCTGGACTTAGGTGATATTGTTTCAAGCCAAAAGTCTCTTTCTCATTTATTTAACCAAGAGATCGTAAAATTTAAGGAAACAATTTGTCTACCCAAGAGAATTTAATTATTACCCCAACAAGAGACATGTTTTGTTCACGTTTTTTTTAATTTTCACCTTTTTCACTTTTAATATAAAAAATTAAATAAAAAATACGGGCGATTCAAAATCCGGGCATTGTGCCAAAGGAAACGCAAGTGGGTGAAAACGTGTGGGTGTTACCAAATTTTACCTTTTTTTTCGGATTTTTTATGTACGAATGCCGATTGATCATTTCAGAAAATAAATAAATAAAAATAATGACAAACGGATACTACAATGACGTAAAGCCTTGTTTACCGACATATTTTTATTCGATTTCGAAAAATAAAAACGTTATTTCGAAAATACGAGTCGGTTATTATTAGATTGAGATTATGTGCGTAATAAAAATATATAATTTTTATGTGATTTTATATAAAACACAAACGAATTACAGTATCAAAAGCGTATAACCTAAAATTAAAGGGCGAGTTAATAAAATGGAACAACCCCATTGTAATTTGCATTTATTTTTCGTTTGAAAATTTTGAGAAAATCCGCAAAATCTTTGGTCAAACATTCGCTGTGATAAAAAAGTATCCGGAATTTCTGATTAAAATTACCTACACTTAATATTTTTAACTATTTCAAGTTTCTGTATGTAGGTAACACTGTTCTTAATTTGCATGAAAATAATTAGAGATTTCTCAATCAGTTTGGTTGTAGGAGCTGATTGAATCCGTTCATCTAATTGCCAGTAGTGGTTTGCGAAATTTGCAGTGGACAAAAATAATGAGCAGAGTTTGTCTCATATTTTGGCTTTAAACGGAATTTCGTAGAAAAAGGGCCTATTTAATAAATGCTTCTATGATTGGAAAAGATGTAGATCGCTTCAAAAGGAACATATTTTGAAGGAGTTTCAAAAAAATTTAAAAAGATTAGGAATTTTGCGTTTTATTCCTATTTTCCTGGTACATTTTTGTCACTATGTGTACATTAATTTACTTAAAATGATGTATGTCACCCAAATTTCTAAAAAATGTTAGTTTAAACAAAATGGTAACTTTGACGCCTTTGGTCTTGTTAACCACTAAAAATTTATACAATTAAAAATCCACCGAGTTACGGACTTGATAGAAATAATGTATGCTCTTTCGTAATTCATCTTCATCTTTAAAATTTATTATTAGAAGCAAGCGAGTAATTAGACAGAAATTAGCGAACATTGGCTAACCTTCAAAATGTATTTTTGGCCACCGATTTTTTGGAAACGTGTTCGTTTTATTGATTTTCCCGAAACGTGCGAATTCTAACTTTAAATTTTAATTGAAGCATCTGTGCAGTTCAATTTTGTTTAGCAAACATATTTTATTACTCATAATTTTAGCACGCAGCAGAAATGTCACAAAGTTAATCTAATCTCGGATAGGCAGCAAAAGATTTTTTTATCAATACCCAATAAAAATTAATACCATTTATTTACAATAATCTTCTTAGATCATAAGAAACACAAAAATCCAATACTCTTATGTACCGTTTATTCAAGTAAATTAAAATATTACCATACAAGTATCATCGAATTACATAAAAAAATCCTATTCCTGTATTTGTGTCGCCCCCAACCGGGACGGATCCTGACTAGGATAATGCACCGGCGCTTTAGGAACAGGAACGGGCACGGGCACCGCCTCTCCAGCGCTACTAGCAGCGCTCGAACTAGCAGACGCCCCCGCGAACGGCGGCAACTGCGGCGGATTGAAGAAGAACGGCGGAATGGGCGGCGGAGGAGCGAACAGCGGCGGCACCATCAGAGACGGCGGCGGCGGCATATTCGGCAACGGAATATGCCCCGGCTCCAAGTTGAAGAAGTTGTTGCTCAATTCCGGCAGGGCGCCCGGCAGGCCCGGAACGGGTTCGTAATTTTCCGGAACGTGACCGATCGCCGCCGGGCCAGTGCGCCCCTGCGAACGACCCCATTTTATGGTGAGACGTCTCCCGCCCAAGATTAGCTTGTTGAAGGTTTTCTCCGCCGCTGACTCCGCTGCTGCTCTAGTAGTATACTGCACAAAGGCGCATTGTTGCTTCGGCACTAGACTTACCGAGCGGATCTCACCGTACTGGTAGAAATGATCTCTGTAAAAACAATACAATATTTATTAAAATGTACTTCTATATATCAAAGAAGAATGACATTGCTAAACCACACATCTCTCTAAACCCCCTATTAAATTACAAACTTGCCTTATGTCTTGTTCAGTTAAATTTCCAAGATTTCCGATATACAATGTAGTGATGGTTAGATCATCTGGTGGAGGTAGAGCTGGCATAGCGGCTGCTCTTTTCAGCAATTTATCGGCAACAGGATCGTTTACGCCATAATAACGATCTTTGATATTCTGAAATTTAAATAATAACGTTATTAATTGTATTAGAACATAAATTGCTGGGACTGTACCTGATCGGCTAGCGGATCATCGGGATCGGTGGGTTTTTCGTGACGATATGGGCATTCTTCTCCTCGTCTGCATTCGCCCTTCACCCAAAAGGAGCACACGTGCGGGCGATTTCTCTTATAATATGGAGCAGTTCGAGCCAGACGCATCAGAAGATCGTTTGGTTCGCTGAGTTTGCTGCTTATCGTGTCTGGATCTGACCTTGCAAGCTACAACACAATCATTTTAGTTATTACTAATTGTCTCTAAAGCGCTACTGTTTTTTTATTTACCTCTCGTTCCATGTTTTGAATGTAATATTCTTTGTTGACATCACTTTTGGGTAAGTCGTCCTTCATTTTCAAGGCTGCATCGCGCACTTGAATAGGCAAACCGTATTCCAAGTCGAGCAGGCACGTCTGGCAAACGTTTTTCAGTTTGCTGCAAGTCTGGCATACTTCTGTTTTCTTGAAGCGCATTCTAGCCCCGGGGCACCATCGGAAGACAGTGAAAGGACGCGCACAAATTTTACATTCTTTTCCATATTTCTCTTTGGTCTGTAATTGAAGAGGATGTTAATAAACTTATTTAATAAAATTTAATGAAAGAGAACGTACCATTCTTATGTATGGATTATCACCCAAACATGTCTGACAGAGAATAGGGAAGTCCTAAAACAACGTTAATGAGCACAATTTCGTGACAAAAAAAGCGTTTGTTACTTACAGCATCTTCCCAGTTTTGTCTATTGTAGGTATTGGTGGTTTTTGATGTAGCCATAATGTGCAAATGCAATCAAAATGAGAATAGAATAATTACAAATTTATACAAAATATAACATCAAAGCAACTACTAAAATCCTAACCAACAAATTCTTCAGACAGATGTCAATGTCATCAGTCATCACTGTCAATAATCCCAACGAGCGCAAAACAAAAGCACTCGGTGCACACCGTACAGTGTTGCCAGCTGGAGAAAAATTGTTAATTCAAATTTACCATAAACATTTAATTATTTATTGATTGTTGTAAAAAGTTTAAAATCATGATTTTATCTTCAGTTTTCAAATAATCGAACAAACAGAAACTAAAAACACAACTAATATGTTGTCTATGGTAAAAAAAATAATGGGTAGTGCGTTTGTTCAGCCAACCCAGGTTCAGCAAATACAGCATCTTTGTCGGATGCATGCATTTGTTTCGATAATCTCTCGCATTTTTATGGCCGAACGCACCCAATGTTATGGGTGAATTACCAAAATCCAGAAAGAGAAGGAAAAATTAATATAATAATATAAAAATTAATACCACCTTTTTATTAAGAAAACATAAAATAAAAGATTTTACACAGAGAATGACCCTAAAATTTAAGTTACGTACAATTTTAAGCACTTCCCTAGTTTTTACGAAGTTAATTCTGGTATGTACTTATTCGGCAAACACGAAGTATGAATGTATTAAATATACAGTGCTTCATTTTATCTTTAATCACAATCTTTAGTCTTACATAACTGTTAAGTATTTTATACATAAAAAGCTAATCAATATGCTGATATTAATAGAAAGAAGTTCTTTAACAAACTAATAGGTATTTTTAAAACTAAAAAATACAGACATGAAAAACATGTACAGAACACATGAGATTGTTATAACAAAGTACGAAATAAGAATCATGTACTACGTCTAAATTGGAATTTCTCAAAGAGATGGAAAAATACCGCCAACAGGAAAATAAAATGTATGTAAATAAATTTAGAAATTCTGAATTACGTTGATAGAAACTAAGATTCAATTTCCGAAAAAATCCCATCAGTCTTTAGAAAAAACGTGTACGTGTTTACGTGTATAATCCAGACTTAAATATTCATATGACTGTAATAATCCTGAAAGACTTGTACATATATCTCCTTCTCGCTTTGGGTCATTTCCGCGACTATAGCATCGTTAATCTCTGTTATAGGATATGTTTTGTTACCAACGGCAACAGTAGGTACATCATCGTTATCATCATCTTCGCTTTCAATCGCTTCAATATTGTCTGCGTCCTCATTTACCTCGTTCAGTTCGTCCGAACTGGATTCGGACTCGTTATTGAGTGCTTTTAGGGCATTTGCTGCTGTATTACTTTGCTTCTTCTCGTGCGCCAGCAGCACTGACATGATATCGTCGTTCTTGGCACTACCGCCACCTGTTAAAAACGTAAAATTAAATCAATATGTGATAATTGCAAAGTTGCAAAGTTATTAACAGAGCTGAGCAGAGCAGAGCAAGTCGTAAAGGTAATTTTAACTAACAAAATAAATCTTACCAGGTACATCATTGGTATCGATGGAGCTGTCCGTAACTTTATTAGCATCTTGAGAATCGAAATTGGTGATAATAGTGGATTCGGTCATCCAAATTGGTTGTTCCTTTCTGCTAACGGTAGAAACGTTTTCTTCGCCTATTGTAATATCCACTCGAGTTTCTTCCACGGCGAATCCGGTCCTTCTGGTGGCTTCGCCAGACCATTCCTGTCCAGGAATAGCAGCGTTGGACTTCTTGTCTAAACCTCTTATGGTGCTAATATCCACCGGCTCGGGTTCTAATACTTCAGGAGCCAGTTTTATTCCTTCTACTTCGCGCAGTAGCATGTACAGGGGTTCCAGTTGCTCGTTGAATTTGGCTAATAATAGTCTGTAAACAAATATTACTTAAGCAATTGATTCTGTAAGATGTATTAAATTATTAATGTGTTAATAATAATATAAATCTGACCTAGAATCTTTTTTAGGTAAGGCTGACGAATCTTCCTCGACAACCTCTCGACAATATGTACAGTGAAAATCCCCCGTGGTGAAATCGAACAATTGATCGGCTTCTAAGTCTGTAAAAGTTTTTAAACAACCGGGACACTTAAAGCTCGCTCGGCTCGTCGCGTCGCGTTCTTCAGTCTCCAGTCGCTTCCTCATCAAATCTAACTTATATTTCACTACATTGACAAAGGTTTTATAGTTTATGAAATAGTAATTAACTTTCTGAGCTTTACCGTCCAAGCCGGTCTCCATTCGTAATCTAACTTGTAAGAACTTATCGTTTTTTAGCGTCGCTATTCTGGCTCGCAGCATCTTCTTTTCGAATTTAAGGAGCTCACACAAATCGTCTTCTTTCATGCAAGGGTTCCTCACTAGCATGTCCACTATTAGGGCGTCATCGATGGAATAGAACCCCCGAACGACCAGTCTAGCTAATTGCTTGAGGCTGCTCGGCACCTCCGTTACGAGCTTTTCCTCACTCATGACGAGAAAGCGACGATTTTATTTAAAATTATGCATAATAACCGATAAATTGCGGTAGAGATTGTTCAATTCATTCGAGGATAATTTGAATATGTTTTTGCCAAACATATCAGATTGTTTTTGAGGTTAACATTTTGAAAATAGAGGACAACTCTTGACAGGAATGACATATGTCAAAAGATAGAAAAAAACAAATTTTCTTTGTTAAAAGTCTAAGCTTAAGTAAGATGGGCATTCAATTTAATTATCGTTAATTATCCTAATATTTAAGTAGTGTAATGATGGAAATTAAAAGAAGTAGCAAAAATAAATTCGTAACGTACTTTGATCAATATGGCAACATTGCATAAATTGTATGTCAAAAAGAAGAAGAAAAAGACGCTTTTGTTGATTGGTTGAAAATGCTAAACAAACATTTGCATCTGCGCTTTCAATTTGTATTTTTTTCATCCCCTCCCTTCGAACTTCGAATAACCAAAATGAAAATGACGTTTCGTTTCTTTATAAAAGCGTCCATTTTGTTTCTGTAAAACGTGAAACGACTTTTATATTTTTGTTCGTCGGTGTTATCTTAGTTATCGTGATTTTATCCAGTCCTAATTCTGCATAAAAAGAACTCTGCATTTCGATTATGCATAGCAGTAACTTACTATGACATTTGTCTCGAAAACACGAGATAGGACTTACTTAAATATGTGATTTTTGTTTGTTTGGTGTCGTTATTTTTCCGCGAAGATCATTATCATTATCGATACAAAAATGGAGTTTTCCCAACCGCCTCCCAACATGAGTATGCCGCCTCCGAATTTAGCCGTACCAACTATTGTTGGTATGCAAGGTAAGATTTGAACAGCCTCGTAAAATTTAGAACCAATGTCATGGCATAACCGAGGATAGATATCTTAGAAACACGTGTTATATTTATTAAATCATTCCCTTGCAATGGTTTTTTCAGCATATAACGTATTTATTGTTTGGAAAGATTCTTATTAATTAATTAATGGTTTAAGGTTTATTTTTGCAAGATAAAGCTATTCAGATAATGCATTAGAAAATGGTCTTATCTGCGTAATAAACGAAATAAAACTATAAATGTAATTCTTTGTATGTTGTATCGTTTGTCTGTTTTTTATTTCCTACATTTTTCACACTTTATTTTGCACTATAATATTTTCCCTTGTAGATTTTTTTAATGTTCTAGTTCTATGTCCTATCAGATGACAGAACAATTTTTTCGACATGTCAAAATTAAGTGTCAATGTGACATTTTATTGTGTCAAATAATACCTTTTGTATTGATTTTGGTGCAAAATGTTTCATTTAAATACCGCTGCATACTCTTAATTTGTTATATTCAAGATAAACTTGAAATATTTAAAAAAAATATTTTTTGAACTCTTGTTTGAAATCTTGTTCATTATTTTTACTAGGTATCCATGGAACTTCAAAGTTGACAGAACAATAAATCATTTCCACCTAAAACACGAAATCATATGTGTTAATCACAGGTCAAAAATTACAATGTTTATTCCAATTATGTGTGCTTTATTTACCGCTAATTATTTCCTATTTTTGTTTACCGTTACATTCTTTAAAAGAACTAGAAAAATTCGTCTATAAAATTTACCACATTACGCCTCCTAGATAATTTTTGATACATTTTCACAATATTGTTTCACAGGTTTCAATAACAACAGACCTCAATTTCGGCCTTTCATGAACATGCACAAACCCTTACCAGGCCCCCTAGGCAATATGACTTTGGAGGATTTCGATGGAAAAAGATTGAGGAAGAGCGTCATGAGAAAAACCGTGGATTACAATTCATCAATAATTAAAGAATTAGAGGTACATTCTTCTTTCTATTTCACAATGCAACAAAAAATTTATTACATACTAATTTATAGAATCGCATATGGCAAAGGGACTACAGGGACAGAAGGGCTCTTCAGCCGGACGCTATGTATTATCCAGACCTAATGCCTCCGCCTAGCTATCCAGATAATCCTATTAACTGCGTTACTACTAGATTCGTTAAAACGGCAACAAACAAAATGAGATGTCCAATATTTTGTATGGCATGGACACCGGAAGGTAGAAGATTGGTAACCGGAGCTAGTTCAGGAGAATTTACCTTATGGAACGGCTTGACGTTCAATTTCGAAACCATTTTGCAGGTAATAATTCCATAGTTTATATGATTGTAATTTTTTGTTTTTTTTTTGTCAAATTTTAAATGTTTTAAATTTGTTTTTGCAGGCCCACGACAGTCCGGTACGAACGATGGTGTGGAGCCACAACGACAGTTGGATGATAACGGGGGATCATGCGGGTTACGTTAAATACTGGCAGTCGAATATGAACAACGTTAAAATGTTCCAAGCGCACAAAGAAGCACTACGAGGCATAAGGTATCTACAACTTCTCTTCGTATTCCTAAACTTTGTACACATATTTATATTTTGCTTTTCAATAAAAGAATCCCTCCTTTTCCTCACATTAGTGCAAATATTCAAGTTGATAAATAAAAAGGAAAAAAATAAGGATTGAGTGAGATATAAAAAATAATAATAATCTGTGATAGCTTCAACTTTTTTCTGTGATACATAATCGTGATGTAATTTTTTTACGTTCAATAAATTCGTTTTGGCAGTAATATTTCGAGTCGATTCCAGAAATTTCCTTAAATTGAGTCGATTAGATTCAGTTTGGGGAGATTTTTTGAATTGCGTTTTTATTTTAGTCCTTTCATTCGGTCGTTCGGGAAATATACAAATAAAAAGTATACGTAAAAAAGACTTGTTTTATTTCATCTACTGGACAGTTAAGAAAATGAGGTATAATTTTTTTTTGAATAGGGATTGATGGATTCGATTGCGGGATTTTTATTCATGGAAATTGCGGATTGAGATTATTAAAGTTTCTTGCACTAATGATTTAAATTTAACATAACTTGCTGGATTTTTTATATGTTAATATAACTAATTCATTTTTTACTTTCGTTTTTGAATCATTATTTTTTTTATAATTTTATGTTTGCATTTACAGGGAGTTTCAATATTCGAAAATTGATGATTTTTTTTGTTGTGTCGAATTTGGAACACTATAATATTTAATTTTTGGTAAAGAAAATCAATTTACCTCGAATATTATTTATATTTTGGTGTACAAACCCGTTGAACATATCATTAGTTGAACATATCATTAATATTTAACATTAAAAAGGGTCAAATTTCCACAAATGCCATACTAAAAGGGATTTAAAAGTTTATTGTAATAAAGAAAATCGTTATTTATTCTGTTATTTCACTTGGTAAAGTTTGATATAAACAAGTTTGATTTAGATGAAAAATATGAAAGATGGTTTTGAAGAGAGAAAATGTGAAAATGAAGTAATTATGAATCTTGTTAAAAATCAAATTCAATAAATTATTTTCTGCGTATTTTAATTTTTTTTTTCAGAAAGTATTTATAACAGAAATTAACCAAGAGGATTATAAAAATTTCTTCTGATCGTTGACTTACCTAAAATAATAATGTAGGTACAAAACATTTCCCCATTTAAAAAAATGCCTGTTTATACGAAAGTAGGAGATTCAGTTTGGTCTTGACAAATTTTCATAAAATTCAGCCAGTTATGTTTCGAATCATGTAAATAAACAAATACAAATTCCCATGTGATATTAAATTTCAATGTGTAAAAGTAACAAACTTTTCGGATTTTAATTTTAACAACTTGTATTACGTGAATCTTGTTATATTTAGCTTCAGCCCTTCCGACAACAAATTCGTAACGTGTTCAGACGACGGTACATTGCGTATTTGGGACTTTTTCCGCCACCAAGAAGAGAGGATACTCAGAGGTAAGTGTTGCAATTTTCTATAAATCTATTATTCTGTTGATTATTTATAACAAAATAAAAGTACATACGTTTTTGCTGTTATTGATCATCAACATAATAATTGGTATAGGGAAATGAAAAGTCCAATAAAACACAACAAAAGATGAAAGATTATTAGAAACTTGTTTATTTACAGGACACGGTGCTGATGTAAAATGCGTTCACTGGCACCCCCAAAAAGGCCTCGTTATTTCAGGCAGTAAAGATAACCAGCAACCGATTAAACTGTGGGACCCCAAAACCGGACAGTCCCTTGCCACTTTGTAAGTCAAACGAACTATTTTACATATCAAATTGAGAAAAATAGTAACAATTTAGGTTTTGTCTAAATAATACCTAGATATCCTTTGAAAAATTGTTACTACATAACTATGTTTCTCTATAGAATTTGAGACGAGTAATCATATACAATGCTACATAATCATTCTGTTTTGCTAGGCACGCTCACAAGTCAACAGTGATGGATTTAAAATGGAACGAAAACGGCAACTGGCTGATCACAGCGTCCAGAGACCATTTATTGAAGCTGTTCGATTTGAGGAACTTGAGCCAAGAGGTGCAAACGTTCAGAGGGCACAAAAAAGAGGCTTCGAGCGTGGCCTGGCATCCGGTGCACGAGGGGCTGTTTTGCAGCGGCGGATCCGACGGGGCCATTATGTTTTGGCACGTTGGGTGAGCAGCTTCCCGGCCATCTTTTCGTGCCTCGTTCTAATTTTTACCAACGTTTTAGAGCCGATAAGGAAGTCGGGGCTATCGAACAGGCCCACGACAGCATAGTGTGGACCTTAGCTTGGCATCCATTGGGCCACATACTTTGTTCCGGTTCGAACGATCACACCAGCAAATTTTGGACTAGAAATCGACCCGGCGATCAAATGCGAGACAAATACAATTTGAACACCTTACCTGCCGGTATAGCAGGATTAGAGGATATCGATATGACTGGTAAACATTTATTCCTCCTATATCTTGTTTACTACTAATATCTTTAAAAAGTAGTGTCTAATTATGCTTGTTTTTTTTTATTAATGAAGATGAACCTGTATCTGTGATCCCGGGCATGGGACCCGAAGATAGGGTCGACATTACGTCGATCTTGACGGACGAGAATCAAGCTATCCCTGGTTTGGATTTAGATAGCGTTATGAATAACGAGGAAAAATCGAAACCGAAGAAAGTGCCCTTCAGCAAACCAATTCCGCGCAATTTCCAAGCCCAATGGAACGAGACCTCAGGTAAAACACACTCTAAAGTCTCTCTAAAAATTAAGCTAACGGTCCTATTTCATAATGAAACATAACTTTGTTATGAGTGAATAAATTAACAACATTTTTCAGACGATCCAACGGGTGCCCTTAACGAAGTGATTTCCCAAATAGTCGAAAACACGCCGGGAGTAGTGCCTTTGCAACAGCTCGCCCCGAACGCTATAGTCATTTACGGAAAATTGATACCAGTCGAACGTAAGTCGAGACCTTCCTCTTACGATCGAATCTCTGTGCAATAATCGATTTTTATACAGCCGGTTCCAAGCTCGAGCAAGCCATCGCCGACGGGCCGGAAGCCCTGCAGAAGTACATTGATTCGGGCGAGATCGAGGAGCTCCACGACGTCATGCCGATAAACGACGACGACGATTACTTGAACGACGAGTACAACGACGACGACAGCCAGTCCAAAGACCACGATATGCGCAAACCGTTCGGCAACGATACGGACATGAGGGGCCTGGGCGACGTCGATTTCAGGAGCAAAGACGTCGATTTTAGGAGGGAAAACAGGCGCGATTACGACATGCGAAGCATGCCCATGGACGATGATTACAGGTACAACGATCGCGGCGGCGGAGGCGATCGCGACGATGATTACAGGAACGATAGGTACAGAGGCGACGACGATTTCGGCGACGGGTACTACGATGACGGACCGCAAAATTCAGGTACCTTACACCTTTTCACACTACATAAACTATCCGAAATCTCCCTATATGCTTCGGCCCGTATTCAGCGCCTCTGTTTAACTTTAGAGCACGGTCCTATATTTATAAGGCCTGGAAACATGGGTCTAAAAGTGTCCCATTATTTGAGGATAAAACAGGGTTCCTAAAACGGCCGCTAGAAGGCAATGTTGTAAAGGACCCCGGTTTTTTGCGTACGAATTATGTAGAATTAGCATTAAGATAGGTTTTATTCAAACTAAAAATAGATACAAAATATAAAAATATACTTAAATCAGCGATGATTTTGTTGTAAACATCATGCCTCACGTATCTTCGGTTAATGTATTTCTCCATTTTCTCCTCGAAATGTCAAAAAGTAATTTTTGAAGTTTTGACAGCTTGAACTGTCGTCTCACAACCGCGATTTATATGTATCGCGACGCTGATTGGCTGAGATAAGTTGGTCCTCCGATCGTTCGCCACAGTGCGGCACAAAAGTAAAGCTCAAAAAGTCCTCAAATAACGGGACACATTCTCTAATGCAGAAGCATAGGAAGTTTCCAGACCTTAGAAATATAGGGCCGTGCTCTAAAGTTAAACAAACGTGTCGCCTGTCATTTGATGTTACATTTCACTTTTGTTCGTTTCTTCTATTCTTCCGAACAGTTTGTTCGAATTCTTATTCCACTATTGATTCAATACAACAAAGCTCTTTTACGATTGGTTAAGAACTCTTACGTCACGGGTCAAAAGTATAAATTTAAAAGGGCTATATTTCCTAAAGTTTTGAATAGTTTGAGCAACTGAAAACTGATTTGGGTTCTAATGAGTTATATCTTTTCATATATCCGTACTTCTCTCCATTGCAGGCAACTGGCAGAGAAACGGCAAATTCGGCGGCAACTACGGCAACAGGAGAGGTCTCCCTCCGCCGCCGAGAGGCAACAAACCGTTCAACTCGAACTTCAGAGACCGGAATTTCGGCAACTTCGGTCCCAATTCCAACGACGATAGAGACGGCTCATGGAACGATGGGGATAATTACGATCGCGGCGAGGACAACTGGGGCGGCGACGGGGACAGTTGGAACGAAGGTAACGATTGGAACGATCAAAACGACGATTGGAACGACCAGAACGAGGAGAATTGGAAGGACGGGTCGCAGTACAACCGGCGAGGTAGAGGAGCGAGGAGGGATAATAGCAGGCCGATACACAGCAGAGGCCGGGGAAATCCGGGCAGAGGTTCCAGAGGCGGGGATAGAGGTGTTAGAGGTGGTAGGCCTCGTGCTGGAAAGAGAGGAGGACCGAGAGGTGCTCCTAGGAGTCGTTTTTAATTTATTTCGCACCGAATAATCGTTATCAAATTTGTTGAAAGGCTATTTCTTTAACCATACGATGATGTGGATATATTAATAGGAACATAAATCGAGTGATATCGTTGGTTTTTTTTTTTCATCGATAGATATAAGGATTTGTGATTTTAATAAAAAAAAAGACTTTAGAATCGATTTAATAATTTTGTGATAATTTTTTCACAAATCGCGAAGATCATTTAGTTTCGTTGGCGCACGTTGGTTTTCTTATAAGAAATGTCCATTAAATTATCTGAATTATACTTTTTTGTAAATAGAGTGAAATTGATTTCAATTGGTTTTTTGTTACACGTTGTATACAAACATATTCGTAATTGATAAATGGAATATATTTGTTCTTAATTACGCGCTGGAAGTTTTCACCAAAGTATTTTTTATATTTAATATGTTTTAATTATTTTGTGGAAAATTTCCAATTAAAATTCATTCATTATTTTATTCGGCGTGTTTCCTGTTTATTTTTCATTTAATAAAATTCAATTCTACTGTAACATTTAACATCAATCCATCCAAAACAGACTTACAGCCTTCACAATACTATTAAACGTAAGGAGCCTTCAAAAGGAAAGGCCAAGTTTAATTAAAATAATGTATTTATGTAGAAATAATCCTAAGTATATAAACAAATCACAACAACAAATGAAAAAAATATAACTATATAATTTGTCAATTTTTTGCATACATGTACAAAACAAACTGTCAGAGATATAATTATCTTGCAAAATTCTTAAGTGAATTATTTTTCGTATTTTATAAAACCGCTATAAAAACATCAATTTTTGATAATATATAAAAATTACAATACATTGAAACCTAAGATCTAAAATGTTAACTTATTCACGAAATCTTCCTAAGATTTCTCTCTCTTCTTAAAATTACGTTTACTGGCACATCGGTTAATGATGTCCGTCACGTGGACCTTGTGATCGAATATTTTCATAATCGAACTCTTTGCTTCGATCATCCCGTCGTTTATTATTTTGATTCTTTGCAAATTGCCCTAAAACACGACAAAAATTATTAATCTTTTCGATCTTCGAAACCGCTTCTTATACAAACCTTTATGAGTTCGTTAATCCTGTTAATTTCCTTATCAAACTGCTTCTCAACCTCTTCGGATTCAGTACATTTTAATAGTTCCGTAAGCTGATTGTACACAGTTTGCTCTTGGTCAGCCTGAAAAACGCGAAAATTAAAATCGACAAATCATCCAGATTTCGATAAAACATACCAAATCCTCCATTTGAGTCGATAAATGGTGGATTTTCCATCCGTTCACCTTCTCCTGCACCCTGTACTGGTTAGCGAGATCCATAATGGTCGGCCTTCTTTCGTCCTTTGGCTTCACATCGGAATGCCTCAAATAATGGTTATGCGTGGCTTTCCAATTTTGCTTGTAACTGTTTAGCAAACTCGCCGAAGCTGGTTTTCTAACGGTCGTCACTTGACCTTCGGGTGCCCCATCTTTAGGCTCGTCCGATTGATTCATATCGGAATCTTCTTCCTTCTTGATGGGGTGATCGGAGATGAATTGCATGTCGTCTTTACTTTCGTCCAAATCGTTACCAGTTCTATGCAGAAAATATTTCCTCGTTAGAATGTTCACAACTCAATCTACTCGTTACTTATAGAATATGCGGTCAAAAACTTACAGTTGCTGTTTCCTAGGTTTCTTCCTGGGGCTCATCTCCATAGGAGGCTTGACGTCTTCCTCTTCTTTATTATTAATGATGGCGTGATTACTATCATCGTTTACTTCGGCCAAGCCCGGACTGGAAGTAGCCGATATTGTCGTGCTACCGCCTATAAAAATAATACATATAGTGGATATTTCTAAGAAAATCATTGTCCAAATTACCTGAACTGTGACCGTTGCCCCTGGAATCGGGCCTCGAAGGGGGCGACACCGGCGGCAACGGCTGAATATGCATCTGGGACTGTTGAGCGGGTAGATTGGACAACACAGGAACGAGATTCTTGGCGGCCTTTAGTGGCGAACCTTCGTGGTCTCTTTTTCTCAGTATGCTCGGCCTCGGCGACGATGATACTTTAGTAATCGAATGCGTTTGCTGTTGAAGCGGCTCGTGCACTTGACCAGACTGCTGATCGGATTGCTGAGCGTTACTTCGGCTGGGCTCCACTACCATCACGGAGTTGTAGCGAATTTGCTGATTAGCCGAGACAATACCTAAAAATGGTTATCTACATTTCTGTTCTGATCCCGATCAACATTTAACTATTCATAGGAAGCGCAATTAACAATTATTTGTTATTAAGAGAGCAAGTCTGTTGTTCTTTCGCTCTTATTTTACGAGTCGAACCTCAAAGGTTACTAATGAAATTCGAAATGTAATTGTACTTACTGTGCACTTGTTGAGCATTAACTGGCGGCCGAATGTGCGGCTGATTCAAGGAAGTAAAAGGCCCGGTTTGTTGTTGGCCGAAATTGCGGTTTTGCACTGGATAGCTGTTGGGTCCGTTGTCGTAAAAGTAACCACTAGCAAGGGAGTATGTCGCGACCGTGGTAGTCGGTATGGCACTGCTGGTTTGAGTAATGATACAAGTACTTGCACTAGGACCTGCATAAAAACCGAGAAATTTTACTACAAAATAAATACCGTCAAACTGACGGAAAAATTGAATTGATTAAAGCCACTGTCAGATAATAAACGGCTACACACAAGCGACATCTTCGATAAAGTTAGGTTACTAGAATTTAATTTATTTTAATAACTTACTGGGAGACGAATGTCTGCTGGTTGGCTGTTGTACCGGAGCGTGTATGAACACGTTTGTAGCTGCTGCAGCAGTAACTGAAGCTTGGTTATCATTTTGAGGAAAGACCTTAGCAATGGATATCGCCTGAGGCGGCACTAAAGTCGTCTGTCTCTGTTGTGTAACTATAGCTGCAGGCACGTTAACTGAAGAAAAATAATTTAGTTTTTATACTACCATATTTACCAATATTTGTTAAATCGCTAACAGAAAGATAAGTTCTTATCAATCTAAACGTATCAAAAGTAACAGAGCAAAATCGAACCGGTTAAAGAAGAAATAACAACTGATAACTTCAATATAAATGTCGAAATTGTCAAAGTTTTTACGACTATTTAACAGTGACATACAAGCAGTTAACTAGAATAGAGTTGCACAAAGTGTTCAATCCATCTTCCGAAGATAGTGATAGAAATAGATATTAAATAGATAGAAATATTCCCGAATAGAATTTAAAAATAGGTTCAGATTAAAGAAAGATTCGGTTACCTGGAATACGGTTATTACCGTTATTTACTTCTTTAAATATACAAATTTGATATTCATACTAATTTAGTAATTTGTGTTTATGATTTTCGCATGAAGTTAGGAATAATATCGTATTACCAACTTAATCTTGGTTATTTTTAAGAAAACTGTCTGTTTACTGTAGCAAATATTGTTAACAGACTGTTAAATTTTATCAGACTGACAGTTATTATCAGGTTGATAAGCGGAAATTGATGGGGCGATAATGGTGTGACAAAATGTATATAATACTTACTCGTCCTTGTCGCTGTAGACACCCCAGCTTGAGTAGTTTTTATTTGAGTAGTCAAAGGCGTTAATTGTATAGTACCTAAAACAAATTTTAAACGTACAATAATCAATTTCATCGTAGAAACAATTTACCACACTCACCTTGAGCCGGTTGAGTAATGACTTTAGAACCCTGAGAGGCCAACGTGCCCCTTCCTGGCACGGAGTTTCCGCTCGCCACCGCCACCAACGAATGTAAACTCAACGTCGATATTTTCGTCTGTCCTAAGAAATTCGACGAGGACACTTGCGCCGGCGCCGCCGCCACCGACAGTCGACCGATCGAGAGATTAGGCTGACTAGTGACTATTCTCGTGGTCGTATTCAATGTGGAGGGCGGTTGGGACGTACCGACCGCGGAGATTCTAGTCCCTGACGTTAATACTGTCGCTTGCGGAGTTATCAGACGAGCGCCCGATTGGGTGACGTTCACTGGTACCGTTAGACGAGCGTTCGTAATTTGGCTCTGTAATAAAAAAACTGTGTTTAACAAGGCGTATAATTTGTTTAGGAGCGCTACATACTATAGACCTAGGCTGGGCCGGTCTCGGAATAGACGAGGATGTTGTAGCAACAGTAATCTTTGCAGCTGGTGTGAATTGGGCTGATGTATTGGCGCTGTAAACAAGGGCCTGCGTACGAGCCGGTAAAACTTGAGCTATTGTTACAGTGTTTCCCAACGCTTGAATTGTAGATGAACCACCTTTGAATGATGGTATCTGAAATAATAAAAAAAAACATTCATAAAATGCTCTAGTAGGTAAGAACAAAATTAATAAAAAAAATTTGAACTTTTTATCAGCATTTAAGTAATTTTCATAAGTTTAATTCAAATAAACCCTTTATTAAATATTCATCATAATAACAACAAAAAATCCTTGAGTATATTTTCATACTAAACCATTGCCACTGCTATTATTTTATACAAATTAATTATTACATACCATATGTTATATTTATAAACTATTTCAGTTAACAAAAAAAACAATACCTGTGTGGGTTGTCCAATTGAAATTGCATTTTGCAATATTGTACCAGGACGAATGGTCGGAACAGTTTGTGGTTGGGTTCTAATAACCGCAGGCTTCCCGGTTACAGTGGCTCCTCGAACAGGCGAACTCAGCACGGTCGGGGCTCCTTTAATCTGAGAACCGCTTGAGTTGTTCGTCAGCCAGGCTGTTCCGGAAGCAGGGCTGGGCGTTCGGGGCGGTCGAACGAACGTATGAGACTGCGTAAAAGTAATTTTTAACATTAAACAAACGTAAAAAACAATAAATATCGAGTAATTTGACGTACCTGGGTACCTTGAGCGGTTACCACCATGGGCGTTCTGCCTGTACCTACGTTGCTTCTTGGTGCTGCGAGATTCGCGACCACTGCGGGGCCCCTAGGAACATGATATGACGCCCCAATGCTCTGAGCACCGGTAGAAAGAGTAATCTGTGTAGGCCTCGCTAAGTTAGTGGTCACTTGAGGTTGGGAAGTGTTGCTTGTAATGATACTCGCGATCTGCGTTCTGCTAGAATCTACAAAAAAACATTCATTGAAACAAACCAGAGGGAGCTGACCGGATCGAACAAACCTGGCTTAAGAACAGCCGGAGAAACTAAATTTGTCGCGATAATAGTAGGTCCACTGAGAGAAGTGCTCGAACTGGGAACGCCCTGAGTCAACACCCTCATGCCCCTCAAAGACTGATTAGACATCACCAGAGGAGTCTTGCCTTCCACTGTTCTGATGTTCGTTATTTGGTTTTTCGCCAAGTCCAAGGGAACTGCTTTCGGGGAATCTTTTTCGTCGTCACCGTTTGTACTCATATTTAGCGTTAAAATATCCTTCAATCACACACAAATTAAAAATAATACGAGCTAATTCGATATTAGCATCTGTTTTTCAAAAAAAAACTCACAAATAAAATCTCTCTATGATACAAGAGTTAAAAAGTCTGCGATATATGACACAATTTCAAGACGACGTAACTTTTTTCATTCGCGTTTAAATATGCCATAACTAATTTAAATAAAAGCAATTTTTTTACTTCACTCAATTCAACTTTAAAATTACACTAATGGCGGATGAGAGACTGGAAAGGTTACAAAGATTTGGCAACGCTGTGCGCACAAAATTGTCAAGTGGGTAAAAGAGAGTACGTTCACATTTTAACTAATTATTATAATTTTTATAATGAACAAATATTAGATTGATCGTAAAAAAACTGGCAATAGTTAAAATTGTAAGGTAATTTATGTTGTTTTGAAGTGATACTTTTAAATTTTCCTAGTTTAATTAAAATAATTTTTGGTGACCAAATACCTTCAACAACGATGGCCACTCATTCTGTGAAAGAAACAGAAATTTATGTTCTGCGAGTATTTGTCTCTAACTTCACTCTATTTAATTTCAATTTTAGATCATTTGACAGGTCTAGGAAAGAAATTTAATTTAATCAAAGTCATCCTACATTTATTCGTGAATATCAAACAGTGAAAATGTCGGCCTTACCAGGAGCCATTGCTTTCGACGAATATGGTAGACCATTTATTATTTTAAGAGACCAAGACAAGCAAAAACGATTGACCGGAATCGATGCTCTGAAGGTAGGGTTATGTTTTGATTTATGACAACTCAGACAACTGCTAAAATTTATTTTAATATATAACTTAAATTACCACAAATATAGTTCTTTACCGCTCTAAATCGAAAAGTCTCAACGTAAATTTTCGTTTCAGTCGCACATTTTAGCCGCGAGTCAAATTGCTCACACTGTTCGCACCTCTTTGGGGCCCAAAGGCCTAGACAAGATGATGGTCTCCTCTGATGGTAATTATAATTTGAATTGGAACTGATCATTAGTTCGTTCGATTTACAATTCGCTAATTGTCATTTATTTTTAGGAGAAGTTACCGTAACTAATGACGGGGCTACTATTTTGAAGATGATGGATGTTGAACATGAAGTAGCTAAATTGTTAGTTCAACTATCTCAATCACAGGATGATGAAATAGGTAAAATATTTATTGTATTAAATTATTGGTGTTAATATTTTCCTTAATTGTTTTTAAGGGGATGGAACTACTGGAGTAGTAGTACTAGCAGGGGCTCTGCTGGAACAAGCCGGCGCCCTCTTGGACCGTGGAATCCATCCGATAAGAATAGCCGATGGCTTCGAATTGGCATGCCAAACGGCTGTGGATCATCTGGAGAAAATCGCCGAACTGTTTCCAGTTTCCGCTGAAAACACCGAGCCCCTTGTGAAAGTTGCGATGACCACTTTAGGCTCGAAAATAATTAACAAGTGTCACAGGCAAATGGCCGAAATCGCCGTCAATGGGGTATTAGCTGTGGCGGATCTCGAACAAAAGGATGTCAACTTTGAACTCATTAAAGTAGAAGGAAAGGTACTAATTTAGTGATTTGTATTGTTTGAAGTAGTACTACAATTGGGTTTTCTTTAGGTTGGTGGTAAATTGGAAGACACGACATTAGTGAAAGGTGTCGTTATAGATAAAACAATGTCTCATCCTCAAATGCCGAAGGAACTTAAGAATGTTAAATTGGCAATCCTCACCTGCCCGTTTGAACCTCCCAAACCCAAGACCAAGCATAAGTTGGATGTCACCAGCGTAGAAGACTACAAAGAACTAAGATTGTACGAACAAGAAAAATTCAAGGAAATTGTAAGTAAATTATCGAATGTAGAATGTCAAACACTAACATTTAATATTTCTTTAGGTTGGCTTAGTCAAAAAAGCTGGAGCTACCTTGGCCATTTGCCAATGGGGATTCGATGATGAAGCTAACCATTTGCTGTTGCAGCAGGAGTTGCCTGCTATAAGATGGGTAAGTATCATCAGAAATAAAATTAATAGTTTAAACTAATGATGTATTTGTAATGTATTAGGTTGGTGGTCCAGAAATAGAGCTGATAGCCATCGCGACTGGAGGAAGAATAGTTCCACGATTCGAGGAACTTAGCCCTGAAAAACTCGGCTCTGCCGGTTTGGTGCGCGAGATATCGTTTGGAACTACCAAAGATAAGATGATGGTGATTGAAGAATGCTCGAATTCCCGTGCCGTTACCATTCTTGTCAGAGGCGGTAATCAAATGTTGGTTGATGAAGCTAAGAGGAGTTTACACGATGCTTTGTGTGTTGTGAGGAGTCTCATTCAGGTGTGTAGTTTGTAACGATTTTTGTAATTGATTATTTACGTGATTTATTTATTGTATATAGGAACCAAGAGTCGTGTACGGAGGAGGTGCAGCTGAAATAGCTTGCAGTTTAGCTGTGGCAGCTCAAGCCGATCAGTTGGCTTCTTTGGAACAATACGCTTATCGGGCATTTGCTGAAGCGTTGGAAAGCATTCCGCTGGCTCTAGCTGAGAATTCCGGTTTCTCCGCCATCCATACTTTGGGAGAAATCAAGGTAATTGCGTTTTTGTTAAATGTTTTGTTTAGAAATTAACGATGTGGAATATTTTAGGCAAAGCAAGCTGCATCGGGAGATCCGGCACTTGGCGTCGATTGCATGAATATTGGCAACATAAACATGAGAGAACAGCATGTTACAGAATCTCTGCGATCTAAGAGGCAACAATTGTTGTTGGCTACGCAATTAGTGAAAATGATTCTGAAGATTGACGATGTACGTCAACCTGGCTCCGGCTAATTCAGTTTCCGATCGCAAAAATTTGTTCCGCTTTTAATTATCACTAATTGTAATGTTACTTACTTACAGATTTGTACCGCTCTTTCTGTATACCAGTTAACTTATAGTATTAAAAAATAATTTATAAAAAATACTCGTGTGTTACATTTTAAAACTACCGGAATATTTTTAAATAGTTTTATTTAGTTATATATAAATGTTTTACAAATATTTTGTTTCAACTATTAGGTAAAAACATACAATACTTAAAATAAGAGAAATACGGTTTTACAGTTATCAAAGGGGTGAGGACCTATAATCACATAATGTCTAATAGGTGTGTAAAAATTCCAGTAGCCCATTGGTTTATGCGGAACTGTAATTTGATGACAACTCAGTAATTTCTAATTTTTAGTTCTTTAAATACCATTCATCAAAAATAATTTAGTACAGGCAAATACAGCCTATAAATGGCCTAATAAGTTCTCATAGACGTTGAAGCTCTAAGATGGACGGTATTGACAATGTTTATTGTCTGTCAGTTCATTGAGTTTGGTTTGTTGTAAAATTAATATTTGCACAAAGGCTCGCTTGAACTTTTCAGCATGTTTACTTGATGTTTTATTAATTTAATCATTAAATTAATTGTTAATGAGCGTTTGCGCAACGTGGAAATTGTCCCACATTATTCAAGGTATTTCCAGATCTTTAGTTACACAGTTTAGTAAACAGTAACTGGACGTTTTGTATTCAACAACCAATTGGCCAATGGATTTTTTCATTATTGGTTAACAGTTCAAAAATTATAATACGTATTATTAGACAAAAAAAATACACTATTAGTAAATAAGACATTAAAACATGTCTACATACATTTCTGCCAAATCTGCAATCTACTACGGGCGCTTATTTACTATAAAATATGGTCACATTTAAGCCAATACACTTTTTTTTTAATTTAACAGTAATAAATTACTAATTTTTATCTAAATATTTAAAATTAATATTAAGACAAACATTTTTTATAAAGTATACAAAACATCGAGAGCATTTTGTTCTTAATATTAATTCGAGTTGTAGCACCCATTTCTAACATTTCACAACAAATATATTAACTAACAAATTTCAATACATATTTTTTCATCTATAAATTTTTGTCCAATTTACTTTATTCCACAATAATTTGCATTTTGAAAATTTGGCACAATTTCTGGAATAGAAAATAAAGCAGAACTTTAGAATAAACGAAAAAACTTCATTAAATAATAAAAAAATACACATGAATTATATTTTTTCAAGTGAAAAATCAGTCGTGTTTTTTGGCTAGTTTACTAGTTATAATATCAACGAACTAAAAAATACAGCCAAATTTCAAACGGTATCAATAAATATCGACTACTCTAAATATATCGCTAAAATTACATTATATTCAGAATAAAAAAAATAAGCACAAATGAGCATATTCGAGAAAATATTCGAGGAAGGATGACAAAAACGAAAATAAAAAAAGAACATCGAATTTGGATAAAAGAGTATATAAAATAAAATATATAATGTTAGTAAATTAGAGTATTAATTTTAACTGAAGACGAACGGAAGTAATTTTACCAGTAAAATAAACTAATCGAGATCACAAGAATACATATTAATTCATCACGTAGTTTAAGAATTAAATTATATGAATGACTATTAGTAAGTACAAAACATCAGATCTTAGTAAGTACAAAAAATCGGAACACTTATGCAAAAGTACCAAATAAAGAAGATCGTATCACCTATTTAATTGGTCTCTTATTTCTATTTTACTTTTTATATTGTCTTGAACTGGAATCCAAATATTCCCCTTTTCAACTCAATTACTTATCTACTTTGGAAAAGAAGTACTGGTTAACGAGCGGTTTAAAGTTAATTTAGCCTAATCACATCGGCGTTTACCCCACAACATACTCGTATAATACTACACAAATACTAACTCCTCATGTTAAACAACAGAAGCACCTACATCAGTTACAAAAATTTACTGGCCTTGTTCTAACGAATATGAAATAGGTTTTGAGAATACTTTTTAATATCGGTTCTAATATCAATTACTTGGACAATCGTGCAAAAACTAACGCACTTGTGATCTCTCCATGCTTAAAATCGAACGGAGACGACATTGTTTCTAATTTTTTCAAAGGAAATATAGTTAATTGTTTTTGAGTTTCCCAATCCCTATTATTTTTAATTTAAATTTCCTGAATTTTACTCGATAGTGATGTCGTGATGTCGTTTCCTTACGATTTTAATTAGGTGCTTAAAATATAGAATAATGTGAGCAATGCGTACATAACGTAAATTATAAATGTAAGTCTCTGTTAAATCACTTAGTAAAAACTAATAATCATTTAATTTCGACGCGTCTGATTAGAAAATGTAGAGCTCACAAATCAGCAATACAAGGATAAGATCTGCATGATTAATTTCTATTATTTTGTAATAAGAGTAATGATTTATGGGTGTCCCATAACGACCTTAAGCACTCCACTGGAGAAATAATTGTTAGTACAGAGCAGTTCTCATTTTAATTAAAATGCTTTTACTTTAGGACTATTTCAAGAAAACAAACTGTTATTTTATGCAATTTTGTGTAATAATTACTATACATACATCTAAATGCTATTTTGTGGTATACTTTTTAAATTTGGAATGTCTATGCTGGGTTACTCACACAAATCCATCATAAAAATAACGTGTATTGAATGAATATTTTAGGTCGTTTTGGGACATCCTTTATGTGAATAATCAGTTTCATTCGCGTCGAAATTATCCACTTATCCCATCCACCCCACCCCTGTTTCCATTCATTCTTCCACATTTACTTGTAATAACACAGAACCTAATCACTACATATTGTATCATACAGACTCAGCTTCAGTAACAAATAATCTACATTATAGTGATAAAATATTACGAATGTAAAAAACGCTTATTAAAGTTAACGCTTGTCGAAAGAAACCCTAACGATTACGTTTAGATATTGAATTGAAAGCCGCGTCTATTCGAAAAACTAAGAACTTTCAGCTGAAATTTGATTCCCGAATTTGATTTGATTTTATCACTGATAATGCATGTCGATGGAGAGCGCGCTCACAGCTTTTTAACTTTGCTCTTTTTCGCCCCGCGGCACAAAGTCTGGCACACGTCGAGCCAGGCCTGCTCGTAGTCGCTGGCCGACACTCCCGACGAGGACGATGGGCTGTGCGACACGCATTCGCAGACCAACTTGGCCAGTCAATCGACCAGGATGCCCTGCGAGACGTTCACCAGCGTCTCCTTCAACAGCTTGAACGACGGCCGATTTTCGGGCAGGTGCGACCAACATTTTCGCATCACCTGCAAACATATAAGGATCGTTAAATGGGACTCGATAAAAGCGCTTGAGTACAGACAAAATTAGGTGTAAAAATATCAGAATCTAAGTAATTTTCATAGGCTTGTTTCAAATAAACCCTTTATAAAATGTACATCATTAAAAATGTGCTGGGTGCATTTCAGTTTGTAATATGGTTATTTCTATAAGTTGAACAAAGAAAGTTTTATGTTTTCCGTATTTATAAAAAGATGCATTGACAGGGTGCATTTACGTTAGAACTGTCTAGAATCATTTAGAACGCTTTAGAATGATCTAGAACTGTCCAGATCAATCCATAATGGTCTAGAATCGTTTAGAACGCTCCAGAATCATTTAGAACTGTTTGGACTCATTTATAATGCTTCAGAATCGTTTAGAACTGTCTAGATTAATCTAGAACGCTCCAGAATCAGTTAAAACTGTCTAGAACAATCTGGAATGCTCCAGAATCATTTAAACAGTCTAGAACTGCTTAGAACCGTTTAGAATGCTCCAGAATCATCTTGATCTGACTAAAATCGTTTAGATCATGTTATACTATCAACTTACATCATATACTTCTTTGTAACAAGCTTTTGGCTTTTCCAAAATCAATCCTTTCTGAACACGTTCAACGACTTCGGTGTTTTTTAATCTACCATAGGGCATCTTCCCGCAAGTAAACACTTCCCACATTAAAACACCTACGAAATGTACAGTTTTAGGAATTAACATTCAAAAAAATTAAATATACAATTAGCTTACCGTACGCCCAAATGTCGGATTTAGAGGAGAATCTGGTATAATTCAGGACTTCCGGAGGGGCCCATTTTATAGGGAATTTAGAACCGCCAGAAGAAGTGTACTGGTCATCTAAAACGTATCGGGCCAATCCGAAATCAGCGACTTTGACGATATTTTCCGTTCCTACTAAGCAATTCCTCGCGGCCAAGTCCCTGTGGATGTAGTTGTGTCTTTCGAGGTAAGCCATTCCTTTGCACACCTTAAAATTTAATGTGAAATAAGGAAAAACTGCTCGAAACGGAGCTGTTTCACTTACTTGTATGCACATGTCTAATAAAAGTCCCTGATTGACGCTTAATGATTGTTCGTGCCTTCTTAAGTGATTCAAAAGTGAGCCGTACCTCATGTATTCAGTTACGATGAATATAGGTCTGTTTTTACTGCACACTCCGTACAATTGGACTAAATTAGGATGTTGCAATTTTCTGAAAAAAATCAATATTTAATTACTAAAAAATGAAATTATTAACGTGAACTTGTGATATACGACAATTATGAATCAGTAATTAAAGTAATTTTCATACATTTATATCTCAAATAAACCCTTTATTAAATACACATCATATTAAAAAACTATAATTGTACTGTAATCAGAAATGGTGTTTACAGGGTGTCCCGTATAAGAGCCGACACAGAGCAACTTAATTTAATACAAAGTTACATTCCTGAGAAGTCATAGGCCTTCTACAAGGGTAAGGTGAAAAGTTCTCGGCTTGAACAAGGAAAGACCGAGATTTTCGGCTGAAAAATAGTGCTTAATTATAGCATTCTAAATGACTATGGAGCGTTCTCAATGGTTTTATATAGTTCTAAATGATTCTAGAGCATTATAAATGGTTCTAGACAGTTTTAAATGATTCGGGAGTGTTCTAGATTACTCTAGACAGTTCTAAATGATTCTGGAGCGTTCTAACTGGTTCTAGATAGTTCTATATGGTTCTGGAGCGTTCTAAATGGATTAAGCGTTTAAAAGTTATAAGCTGATTAAACGGGCTACTTTTCATAGGGATACCCTATATTTTAGGCTCCCCTACTCTATGTCGGTTCTTATGCGGGACAACCTGTATATTAATTTCTACTAACGTCATGACTTTAGCTTCTTCGATGAAATCATCCTCAGACATTGTACCCTCCTTCATCATCTTAACCGCCACGTCGATGGAACCTCTCCATTTGCCTCTTCTCACCACACCGAATTGCCCGGAACCCAATTCCTCCAAGAGCATCAACTCGTTATGATCGATTTCCCATTTATCTGAAATATAGAAAGGCGATTTAATTAAATTGGTGTAAGTGCATGTGCCGGCTTAAAATAATGAGTTATGAATTGCGTACCGTGACTAAGCCCCGCTGTAGCCGGGGCAGGTCTATCGCAAGGACTCGTTTTCAATCTCGACGCTAATCCCCCGCTGTTGTGCTTGTGGTAATTGATTAAATCTGGTATGGAGCTACAGCAATGCTTTTCGGATAGGTAGTATTCGCCTGTTCTTTCGTTTTGTTTTATATGATAGTGCTTCACGTGCGGATGCGGACTAGAAACATAAACATTTTTGTAGATCGTAGATTTCGAAAACTGTAAATGTTATGTATTTATAATTATTTTCAGTTTTTATTGGTTTTTAAGAGTTGTGAATTTATGACGCACGTGAAAGTTTTAATAACTTTTACTGAACCGTTAAAAGCTGCAAGGTCAATGTATTGATACAAAAATAAATGCGCTAATTACTGCAAAAATTTCGGGGTATTTCTTTAACTGCGTTCGCTCGGAGGATCATAAATAAATTCAAGATGTATACTTACATTTTTGTATAGAGTGATAATGTGTAAAGACCTTTTGTCGATGAATTTCTAACTACGAAACATCCTTCTTTGTCTTCATTCTTCAGAAGGGATTCAGATCTTTGTCTAGACATGTCGTTTACATACCAACTAAAAATATCTTCATTTAAAATATTTACTCGATAAATAATTATATTAACACTTTCATTAATCAACCAAAAGTATCTAATTTAATATTAAAAATTTATCCTTCGTTTATTAATAGAGATTCTACAAATATAATAAGAAATATTACTCACTCGTATTGTTGTAAACCTAAGGATTCCTTTTCTTTCACATAATTACTTGGAATATATCCAATATTTCTGAAAGAAAAACAAACACAATTAATCGAAATACACTCAATAACAGTAGCAAAATGCAAATAAAACAGATGGAATCAGTTAGCAATTGAAGTTTCATTACTATTCAAATAAACCCTTTAAAATTACGTATAAGCATCACGAGCAGGAATTAAATTATTTTAATGTTATTTAGGTATTCAAATGGTTTATATACCCTTTAGAATCTCTGACTTTCCACCAATGTTCCTGAGAATCATCGATCACATCGTAAGATTGATTCTTCTCCAATGATAAATCACCACTTTCTATTGCTTTGTAATTGTATAAGGCCACAACAACCTTAGTTCTCGGGTTGATTTTTTCTTTAGGTTTGGAAGAGGGCGTCCCTGGAGTTCCTTCACTCGGCATCATCTGACCAGAATTCGTGCCTGCGAAAATAAATATTCGAATAAAACCATCAACACTAAATATAATTTGTGTTACAAAAACATTAAATAACAACACAAAAATCAAGTAAGCCACACGAAGTTTTATAATCAAACTTAAGTTGTTTTAATTCAAAAATTGTGCTGTAGATTTGATTAGATTGAAAATATACAGTGTTCAATTTAAACGGAATTAGTGAATTTTTAGATATTTCCCTTATAATTCTTGGATGCATTGCTGTTATTAGTGAAATAATATGAAGTATAAGAAAATTAATTCAAGAATATAATAAGTGGATTAATTGTTTGTACCAGTTCTAAACGATTAAATATAAGCATAGCCGCCCTTGAGGATTTGTGGAAGTGCAAAAGCAAATCTGGAAAAGGAAAATCCAGCGAGGCGAACTTACCGGACGGTTTACGTTGTACTTTAAGGAACAGGGGTGTCTTTTTCATATAACAAGAATATAACATATCGTTAACTAATGGTAGATACCTTCTATTAGACGATTGACGGTGTGCTGTTAACACATAAAGAAATTCGATTCAGATTTTCCATGGAGCGCAAATAAATTAAGAGCGTGAATTCAACGTGTAGCATTTACTGTAATTTTCTTCGATTAATTAATTATTCACAAATCACTGTAAAAATTCCAAAAAAATACTTTGGAAATTGGAAATAATCCAGACCACGGCCGTATATTTAGCCTCTCATTATACGACCGTGATCCAGACACTTGAACTACGTCATTGTTTAAAAGTACATGTCAAAGTCAAATGCCAAATTTTGACATTGACGTATATCGGAGTTCCTTCCTATTACTGTCAACTGTCAATCAGTGTTTTTAAAATGTAATTTCATCAAATTTATAAACAATTCACAATTGTGTTTTTTGGCTGCATTTTGTCTACTGGCAACGGTATATCTCTACGACATTTATGTGAGTACTAAAATATAGCTATCCTATGGACTGTAAATTAATAATTACATTTATTTCTAGAGATTTATTAATTTTATCTGCACTAATAGCATGTTTGGCAAATTCACTTGGAAGCGAAGATTTGTTCAATGGTAGCATGAAATTGTTAGTATTTGTTAAAAATATCAAACGTTGATATTTTATAATACTGTATATAATAAATACATCAATTATTCCAATCTCTGCTATTACTTCGAAAAGCAGTATTCGAAATACTGGTATCTAGATTAACTTGCTTTAAGGCTTTGTAAGTGTTTGTAATAAATGTACATGCAGATGTTTGTATATTTACTTTAGGAAATATATAATATGCGTTGTAAAGTTAGATAGGATGGACTTGACTCGGGGACTATAGTCCTATACAGATAAGCTCGGGGAATCAGAAATAGAGTTCGGAAATGGATACCAAAAGTACGATCGATGGAAATGAAATATCAGACAAAAATTGGCAAAAATTGAGTAAAACCCTTAGTTAATATACACTTAGACGATTGTATCGTATGCTAGAAAAATGTATCAAGGCTTTACCAGGGAACAAAAAGGCTCATATAGAAATATATCCAAAAAACGATACCCTATAAAGTACAAGTCTTCTTATTTTAAAATCATATTCTTTATTACTAAATTATATTGGCATGGTGGAATTATATTGGCATTCTTTATTACTAAATTATATTGGCATGGTGGAACTTTTCGTTCATTTTTGACTAATAAATGCACACAAAAAAATCAATAATTATTATTAAAGACCCTAAATACCTTAATTTTAAACAAATCAAGAGGTTTCATTTTGTTCAATTGCTATTTCCTATTATAATTTATGCAGTCGAATTATAGGTAATTTAAATCATTCAATCAATTGTATTTATCCATTGTGCAAGTAACTTCATCAGATTTTTGCCTATTTCAACATACTCTTGAAAACTCAAATCTACTAAAAACAATATCTAATACTTAATTCATTGTGTATTAAATAGGATTGGTATTATTTTACGTTGCAATACACCTGAATTATCGTTACGTTTTATTGTTATTTTGAAATAATTAGATAATATCGAAATGGAAAGCCTTTCAAAAATCATCATTTAAACGAAACGTAAGGGTCGATTGCATTTTAATTTAAAACTTAATAACGGGCATAATATCGTTTTGTAATAATGATTGATTAAATATGCTAATCTTAGGTAATAGCCACCTGTTTGGCCATGAAAGAGTCGCTCAATACATTTATTTGTAGTTTTTACAATTGAGGAGATACACTAGAAAGACGTCGTCGTTAAATTCGATTGCAAATTAATAGGTATGAATGAAGAAGCCATTAATTTCTAAAATAGAACCGGTACGAACTTTTTCCTAATATGCAAAGGTAATTAACTAGGTTACTGTTTACGTGGATCGCGATTTTTTTCAAAGATTCGCGATTGCGTGAATCACTGGAACGCGTTTAAGGAAACTGACACATCGTTTTTTCGGAAAATCTCCAGCACAACGTCGATGAAAAGCCACATTTTCAGGAAATTAACATCACCGTTATCGCCTCGACTAACGCAGACCACAATCGAATGTCGACATGTGCAGTCGGCAATCGTCTGTTTATTACCTGCATTTTAACACGTTACGCAGATTCCCGAATGTAATTAAGTTATTAAGCTAAAATCAACTCACCAGTGGCACTTCTGAAGACGTTAACTAGCATATCGAATTGCATTTTGACTAACAACAATAGGCCCTCCACTATTATGGTATAAACATAATGCAGGTAAAAGAAGAGACTACTTATCGTGCCAAGGTAACTACCAACTTGTTCGTTCGCCGATCACCGTTAGTGGGACAGGTTTTCGAGTGACGTTTCATCGACGTCGGATGGTATTAGCGGCGTATTAGCTAACAAGAAGCCATCGCCATCGGGACAGGAGACGAGACAAAAGAGCTTCATGAAGTAATGCCTACCTGCGGGCTGGTAATGGAGACGGTGCGAATATGACCAAAAGTCGATGTTTATTGGGAATCGATACGTTAATAAGGCAATTTCGAGGAGTCAAAGGGAACGAAAACCCCCTACGTTTAGAGGGATGTGTGAAAATTGGGCTGTATAATTAAAGGATCTCCTTGCGAAGCGAATGTTTTATGAAAAGGAGATGTTTACTCGTTATACAAAATTGATAAAGGTTAATGAGACTTGAAAATGCTTACTGTACTTGTACGACCTGTTATGTAAATTTCAATATTAGGAAACAATTTATATCAATAATCGTTCTATTATTAGATGTTTATGTATATTTTTTTGGGAATTTTAAAAAATTGAATGGGAATTAAATTACATATCTTATTTATTCTCTACCAAGAGATTTCTTGTTATTCTTCAAATATGAAAGTACCTACAAATTTTATTCCACCTAAATAAGCTTCATATAAAATATCTACTTATAAATTATTAAAATCCCATTCTACAAATTCTAAAATTAACTCGTAATTATGAAGCGCCAGCAATAAAAGATACATGCTTCATATGGAAATAGATACTTTCTAAGTTAATCGGGGGCAGATATAATGGAAATTTTACAAATCTAATATAACACTTCGATAGTGTAATGATTCACCTACTTATAATTGTTGATACAAGTATCATTAACATAATGGATTCGTAGGTAAGTTAAGTGAACAATAATAGCCAATATGGGAGAATTATTGAACTTTAAGACTTTGTACAAAGATAAGTATCGATATTGTAAACACATTAAAAAAATGAGAATGAATTACATATTTCATTGCATTAAGTCGTTTCCTATTTTTGTAAGAATTGAGCAATAGGTGTACATAGAATCTGGTCACATATCACATACAAAAAATATTGATTACCGAACGTTAAAAGGATATAGTTTTTTCATTAAATTCAAAACAACTCGTAAAACTAAGTTAAACTTATCGTTATTTATAAAGGTTTTTTCATTTGATTTACATTACAACCCAATTCTTTGTTGCAATAAACAATCATGTACGGCTAATGTTGTTACCACCATCAAGTAACTTAATATCTAAATTATCTATTACAATTTGAACATTGCAGCGAATACATACCTGAATTGTATCGTGGGAATCCCAAAAAAAGATTAAAACTTGACTGTTCAGTCAAAAGAGCGGTTTTTTACAGCTTAAAAATGTTGAAAATAAAATATCACGTCAAACGACTGTACATCAGTTCCACCCTTACTAATGCGCATATTCGCCCTTCTGTCTGGTTCGACTCACCCTCTTGTATTTATCATAACAGGACCGTATTCGTTTTTATTAAATTGACTATAATTCTTTTAATTCAATACTAATATTCTTAACGTCGAGGAAAAAAGCATTTTGTTTATTTTAAAGTCCTTATTAAATTGCTACTAACAATAAGGCAAACATCTGTTCTAAAGTAGTTCTAAGAAAGGGTTTTTAAAAGGTTCACATTAGACTTTTTGAGTTTTTATTGTACTTTTATTTAAATTACAATTATAGAAAATACATACCTAGTAACTCATTCCTTTACCAACATTTCTCAATATATTTACAATATCTAGAAATCTTCGATTATTCTTCAAATGATTAATTATATTAGATTAACAAACGAACAAGTTTTTACGTTAGAAACGAAAATATTCACTTAAAAACAGCAATTTTGTTAGTTTATTCCAAACTGGTTATATTACAAAATTTCTAGATTTAAATTAACAAAGCGAATTAATCGTTAAGTAAACAAAAAGAATCCCTAAAAGAAAAAAATATGAGGATCAAAAAATTTGCAGTCGTTTATTTTAGTACAAATTTCAACTGAATTAAACCTATGACAACTTTTTCGCTTTTTGATAGAGAGTGTCTACGACTTTACTCATACTCTGGATGGTTTCGAGAGCCATTTCATAGGTTTTGTCTACCGGAGTTTCTTCAAACACTATCAGGACACCTAAAAATTACAAAAAAATTAAATTCAACAATTGATTGATTCATATTTAATAAGTGCAAATAGTATGCAATATGGTCAACAAAAAAAGACTATTAAAGTAACGGTGGTTAAAGTGAGAAAGTAGCAATCCCACAATATCACTCTTTTACCTTTATATGAGACTAATAGTAGTTGTCTTTGTTACACCCATAGACCATATTGGGTACAAATTTACACTTACAAGAAAATACACTATACAAGAAAATGTTATTACTTACCATCACCCTGGTCTAAAATTCCATGAAACTTGGCATCTAAAATCATCTGCGATAGTTTCTTCTCTACTTGTAAAACAGGAAGCTTAATCGTTTTTGCTATATATTCTACTTGGACACGCGAGTAAGGTTCAATGATTCTGCACAAATTTTGTTCTAACATATTGTCGTAGAGGGTTCCTAAATGTGCTCGTACGATAACGTCATCTTCCAGCTCATGTTTGAATTGTTTTACGGCAAGTTGAAAATCTGCAAGAGATCTGAAACAAAAGCAAATAAACTAAAGTTTATCGAACACAGGCTGGTTATTAATAGACAAACAATCCAAGAACATGCCTGTCAACAAATTTTGTCATTTGCAATAGAGTTGCAGTAAATTTGACGCGGATGTATCGAACGAATTGCTTATAAAGATCTTACCTTTTATGGGCTGCTTGTGCGACTGCTTTCATGGCCTCGATATCTTTACCTGCATACTTTATGGCTAATTTTCCACTCACAATTTGCTGTACGTCTTCGGGACTATTAATCATAATTTTGGACAGAAGCATGTACTTAAGAGCAGTCAGAGCTTTGGGAGATTCGACGCTATCGAACCCTTCGAAGGCTTCGTAAAAATAGGAGTAAGCTGTCTTGAAATCCTTTTCGTCGGCTGCGTGCAGCACGCCCGATTGCAGATCGAGGGCGGCCTGCATCTTCGGAGGGCAATAAATAGCGTTAGCGGTCGTTCTAGCGGACGTTAGAGCGGCTCGAGCTTTGGGTAAATTGCTGAGAGCGTGATATGTTTTGCTTTCGAGCAGTTGCACTTCGACCAGCAGATTTTTGTCGTCCAGTTTCTTCAGCTCTTTTAACAGGGTGGATTCCAGTTGTAGGGCATCGGTGTACATTCCGGTATCGAAATACAGGGCGATCAGGCGCGCTTCCAGCGATTGGCGCAAAAACGTTCTTCTCTCCTCTTTCGCCCATTCTATACATTCTTTACACAGTTGTACCTCAATGCCGATACCTGCCTCCAAGTCCAAAAAGTAATCAACCAGTGATCTAACTAATTTTGCTGCTTTTGCTTTGCTAATAAGACTCAGAAATGGTCTGGTAGCCTTTATCAGCTCGGCTAGTTCTTTAGCCTTGCCCTCCTTTTTGTACTTCTCGCCCAAGTTGAGGATGTCCTGCTCTTTATTAACAATATTCTCCTCGTCATCTTCGTCTGCCGGATTTAATTTTAACAACTTGTCATGTTGAGAAGGAACGGACTGAGCTCTTTCGAATAACATTGCACCAGCCATATTTCTTACTTCTTCACTGCATTAAAAAGCACTGTCATCGTCCGGAATGACAAGCGTGTTGTCTTTTGACAGCTTGTAAACAGCTTTCAATTGTCACTGATGTTGGTACACCTGCTATCATTCTTAGGCAATTTCACGATTTTTCGTTGACAAATTATTTATTTATTTATTTAAATAATACATTCTTTTGTAAGTAGTACGATAACCTATTATACTCTATTTATAAATTTTAAACACTAAAAATTTAGTTATTAGAGAAATACAACAAAAAAAACGGCGACAAGTTACTAAATACTTAACAGTTGGCGCTACTGCCTTTAGCGGATGTTTTCGATAGTATTAATTTTTGAATAGTTGGTAATCCTTATTTTCATCGCAAGTTCGAAGTTTGCTGTGGAGAGGCGTCAGTGAAAAGTAAATTACAATTTTAATTTGTGTACGTACGATTCTATACTTTAGAATATATTGGTGTTTATAATATCGATAATTGTATTCACTGGTACATGTGTTTCGATATAACAGCGTGATATGAGCGATAGAGAGGTGAGAGCAGTAACCTATTATTTGATTTTCTCGGATTGACGTTTTTCGAAAGACGCCATGTGCAACCGGCCCGACGTCGCGGGCGAAATATTCGCCTTGCCGATAAAGTTTATGCTTGCAATTAACGTGCGGCCGTTGTTTTTCATTCTAGAGGAGCTGTTCGCTTGGTGATAACGCTATGGCTGAACATTCACCACACGCGAGGCGAGACGATTCGCCCAGGAACCACAAAGTGAAGAGCTATTCTAGGTTTGTGTACTGTTTTGTTTGATCAATTTCTGTTTGAGGCATGAATTACTTGTTAGTAGGGTGCTGTTAGTATATTAATTCAACGGTTTTGGTCATTACGTAAATCTCGGGATAATTTCGTATTTCTATGTTATGTATGCATGTATTTAAAAACTTGGGATGGATTTAGAACAAGTGTTGAATAATATTGTGTTTTTTTAGGCTTATTATTCAATTGTGTTACTGTGGATGGTTTACCAACAACGTATATTAAAAAATTGTACTTTATTATGAAAATTATTACCCCCGGAAACGGAATCAAAATAGCTATTTTTCTAAAATTAGAAATTCATATTTTGTGTGCCTACTAGCATTGACTACTATGCATTTGGACCTAACTTAAATAAATTGAAGAAAATTTAATTCGATTATCGGGAGTTATTAAACGTTTGCAGGATTTATAATCTTTAAATTAAATGGTGTTTTGGTTTTGTTAATTTTATTAGTGTTTTGTGATAATTACATTATAAATTAGTTCTTTATATTTTAAAGGACGTTTTCCCAAAGTCATCTATGTAAATTAATTTCATTCCTACTACCAGAAATAACAAGGAACTAGAGTCATTTAATACACATCTTATTGTTTTTACCGAACATGTACTATTTAAAAAAATTTAGTATGTAAGCAAATTTCAAAAAAACAAATGATTTTACCATAAACAATTTTATTATTGTATTATATTTAATTCAATAATTGATTTGTAAATGCTGCACCAGAATTAAATGCCAAAAACATCCATAAATTCTGGGTTTATCGCAAAATAAATAATGAAAATTTTACTTCACTTATTGAATAATTTTTTCGTCGTCAAACTTAATTTATTCAGATATTAATCATTTATTGTTTATTGTTAGCGAATACTTTAAAAAATTGCCAATTCTCAGTGTGTTTGTTGAAAGTTTTTATTGTAACGTTTTCAGATAACCCCTTCCACATAATACAACATAATTATCTTTAATTGAATTTTAACTTATTATATCTTGTAAGAAAAGGCTCACTAACATAGTGCAGTGAATGTAGTAAATAATAACTCATTATTTCATTACCTAGTAATAATTTTCATGTACTAGTATTAGAGAATAGTAAGCTGTTATTTTCGATACTTTACAGGTCATATTATAATGCTGAGGTTTGTGTTCAATTTAAACTATTTTTTTGTCGAGATGACAGTGTCCTGTAGGACCTATCGTCTCGATCTTTGACCACTTTTGAATGATTGTTATAAATTTTCTATTGACTAATTATTGACGCACATAAAATAAACGATTTGAGTGTTAGAAGCCTTAGCGATACCTGTCAATAATTGAGATATAGATAAATTTTAAATTATTTAAATGTAGGTCGAGGAGCCGTTCACCATATAATCGGCGCTACAAATCTTCAAGGTATTCAAGAAGCAGATCCCGTTCGGGCGGCTACTATGGCCGCAGATCGTACTCCCGCAGTCCCATGTCCAGTAGGAAACGCCATTTAGGTACTAGAGACAATCCGAAACCGTCGAGGTGTCTCGGCGTCTTCGGACTGAGCGTGCACACGACTGAAGATGAATTGTACCATCTCATGTCGAAGTTCGGGCCGGTGGAAAGAGTCCAAGTTGTCATAGACGCTAAGGTACGATGTTACGATTGTTAATTTACTGTTATAAGTGTAGTAACGTTTGGTGGAATTGCAGACGGGTCGTTCGAGGGGTTTCTCATTTGTGTATTTTGAGAAAAGCGACGATGCCAAAGTAGCGAAAGAACAGTGCACCGGCATGAAACTTAATGGAAAAAGCATTAGAGTGGATTATTCGATTACGGAACGAGCTCACACTCCGACACCTGGAATATACATGGGAAAACCAACTTAGTAAGTTTGTTTAAGATTGTATTTTTTTTAGTTTGTTGTGGTTGTTTATAGTACTTTTTCTTTTGTTAAAAAGATCACCCAATCTTGGAGTGCGTCTTTTGTTAACGAACATAAAAAAGGAGACTCCAAATTTGGAATAGTAAAATATTCGAGAAAAAAAGAAGCTGTATTGTAAAGGTGAAATATAGTAAAAGGCTTTCTTGTACAATTTTAATAAATAATCACAAGGTGTGGTTTATTGTTGCTCATTAATATTAATAATTATTTCTAATTTTAGCAAATACTCTGATCGTTATGATAGACGCCGCGATAGAGAGTAAGTACAATCAATACTAGAAAATCATTAAAAAAATAATCATATGCTGAATGAGTGTTTTTTTTATGTTTAGGATGGAGATCTCGGAAACTACAGGAGATTTAAATGAGCAAATATTTGTTTTATCAGTTTCAGTTTTGCAAAATATGTGACACCCGTCAAAATATTTTTAAGAAAAAAATGTTTATTATCAAATTCTTAAATCGGTTATATTTCCGCTATTAGTTATAAGAAGAAAATGTTAAATACAAAAATTGACATTAGCCGTTTATTCGTAATAGCTTTTGTCTTTGAAATATGACATAAACTAATGTTATTGTATACGGAAACCATATTTTATTTTTCTCTTTTATTAAAAAGGAATTTTCTTACGATCTTTTGACATGTGTCATATTTTGCAAAACTGAAACTGGTTGTGAACAACAAAATGCATGCCCATGCATTGTTGTAAAAGTTTGCCTGTTTAAACTTTTTTTTCTATCTCCTACGGTTTTCGATATCCCTGAAAACTCGCTCTGCATTTAATTAAAAAAATGTTTCAAAACTAGCATTTACAGAGGAAATAGTTACTTAACAAGTTCCCAGTCGTTTCGAATAGCTAAAAGATAAAATATTTACAAGTTGTCTAATTTTAGTGCAACGTTAGTTTTAACATAGCCTTTTTTTGAAAAACTGTAACCAAACTTTATTTGTTTAGTGATTACTATCGTGGATCACGCTATAGTCACCGCCGATCTCCGTCACCATATTATAGCAGTAGCCGAAGAAGACGCTATTCTAGATCTAGAAGTTATTCTCCTCGTAAGTACTATGATTAATAATATGTGTTAATTAAATGTATGTTACAAGAACATGTCGAAGTATTTGTATTGCGGAATTTCAATGTTTGGAAGAATGTCTTGTAGCATACGTTCAATATTTCATATTACCTACAGCTGTGCACTGCGTATTTGATTTGAAGTTTTTTCTTAGTTGAATGCAAGTTTTTTTTGTGCAATTAAATAGTTTCACTATTGCAATTCGATTAATTTCATAAATCTGACAGCAGTAGGTAAATTATGATTTAATTTTTTTTTGTTAATGCATGTTACCATTTTTTTTCGTATTACTGTTTTAGTTTAAAATAGGCGGTACATATAGATATTGATTAACTCAAATTTTTACGGAAGTACTTAAAAATTGCAACGAAAATGGTGTAATAAAAGTTCATTTTATCTACAAACGAGATGAAGAGATCGTAGAATGCTTTTATAACGAGTACTATTAAATTTTTAGTTTATTATAAAATGTCACTAAAAATCATTCTATGATTCTCACGATCTGTAAATCACTTCGGATTAAAGACAAATTTATTTTAGAATAATTTAATAATTTTGTGTTTACAATGTGAATTTCAGGTCGTTACTAAAAACTTCTTGGATGTACTTCGTTTTGGTTTATGGAGTTTTATTAGATTTAATATTTGAGTTTTAGTCAAGCTCTAGTTTTATATCATAAACGCGCATTTGTTTTTCATTGTCTATGATAGTTTTGTATCTGCAGTTTCAAAATATTTGATTCGAGTTATGTTAAGGTTTTTTTTAAATGATGTGTTTTAATTTAGTATCCAATAAATGTACAAACTGAAACTAATTTTTTGTTTTTTGTCTTTTGTTGAAAAGGGTTCTCAAGATGTATCGGATGAAAATTGCAAGTTTCTTTGAGAATTGAAATAATTGCATTCATATAATGAAGTTTTCAAACGAAAATTCATCATTGAAAATGAAAAAAGAAATTGATGAAGATCATCAAGAGAATTGAGAAAATTCTTACCAACTCTCTTGAAGACCGAACATACACATTTTTTGTTTATAGAAAACCGTTTGAAAATTGAAGAGGACATCAAGAGGTCCAATTGATTTGTCATACTTGATATGGTAATCCTATATGTTTTATCACTGGGGTTATTATACGCAAAGCCTACTTTACGATTGAGGTAAAAACCTTGCATGTCATTATATTTTAAAACCTTTTTTTTATATGTACATATTTTAAAAAGAACTAAACTAATATTGGCAAAGGTTTATATTTGTATAATTGTAAATTCTATTCTAAAATTTTTCTAGATTATTCGCCAAATAAAAAAATACATTTCTTTAGAGTTCAGGTCTACTATCAAGATGTGTAGGAGTTTGAGATTGCGTTGAGAAATTGTCGAAGAGCCTATTTTGTAAAGGTAAAATGTTCGAAAGGAACAATTCCAATTTCGCAGATGCGATGTCAGTCGGGCGGGAGCTAGAAAAATCTATTCAGTATCCAAAATTACAGGTATCTTGTTCACTTGGAAACGCTAACTGTCAAAAATGCCTGTGAAGAGCCAGCCAAACTAAGAACAATATCTGTTTGCGATAGTAATTCTCGATAATACTTTTGATTACAAATTCCAGGCGTTTAAATGGGTGAGTGTTTTTATTATAGTTTAATAGTACTGTAAGGTAAATTTAATTACAGTTTGTATAAAACGCTGAAATTTTCATATTTGTCAGGAATTTTTTTCGACGCTAATGGATGAGTGTTCGGTGGAATTTGAAATTGATCAAGATTCGAAGAATGTTGTTAACACAATTTTTTTCTCTTGCGCAATAGTCTGGAAATTTTTACATTATCCGTCAAATAATAGATATATTAGGTACTAGTTTCTGTATTGTATCTAATTAGGTTATTATTTAATATTGTATTTGATGCATGTATTGATTAATCTTCAAACACATCATATTTTTTGTATCCTATTATGTACAACTGAAAATAAATGGAGCATGTAGACTTAGTTCCTCTATATTTTTATGTATGAAAAAGTGATCGCTTCTTTAACACGCGATCCATCACTTGGCATGTTTCGTTTGATTTTGGTTTTACAGTGTTTATTCAACATTTTGTACTTACAATCAGAAAGTAAAACTGCATAGGAGCTTTTTGGATGATTCAACCTGTCTCGCTTGTGTTTTTTATTAAAGCCAATAATTTGTATATTGAAGTACTATTTTTGAAAAAAATCATCCATTCCTATTGATTACATATGTAAGGATATAAGTAGCTTATAAACAAGGAGCTTTTGTAAAAGACAGCATGATTGTTAAAATACAGTTTGTAGATTTCAAAGGTTGAATAACAACATAGAATATGTTAAAAGTAAGAATGTAAAGATTGGTAACTAAAGCAATTATTTTTTCTGATACTGCTTGGTTTCTTGAAACAAAAATATTTTTTATAATCATAGATTTATAATGGATAATGAATGTATGATTGTAATCCATATCAGATACGAATTGATTTGTTCAATATTATAAATAGCTGTATTTAGCCCGCATAAAATATTTTGTGAACCAAATTTGTAAAAATAATTTTTATTTAATAAATATTTTCACAAATAATACGGATTTTATTTGTTTGCTTCTCAGTAAAGAATCTAACCTTGTAAACAAGATTTTTATGCACTTTGATCGAGCACAGAAAGTTCAAATGCATTAGAAGTTTAGAAAATAATAAAGTGTATGCATATCCTATTGATTGCGCCTATTGGAGTATAATGATTATACAGGGTGCCCACGAAAGTGTGGGAAATCTCTCGGCTCCATGTAGAACATGAAAAAATAAGATAAGAAGTTCCTATAAAGTTTTTCCCTACAGGCCCTCCCTACGAAGATATGCATCCCTGAAGAGCGCCATTGGAAATAAGTTTTCCTTAAATATCTTTTAAAGTACTTGATATAATTTAACAAAATAATATTTTATCAATATAATAAAACAATGGACACTAGTAAGGACCTCAAAAAATAGTGTCCTTGAAACATATTTAGCTTTTTTAGTTTACCAGGGCCGGGCTAAGGTTTAAATCTTAAAGCCTAAATTTTCAACACCCTGTATGATAAAAACTTAAAAAACATAAATCTGGAAAGCTTGAACCTTGCACTAAAAAATAAAAAATAGTACTCTCAATTGTCAATAAAATGAACCGTTTACGATGTGCAGAAAATATACTGAGTGACAAAAGTAAAAGAACACCAAACAATAGTTGTTGAAATTTAACCATTTATTCTAGTTACATGTATAAGAGAAAAATAAACAAATGATTAAAATTAATTCATTAAATTAACAACAAAACTTAAAAAAAAAATAATAATGTGTTGTACCACCGTGGTGCTGTACACACTCTCTATAGTTTGAATGAAAAATAAAATTTGCTTCTTGGTGTTCTTTTACTTTTGTCACTCAGTATACATTAGACATTTTTTCCAAAAAATTTCGAAAAAATTAAATGAAATTGTGGACTATGGCGTTATTATCAAAGACTTGTTAAAATGGCAATAAAATCCAAAAATTAAGTCAAAAATGGTACTTTTCATTTGAATTAAGGGAATGACATCCATTTCCGGTATAACCGGCAGCCATAAATGGTTGAAAAAAAAATCAGATTCTCTCTTCAGAAGTTCCTATAAGTTGCCGGCAGTCACCTACCGTGAAAAGCACTACAATAGCTGTATACTTGTATAAATTGTGTTTAAATAATATTAATTAATAAATTAAATAAAGCTTTATAAAGCTCCTGGAAAGACGCAATGCGCACTGATAAAGGATTTTTTACATCGAAAATCTATTTCATTTTCAATAACCTTGTATAGCCAAGATCTTTTGAAACACCTCATATATTCTCATTTTTTGTGTGCTCATTTGTTACACGTAATTGGTTTTTTTGCTGTAGTAATTTTTAACAGGTAGGTAAATATAACTTGGTGCAAACTAATAAATTTTTTATATTAGTGGACTTTTCGCCTTAATTGAAGGAGCATGTAAAAAAAGCGACAGGCCACGGTTTACATCGTCCAACACGTAATTGAATTTCTACTTGCGATTTATTTTCCAGAACCGTATGGAATCCGAAGTATCCTCAAAAAACAGCTATATTTTTGTTAACAAGCGCCGATAGTCCGTTTTAAATTTTAAAAATCGATTTTTCCGACGATAGCGAAGGGCAAAGGACTAATAAAAATACAAACAATCTGTTACATAATATTTACGCATCGAATTAGTCTCAATAAAAATCTCTAAAAGGTTCGTTTTATCTCGCGCGTTTTATCAAAATTCACCGAGTTGATACGACTCTGTGCTAGTCAATAAAATGTGTGTGCTCCTGCTCCATCGTTCCATTCTGTTCACTGTTCAGTTCAGTTGCTCGAAGCGTGGCCGGGATACAAGTGGTCTCATTGGGTTAGGATTCGCGGTAGATAATAAAATTTGGTGAGTACAGTTAGCTAAAAATAACTGGCCGAACGTGCGGCATTTTTTCTAATGTAGTTTCTGCTAATTTTTATTTTACCGATGTATTGTATGCGTCGGGGTTATTAACTCGTAGGCTACTTGTTGCTTTTCAAAGTGGCGTTTTTTATTGATTAAATCCGATTTCTTGGAGAAATATCGTTCAAGAACCGGTCTACTTGTATACGTGATTTAACTGTTTTCTCGTTTCTGACGTGGTCAATAATAACTTTTTATGCTAAATTGTTTATTTTTCGCTACAATACAATTTATAATGCCGGTAAATATTTATAAATATTGCAAGTTTCGATAAATAAAATGTTTAATTCAATTTAATTCTAACACAAATCAATTGATCAAAACTAACCCTGTGCGGATTGATCGATCATTAAAATCACTAATTGAGGATTTTTTCGGTTCTTCAAATCCTGTTTATTGAAGCATTTCCCCATAATATCACATACAATGTTTAATAAACCAGTGTCATGAGTTTTCCCGTTTCCGGGAAATTATAGCACTTATAAAAATCAATGATACATACTACTGTAAATGTAGGTAATTCTCAACAATCCAGTTTGAATGCGATTAATTATGTTTAAATTATGCGTAATTGTTTACTAAATTCTCGGTGGTTTCCTTACCGGTGTAATAAATTATTATGGCATATAAAAAAGTTGATTCGAGTTTTCTCGGACGTCATTTATTTTCCTCTGCTAAAATACTTCGAAATATTTTTTTTGCACTTACCTGTTCCAATATGAGCGCTTACATGTTTAGAAAGAGAAGAATCAATTCAGATATCAGCTAATCTGGTAATCGGCAAAAGATTATATTGCAAAATTAATTTCTTTTACTCTGGGTGTTTCTTTTTACAGACGTGAACAATTAAAACATTTCACTTTTGAAGGTTAACACGTTTATTTATTTAGATTAGATGATAATAATATTGTAATAAGTTCATTGTTTAGCGTTTAAAAACAATTACTAATGAATATGAATTGGTTAACAAAATTGTAGGTGATTTAAGGTGAATAAGAAATTCGAATTTTTAAATGTTCTGTGGTTAAATTATATGTTTTACGAAATAGAATTATTCCAATTCCGAAAAAATGGTATTACCTTCAAGACGAACTTTACAAATTTTAACTATAAATATTCTTCTATTAAAGGTTTAGACAAGTTGGTTTCTGGCTTATTAGTTAATTTTTAATGTAATCAATAATGTTAAAAATATTGCTTCTAAAAAGAGAAATACAATCGATTTCAATTAAGTTTTTATAGACTTCCTTTCTTACTCGACATCGTTCCTTACACAATTCGCTTTACCGTAAAATTTTATATCCGACCCTGGACATTGAGATGGTATTATAATTGTAAGAATTTTTATATTATACCTAAAGGAACTATAAAACTATTTGTAATTTATTTAATAGTTATATTTATTCATTGCCTTAATTACCTAGTACGGGTATTCTAACGATTGTATTTAATTTCTATTTTTTTGCAGATCAACATGTCTTTAGACGAGGTAAGAGAACTTCCGTTGCTGTTCTTCTTGAACGGTATTTTCGCCGCAAAATTGTAATGATCCTAAGCAGGAACAAAAAAAAATGGAATTCGGTATAACGGTAATCATTATTTTCACTGTATAATATTTCAGAAATTCCAAAAAGCCGCCGAAGACATCAAGAAGCTGAAGAGCAAACCTTCAGACCAAGACCTTCTAGAAATTTACGCTTTATTCAAACAAGCCACAGAAGGCGATATAAACACAAGTAAGTTATGGTTATTTGACATACAGGGGTGTATCTAAATAATGCCAAAAAATTTAAGGGGTGATTCTGTGATGAAAATTAAGGTGGATAGTTGGTATAAAATTTGTTGAAAAAACCCTCCCTGGAAAATTTATACGTTATACCCCTCCGAAGATTGAAAATTTTTTTTTCTTTATTTTCCCTGTATATTAAGCTAAAGACACGAAACTTGGTGAATATTATTTGTTAATGAAAGTACACATTTTGAATTTTCTTCAACCCTGATATATGCTTAAAAAGGTTTGATATAGTCAACCCCCTAGGACATTTTTCTTACAACGTTCAAGCTCATTTAATTTACTAACTTTTTTACTTCTACAAACACCCCTTATTTTATTTTTTTGGTGTTATTTAGATAGGTACACCATGTATAAAATAAATTTATTTCACTTTAACCCGTATAAAATAATCTTCGTTGGATTAGAAATTAAGTAGGTACAAATAACTATGTATTTATCTCAAAGTGTTTATCCGAACTGAATATTTAAATGTATCGAATGCAAAGAGCAAAGCAAATAAGTAGTTGTTATTTAATAGGTTATACAATAATTTATGCTGATATCTATCAGGTTCGTTTTATAAACATTCGATAAATTAACCTATAAATAAATTCTTATTTATCTTAGCCTTAAGAGGTTATTTTTTTAATTGAATATTATCTGGTTACCGGCGTCGATAAGATGGTAATGTTTAAAACTGTAGGTATACCAATGTTTTCACGTTCTCTAATATTTTCCTAGAATTATCTAAAAAATTATCAGTTATTTCTGAAAATATTTTTAGATTGATTGATCTATTTTCAAAGAGAAAAATATTGTTTTATTTCTACATCGTTTGATTTACAATTTTGATTACAATTTTTTCAGGCCGTCCTGGACTGTTGGACTTGAAGGGTAAGGCCAAATGGGACGCCTGGAATGGCAAGAAAGGAGTGGATAAGGAAAAGGCCAAAGAGCAATATGTAGCCAAGGCGCAAGAGCTAATCAACAGCATAGGCTTGAATTAAAGAATCATCACCAAACACCACAACAATTATATTATGATAAGGGAAAAAAGAAATTTGTTGTTATTTATCATTTTTGTAATAAAAGTGTAATCTATTAATTAAATTAATTCGTGTGTTATTTAAAAACGAACCCTTTTTAATTGAATTTTCAACGAAATAAAAATTATTAGTGCACGATTATTTTATTTAATATTCTATTTTAACAATTTATTTTAGTTCTTATTGTTAGTTAGGTTTAATTTTTTAGGGTGGGCAATATATCAACAATTTATTTGGCCATTACTAATAACACGAATTATCTACAGGGTGTTATAATATTCAACACTTAGTTATGAAACCTCTATTTAATAGAGGAATTTTTATATAGGTACTATAGGAACATACTTCTTGATAACTACTAAAGAGCGTCCTAAAAGTAAGTTCCGTTTAGTAATTTAAAAAAAATCCTGTAGAGATAGAATAAAAATTATTGCACAATAATCTACGGTTTAAAAAATAAGTAAGTTTAAAAATACCTGGAAAATTTCAGGACCTATATGTAGAGATGTAGAATCGTAGATTCATGTGAACTATTTTTTTTTCTATATCTCTACAGTATTTTCTTAAATTACCAATCGGAATTTACTTTCAGGTCGCCCCTACTATGCAGTTTTTTTGAAATTAATGCTAGATACTTAAACTGATTGAATAAATCAACACCCTGCATAAATAACTCAAAAACAATTTACAATCTTTCTAGTAAGAAATAAAATTTAGCGTGCCGAAATTACGTGGGCAATCGATAAATATCGCGTCAATTCAGCGAGTTTGTTAATACGTTACGATAAAATCGGTAGTATTTATCGATGGACTTTAATCTTCCTCCTATTTAATCTCCACATCAACTACGTTACATGCGGATTACATTGGTTAAATATCCAGTTACATCAAACGTCGAGAGAAAATATTTTTTAAACTATCAAATGCGACACGTCTTGCGTGTACGAGGGCAAGTAGCGCGGCACCGGCTGCACCCCGCCGCCCCCGACGTCGTCCGTCCTCCTTTGCCTTATGTCGGCGTCGCCGGGCCAGGTCCTCTCGTGCCCGAACTGCCCGATCCTCTGGAACTTGTCGAACACCCCCGATATCGTCACGGCCTCGTTCACCCCGTTCGATTTTATCCGTCTTTGGGGGTTCGCGGAGGCCCTCATGCTCTTGCGTTTCTACAACAAAGCTGGCTTTAGCGGGACGAGTTTATTGGACGAGAATCTAGTCGGGTAGAAGTGGATTAATCGAGTGGGTTAGTTGATGAGTTTTCGGTCGATTTTTTCCACTTCTGTGTACGAGCATAGGGTGAGCTAATGGTTTTATCGAGTTATATACAGTGGCTCGTATTCAGCGACATACTTTTAACTTAAACATGGCTCTAAAGGGTCACTTTAACGTAAACAAAGTCCCTGGTTAATCTATAACAACAATTTACAACTGTCAAGTTAGAAACGCGACTTTAAAGTTGTGTTTAAAGTTAAAAAGGGGCGCTGAATATGGGCCAGTGTGTCCCTGGATTGAGTTGAAAATATGAAAAAAACTGATGTTTCAAAAATATGGTATAAAATAATACTGATACTTTTCACTTGAAGGAATTTCATATTTTCCTAATTTATTAACATCCTGCACATCAAATTCCAGATTTTAATCCGGACAACTTATTTTTTCGACAAGCAGGATTTTTTATAAAGAATGATTTTTCTTCGTACCTATAATTTTAAAAATAACAATTTTTTCCCCTCGTCAACTCCATCCAGGGACAAACTGTATATGTATGTTTATATGAACTTATAACAAATATAACACATACCAACAAATTATAACAAACAAATAAGACCTTAATGAGCAAATGAAGCTTTGGTTTTAACCGTTGGGTCACCCTTGAAGCACACCTACAACTAGTCTTTATTATCGATTTCTACCAATTTCTATAACATTAAACGGTGCTTTAAAGACGATTTAGTGTAAATGCAAGAAAGAATTACCACATATGTGCGCCTGTTTCGTATGTGATCAAACCGTATCTAAGCCAAAACAGCGGTGAAACATTTAGGTTTCTACGAAAAATGTTAATAATTCTAAACTGTGCATAACGTCATCCGATCTAGATGATACACAAAATGGACATCGAAAATAAAATCTGGGGGATTTTGTTTTACATGAATGTAGGAGGAGAGTTGTAAGAACTTAATTAACGAATCGTGAGAAGATAGCTTTGAAAAATCGTGTTGAAGTTGAATTTTAATAAACTACGAATCGATTGCTTTACTTACGTCTTCTTTAGCGTCCTTTACAAAAAATACGTTAATTTTAATTTAAAATCTTTCGTACGCTTATACAACAAACAGAAAGATGATTTACCTATTTGTATAACACATAGGAAATCGACTTTCTTTTATCAACAATGAAATTAATTAAATCGTTCTGTTGGTTTCGCATCCGCGTTCGTTTCTTGCCAGCAGCTTCAATTAGGCGCGAATTCGAAACCAAGTATTCCATTACATCAGCACATGTAATTAAATTAAATCAAATTACCTCGACCGCTCCTCTCCATTTATCAGCAGCGTGCCTAGCCAGCTCCATGCGTTTCTGCTTTTTGATTTGGTGCTTTTTATACGCCATTTCTATGACAATCAACCCGATCCCACCGACGATTCCGGCTCCTACCAGTATAAACACCCCTGCCATGTTCTTCAATCCCAGCGTATTCGGCGTTTTTTCAAACTGCTCGCACTGCTGATAGTTCCCTTGGAGTATCCACTTGTTGTCCAGGCTCTCCATGAAGCCACCTATAACAATTCAGGATGATTCGAGTTCGTCGGGATTTCGTAGAGCCGTACTTTCGTGGAAGTCCAGAATGGCCAATGTGACGTCGTCTGACCAAGGGGATCCTTTTTGCAAACCTATACCGTACCCGGAGCGGCCGAACAGTTCCCCGGCCGTCACCAATTCGCAGTCCTGCGCTGCTTCGAACTCCAGCCGGGAACTGTCCCATATGAAAGCCATTAATTTTCTAAAAGAAAAATTTGATAGAAGTACAGATTATGTTGTTGTTTTAAGAGCAGGTCTTTTCAAGCCTGTAAACAACTGGATCGTAGGCTTCTCTGTAGAGTAGAATATGTCCTTGTTGTGTCTAGATCTTTGGCATCTAAAAGCATTCTTCGCCAAGTTTTGTACCTGACATGATTTAAAAATGCTAATTTTTACGGACACCCTGTATAAATCCTCAAATGTAGTCCTAACAAAGTAAAATCAGTATTTAACTTTGCACGATCGTACGATCAGACAGATATTTGAGATACTGTTGTTATCAATATTTGGAAACGAATAATCGGATATAGATACTTTTATGTTTTCTAGAAACAGGCAGTTTGTTTGTTTCGCACTCGACTTCGCAAATAATCCACGTCGTACGATTACAGTCGCAAATAGCAGCACTTTTTTTTAATTGTTTCGCGCGGGATCGGTGCAGCGTAAAAGCAAAATCGCGTTGATAACGTTATCGATTCGAGTACTTGCACACCTGTTTGGGATTCACGTTACACTTGTATTACTCATAATTACCCTTCTTTGACGTCCTTAATAGCTGCTTCAGCGGTGTCGTAATTGTTCGCTTCCATTGTTCTGTACATGTTGGACAGCTCCACTTGTCTCCTGAAGTACATGTCCACCGCGGAGCCTTTCACAGTGGCGCACGTTAGGTTCTCCATAGTGTTCCGCAGCTGAGGAGGGAACGTTTTAATGCGGTTTTGGACCACCATGTAATTTAACTTACTCTTGCGTCGTTTATTCCAGTCAGCTTGGTTTTTGGTCGCTCCAACACGAGGAAAGCAGCGAGATTGGCAGTGTAGGAAGCTACGATGATCATCGCGAATCCCGCCCATACCATACCGAGGACCCTAGCAGAGAAACTTCTTGGTGTTCCTAGGATGCGATATTTCACCGTGAAATATAAATCTTAAGTGGCGTATGTCATTTTAAAGTACCTTCACCTATTCCACTATTGAGCAGAACTCCCCAAGCGAACCAAATTGCGCTGGATAGGTTTAAAGCGTCTTCTTCCGTACCGTCGGTGTTAGCCAATTTGAACCTACCGAATGGAGAGAACCTGTCTAATAAATACAAAACCAGAGCTACTACGTGCACCGAGACCATAACCAGAATCCACAAGGTATTGCTGAACGGTTGCAAGAAGGACACGAGAGTTGAAGATCTTGAAGGCTACAATACATCATCTATGTAACACTTACTTGTATTTAGATAACACAAATACATACCTTTTTCTCTAAAATTGTTATCCCCTGATACTTAAACGGCTTACTGAATTCGATGAATTCTGCTCTTTCTGGATTTATAGTCAACGGGGCCACTATCATCTCGGCTCTATCCCCCACCAGCTCCCCTATCAGTCCCGTCCATTCCTTCTTCCCTGCCACAGAACTATTTCTTATTAGGTAGTTTCCGAACTGACCGTCTGGGGACAGCGCCAGGCTGTAGGTGAAGTTTATTTTCTTCGACAGTTCTTTCAGCAAGTCCATGCAATATCCCTTGCAGCAGTAAAAGCTAGCAGAGGCTGAAACAGAAAAGATGAAATGAAGATTAGTAGTTGGCAAGGGAGAAATTAATATGAGTTTTAGAAGAAATACTTCATCTGAATAACTCATTTACTTACTCTCGTCCGATACATTGTAATGTGGGCACTCGATTTCATCCGGGGTACAAGTGTCTTGGCCGTCGATTAATTTTCTAACGTACACGAAAGGCTTCTCTTCAATGGTCAATACTTTCAAGTGCGTTGGAATTTCGATACCTTCCGGCTTCTCCTTTTGCTTCCCCGGCCATAAAATGCTGTTTTCCTCCACTTTCAAATTCATCCTATCCAATTCCTGCAAAATTAACGCATTCTCTCTATAACATATCGCTTATTACAACTACAATCAGAGAATTTGCACCTTGTTGAAGAAGTATTTCCCCACTACAACTTTCTTCTTCTTCCTCTGTATATTAACAATATTATATTCAGAGTTAATTCTGTCGCCTTGGTCATCGAAAGCTACTTTCCCCGTTTCCCCGTTCAACAGCACTTGCTTGCGAATGAAATTGAACAAATCCCGACCAGTTTCCCAAATAGAACCTGAATTATCACAGTCTTCCGGAGCCTCGGTAATTTCTTTCGTCTGGTTCATGTCCCTCAAAGCCGAAGCTAAAACGTATCTGAAACGCAATCAATAACGTGAAGATAGGAGATGATTCCATGATAGGAGTGTTGGTGCTTACATGCTATCTCTAATATGAGCTTTCTCGTTCGTAGCATTAACAAGCTTCAGGCCTAAAATCCCCTCAGGGACGTTGTCAGCTTCTAAAGCTTGTTCTGTGACTATCCAGGCGAAGCCGGCGTCTGTCATGTTGAAGACGGCTGCGTCTCTGAATATTACTTTTGCGTCTTGTTTACTGGAAATGTGAATAAATCATTATGAATTCTTTATGTGTCCGGGTAGCCATGTAGTTCTGTGGTGCCCAAACCTTGTGAATAGAACATAAGAACTGTTGTGTGCCTACTACTAACCTGGCATAAAGTAAGTAAACACGAGACTGGGCGTTTTTCAACTCCAACAATTGATCTTTGAAGCTCTCCAGACCCAATTCAAATTCAATGACCGATTCGACCTGACATAGGTGTAAAGTTATTGGAAGTTTAGTGTGATTGTAAATGGAAGTTTACCTGCACTTTGATGTCCACGTCGTCTTCTAAACTTTGAGAAGTAGTCTGGAATCTGCCCAAGAGGGCCCTGCCGTCGGTGTCAGAGCTGTGGATGAAAATGACTTTCTTGTATTTGAAGTGCTTTAGCATTTCCACCCAGACATCCGCTTGGTGGGAGTACGGGGGAACGGTTCTGAGAAACGAAACGTGGATGTTCTGAAATTTAATCGATTTAGAGCAATACAATGAGTGGTAAATTAGGGCTCACTTTGTCTGAGAAGGCGGAATCTCTGGAGGATATTCCAATAACCGGAATGTGGTAGAACCCGCTGGTGTATGATACAGCAGCTGGTGATAAATCTCCTGTAATAGGATGTGAAACCACCACTGCGTATACCTAAAAGATTATAGTTTTATAATGGACTTTGTGAAGAGGAAAATTTGTGAACCCATACCTTCCTAGATATTAAATATTTGCAGACATTTAAAGCGGTACGAATTGGATTTGGGTCCATTAATATAGCGGTGTGGTAATAAGTAACGCCTTTCGGTACATATTGCGAATCGAAATTTAAGTGCTACAAAAAATCAGGCTCAGTAACAAAGGCGGTATATTACGGTTAAATCGCGTTTGGGACTTACAGCAATAGTCTCTTGGAAATATTTCTCGCTTTCGTTGCTACTGAGCACACCTCCGATGTTGAAAACAGTCGGATTCTGGGAATTCCAATCTTTTTGGTTAGCCGATATCGACGACAACACATCACAGCAAGTGTAAATAAAAACTATAAACTTTAACATTTTTTTAAATAATCCTATTTACAGTTCAACAGATTCGTTTCGAATGCGAGAGCAGCTCGGCCCATCACACCTTTCCTTTCGTAGCCATGGCGACTGCTCTCTGGAGATCATATTGATTTTGTGAACTAGTTGCTGTATTAACGCTACGAAGCTGAACTATTTTGCAGTTATCAAATTTGTTTTGTTAATATTTTCAATTGCTTTATCTTATTTATTTGTTTGTTTTATTGTTACCCAAAAGTTTGAGGTTTTTTGTTTAAAATAAATAGGTACTCGTTAAAAAATTAATTGAATATATTGTACACGCTCGTCAAAAATGAGCGAATGAACAAATAATATTGAGCGGATATTTCACGCTGTGGGAATTTTTGAGTATTTTAAACTACATGTTACTTTTTAACCTTGTTAGAATAAAAAATGGAGTTATTTTTCAAAAAAAGTAGCTCATTATGTAAGTAATAAAGACATTAGTAAGGTACCTTACACGAGTATACCTGATCTATATTTTAAGAGTAGAAGTAGCGGCCTCTTTCCCGTCTGAAGAAATAACAGAAGGTCTCGCTCACTGCGCGAGCTTTACTTATTGGATCAGTTTAGAGACTTAATAGTACGTACGTGTAAGAACAAAGTTTTAAAACGAAATTACCTGTGAAACGAATTAATATTTTTTTTAAATCATCCATCAGGTAAATTCTGTAACAATTTAAGAGAGCATCATCCCTCATGAACCCTTTAAAAGTACACTAAAAAGGACCAATTGTACAACATTCACAACGTATACCAAATTTAGTTGTATTACCGAGATATTTTTTTTAATTTGTACTCCAGTTTGAAAGTCTATGACTTCTCAGGAATACCTATAACTGTATATTAAGTTAAGTTGGGTTAAACAACATACTTTGAACTCCCTACAAACCTCTGCTCTGTGTCGATTCATATGTGGGACACCCTGTATATTAAATTCAGTGTCAATAGGCATAGCTATCAATCTGGATTTCACCTAAAGGTAAAAGTACTGGCCCTTTGTAAAATTCATGTTTAACTACCAATATTTAGGAATACATTACATAAATAACACACACTTTAAGAAATGAGAAACTTTAATTGAAACGACTGTAATAAATTCTTAACATTAACAAATACAAAAGAAATACAAAATAAGTAAGAAAATACAATCAGCTTTATAAAAAGATCAATTCATTTATCCAAACGGTTCTTGATGTATTCAATTGAAATTTCTATATCTCTAGTATAACTTTTAAATTCGTTTAAAAGAAGCGACACTTGATCAGATATGAACGAAGGGGACGTTTGAGAGTCTTGCCTTAGACATTTCGAATAGTTTATTTTTTCTTTATTTTCGCGTTCTATTCTGTTTTTAATGTTAGTTAGATATTCCTGGTAAGATACTTTGTCGTTAATAGTGCTCAGTCCACACAAAATATCATACAACCTATTAGACTGTTTTTTACCTATTTTCAGTTCTTTGATAACACTAAATAATCGTTTCATCGGTAAGCTTAGTATCCTTAAGTCCCTTTCTTTTAATAGTTTCCATAATAACAAGCCATCGTGTATGTCTCTAATTCGTTGAAACTCGCTCGTAGGCTCTTCTACGGTGATATCGATAACTTTGGGATCAGACTTGAGCGTTTCAAAGACGGTTTTGTACAGTGTCGATCCGATTCCGCGCCTGTGATGAGAAGGTAAGATGAAAAACTGACTGATTCTAGCTCGTATATTCTCAGGATAGGCGAAGAACTTGTAAACTGTGCAGTAACCTATAGGCGATGTGTATACTTGCAAAGTTTGCGGATGTTCCACTTCCTCGTACACGTAAAATATATCCCATTTTTCATCCTCGAGATCAATAAAATTGGCACCGTCTATAAACCAAATGACGTACGTTTCGAAGCGGGCATGGAACGCTTTAAATTCTGCATTAGTTAAATCGCAGTGAGTTATTTTATACGAGCTGTGCACTTCATCGTTGGGAAATATCGTGCACCGGTTTTTGTCTTTAAACTCGTGAATAACCTTCCCGAATATCAATTCGTGGTTTTCCTTTTGGCACATGCTGGAAAACTCTTCTTCGGAGGAACAGTAATTCTCGGGCAGCCAGGGATTCAGCGACTCCATGACATCGTCGGGCTTGTGAATGGAGCTTTTGATGGCTCCCGAACTCTTTATGTTCACGTAACAACGGGCAGAGTTGTGCAAGTAGTTCAGGTCGATTTCCAGGGATCGGTAGCCGAAGATGCACTCGTTTTCGCCGAAAACTTGGTGGGACATGATTGGCTTGAAACTGTTTTTGCTGATTTTTTCGGTGGGGCCGTAATGGACGTGGAACGTTACAACAGCATTCGCATCCTTCTTGTACACGGACATTTCTTCATCGCCCTGGCTCACTTCGCTGTTGTTTTCGCTTGCCATCTAAAACAGACGAATTCATGATGAATAAATATAATGAAAAAAATTTCAATTCGTTAATTTATCGAGTAATGATATGAAAATTACTAACAAAGTTGCGGTTGAACGAGGGAGACATTTACGAATTATTCCATGACAACCGTTCAACCGGTATGAAATCGTTTACAGTGTTAATATTAAATAAAAATAATTACCTTGTTTTTTTTTTGTTGTAAAACTTGTAGGATTAGAATTAGGAATTAAGATTTTCTTGCAATGAATTCTAGTTCTTGTACTGCTTGTTGACACTATTGGCGCGAATTAAATTTTCTGATATTCTTTTTTTTTTACTCTTCACAAATGTCATATGTCAAATTATATATTTTCAAATTCTGGCTAGAAACGTTGTGAGTAAATTAAATAAACCTGTTGATTCAATATATTTATAAAAACAATCTACTCAAAAATATAGTTCAATAATAACTCAACATTATTCGAATTGAAACTGAACTAGAATACTCAAAGAATGTTATATATCAATAAAAAAGAAGAATAAATATGGCAACTACGCAAAATTAATACTTCGCTATTTGTGGATGCAATCCGCTATTGCCGGATTTATACTCTTCTCGACCAATCACACTCTTGTATAAATTGCGTCAGAAACGTCAAATTTACTACCGTGTTCCGTGAGATCGCTTCTGAAGCGACCTTAAAGCAGTAATTGACAGCCACCTGAAATTACGAAAGGTGCGTGCTAGTACTTTGTTTAATGATTTTTAAAATAATCGTGCATTTGGCTTGGGAAATTCGTTAACGGATGGATTCTTACTCAGTTGATTCATTTCTGTTTTAGTCGAGAGTGTTAGTAATCCGATTGGACTGCTTCAGTTGATAACATGAAAGTTTGAGGAAAAAATAGATAACAAAACTGCAGTGTTTAGTAGTTTATCAATTCGTATTTTACTCTGCTGAGGTAAGTGTTTATAATTTTTAATTGATAATTATGGTGGTGTAATACTGAAAATTGGGTATTAAACGCAACAAGCCACATCCTGGTTCATTCCGAGAAAATGTCTACGATTTTCACTTCATGCTGATTAAGTATTTCATGTAATGATACCCATATCGTGAAGTGCATTTAGCGAAATTAACTTCAGATCTACTCATTTGCGGTACTCGCATTTAGTTCTTTCAGTTAGAAAATCAATAGGCCGACCTTGAAATAAAGTAGGAATGAACCAAAAATCGAGTAAAATTCTGGCGACTTTTATGTTTTCCTGCCCACTCATTATTAAAATATAGTTTTAGAGTGGGCTACCTTACTCTACATACAAGTGGGTGTTATAATTTTAATATTTTCCACCTATGTATCCTTAATTCGTGGTGCACCTAACTGGTGCCCAAATGGCGACAAAACATTGCACTATGTTGATTTTATCATTGATTTAATTACAATCATTTATATTAATATTATAGATTGTTCAAAATATATAGTGGGGCTATTTCGAAAACTAATACATAATTGTACGATTAATTACTTCTGCTGTAGGTAATAAGCTTTTCCTGTTAGTCCTTCAAGTTGTAACGAAGATAATTAGTAATATTTTACTTGCTTATTTATTTGTAAAGCTCAGAAACTCGTGTAAGAAATATAAAGTTGGAGCAAATGAGGTTTAACAGGTAGTTGTTGGTCAGGTATTACTATTTATCAAATGGAATTTTTCTCCAAAGTGTTCTATACATCTCATTCTGTTCTTCTTCTTCATCATGTTCTTCATACATACTAGGTAGTTCTTTTTAAATTTAACAAACGAATCATTTGAATTAGAATATTTATTGTTATTTAGGGCATGATGCTATAGAGCCAAATACCATTTTTTATTTGCCTAATTAATATATTAATAGAAAAGATTGTACAAATTTAAAATTAGAAATGTTTAATAGTTTAGACACGTTTTGCTATTAAAATAAAATGTAAGATATCAGGAAATGACTGAGTCGCGATGATATTTAGTAAGAATAATTTAAATAGTTAAAAAAATATTACTCATTTACTTATTCAATCTGACAACTGTATTTCATATATTTATCCTTGTTGTTGAATCTCCATTATTGGGGTTAATTTGAAATGTATGTCATTTACCTGAACCAACCTTGACAGCTTAATTGGTTTAATTTATTCCATAATAGAGATTGCATAACTATTACTCCAATGAATACAATTCCAATGTGAGAATTTCTTTGAATTTATAAAAATGAGCGAATTACAATATGCATAAAAAATTATATCGCTACTTACGTAAAATCGTTGTTTATTCATATGCAATAGGTACTAAAAAAAATCTAAAATGCTAAATGTAATTTGGACCGTAAAAATTCTATAAATAAATGAACTTATTTATTATAATTTAGGCTTTATGAAGCACTTGAAATTTAAATAGGAATTTTAATAAACTCCAGCGAATGTTATTTTTTTTCGTTATTCAATTAATATGTTCGCCTGTTTGTTTGCTACAAATTTCAATTGTTGATGTTGAAATGTTTGTTTGTTCTCCCTTACAATTTAATCAGTAGACTATTAATAAGAATTGAAATGTATTGGCCAAACATCGTATAACAGTCGTCATGGAAATATCTTTCATATTTGATCAATTTAAAGTAAGTTTCCCTCGTAAAGCAAGGTTCACTGGAGTACAGTTGATTTCACTTGAAATTGATAACTGTAATTTAATTTTTTTACGATGCTACCAGATATAGATATTAAATGGAAAGTATTCAAAAAAAATAGAAAGCTCTCGCAAATTGAGGTAAAAATAATAGGTATACACTCCTTGTAAGGTGTAAAAAGCCAGTTGATGTATGTCCCAAATACCTATAAAAACTTTAACTACAACAAATCGCTTATACTTTTAAATTGGTTTGCTTCTCGTGGTAATCGGTTTGTTGTGTACAAACAACATGTTAATTATATGGAATTATAGCAAATTTGAACATTCAATTGTAGGTTTTGAATCTCGATTGAAGGATTTGTTTTTTTTTTACTATTAACAAAAATTTCTTCTTTGTATTTACTTCAATAAAAGTTATATTAAGTCGACTGTTTGAAGCATAAATTAGATTGTAAAATAGTTCCAATTTATATCTCTAAATTGACATTAATCTATTTGTTTACTTTAGTTTTATTTTGTGATGATCGTACCAACAACATTGAGTCCTGTTAAGTCCTTTGTTATTAAGATATAAAAACAATCGCAACCAATATAAGTCTAATTAATTAATAGTTAGGGATTGATAAGTGATAATATTGATAACCAAAGAAATAACAATTAAATACACATTGGTAATTTGTGTTAACGAGGGAAAACAGCAATAAATCATACGCGACGTTATCGCCTATGCAGTTAATGCACTCGTTTTATAAACGCATCTTCGCTTAATTATTATAGGAACTATTTTAATTCGTATTAACAAGTGCAGCTACGAATAAATCTATTTAATAAAGCAAATGAGTCTAGCCTTACACTTAACCTTGTTTATCCGTTCTAATATATTTAGTGAGAAAGAAAAACAAAAAAAAATCGAGAGATTGTTCCAAAAATAAGTGATTTGACGTAAATCGGAGGTTTCCAACTTCCCAGACAACTCTAGGCCACTTCGCGGTTTTTAATGGCACTTAAAATTTCATTAAATTTCGCTATTAAAAACCGTTTATATAAAAGCAATCAATATTTCAGGATATCTGGCACACAATACCATTTTTTTGTTACTTACACAAAGGTTGTAACTGATGTTGAAAAGAATAGAGTGTCCAAATTTGTTAATTTTGATACAAATCTATTGAGATAGGGTGTGAAATGTGAGGGTGGTTCAAGAACTATCTCTTTTTAGTTAGTAGTATTTTCTATTACAAAAATTATGACTGATAACATCATATGACAAATTTTTTATCATTTGTAAGTAGATAAAACTATTCACCGTTTGTGAATTACCGCTATTTTTGTTTTGAAAATAAAACATGCCAAAAAAACTTTGGGTGGGGTCCAAATAACTAGCTAGAAATGTTGCATCTTACCAATTATGGTCTACCGATACTATTTTAACGATGTAGTACAGAAAAATTGGAATACGTGGAATAGGTTCCTCGTATTTTTATCAAAAATGTACGCTATTATTAGTTCGAAACTAAAATAATTTCCATTGTACACTATTAATACCTTGGAGCTCCAGTTGGTCGGAATCGATGCGTAAAGTGGGGTCTGATTTGTTTAGGGCTTACGATGCTAAATTTAGAACCATGCAAATATATCTACTATTTGGGTATTTTTACCACTTGTACCTCGATGCCGTGTAGAGAGTTCATCAATCGATCTGTTTCCTTTCGTTTTCCCTGTGCCCACTGTGCAGGCAAATCTGTTTTTGTTGTTTACGTTAATGGTGTCATTTTGAGGTTAGTTGCTTGAGCACGATGTTTGAAACTGAAAAGGAAGTGTGGATCGAAATTATTGAAACTTACAAAGGGATGCAATATTTGTGGGATAAAAAAGATCCGAATTATTTTAATAAAAAGATGAGGCTGTCGGCGAATTCTCGTCTGTGTGATGTTTACAAAAAGTTGGACAAAAAAGTCACTGTAGCCGCATTCAAACGGAAACTGAAAAATCTGAGGACCTGTTATCTCAGAGAATTGAGGAAGGTAAGTTGAATCGAATTTATGCATATCACTAAAAATACATTTTGTCCGAAACGAGCGGTTATTTATATTTTATTTTAGGTGAAATCTTCACAAGCAACTGCTGCTTCTCTAGATGATGTTTATATTCCATCGCTTTGGTATTATAACTTATTGTCATTTTTATCGGAAAACAACGAACCATCCGAAGAACTCAAAGGGGTACGTAAAAAAATATTTACCTACCGCTTATTTCAATTTATTAGAACAGAAACTTCTTTTACATATGGTAGTGACTCATGTAGATACTAATTGACTCTCTTAGTTGGTAGATAAATGATACTCTTAAGTAAATATTTTTTTATAATCTTTCGAAATGCGTCTGTTGATCGCAATAGCTACAATTTCATACAAAGTAGACTGTACAAACAAATCGATAAAAGTGTTGCTTTTGCTATCTGACGAGACGAGACTGAACAAAGATAGGCGATTTCTCGACGAGGCAATACTCGGCTCGTCGGTGATTCTCGTCGTGGGGACGAGATAAAACGAGACGAGACTGGTATCGTGGTTTGCGGCGTCAATACGAGTTCCTAGCTCAATTCAGTCGATATCCTCAGTTACCAGTTATACAGTGTTATGAGCACTTAAAATGAATAAAGGAACTAAAAGGGAAAGCTCGTCTTCAATAATTTCTGATGAATGTACTTCAAATATTCCCGCAAAACTGATCAAAAGGTCGAATTCAACCGAAACGTACCAATTACTAACAACTCGTGAGAGCTTTGAAGACCAGGATGACTTTTTCGAAGAAGGGAGTACAATGTCCCCAAAAAAATGTACAAAGACAAAATATGCGAGTTGCAACATCAATGAAGATCAGGACGCAAAAAGTAGTACCAGCCTTCACGTTACTGCGACCAGTAAAATCTGCCAGTCGGAGAAATTCAAGTGCTATTTCGAATATTCCATCGACAGCGAATCGAAGGATAAGCGCGCTAAATGTAAATTATGCGAAGCGAATGGCCTAACAGTGTTTATAAAAATGAAACTGGCTAATACGAGTGGACTTAAAAGGCATTTGTTTTCCAGACACAAGGAACAATTTTACTTAATATATTCAGAAGCTGGGCCTTCTGAAGGTTTCACGCAAACCGCCGGAACATTTCAACCTGTTGAAACTGAAATGAAACGGGTAAGCTTAATAGCTTATAGAGCAATTGCTATTTTAAAGTATAAATGATAGATTGTTGATACAATTAGTGAATTAGCTAAGATTTAAGAAGATATCTTTATAAGTATGTGGCCTAAAGTAGCACATGAATGCAAAACGTTTTTGGTTAATGTATCTATTGTAATATTGTCTGACGCAGGTGAATACAAAGAAGGTTCTAAAAAGTTTGATTTCGATATAAACAACCGTTATAAATTGGAGTTTTTTTATCAGTCAATCAAATTCGTTGGTTTCCTGTTTGTTTGATAAAAGGAATATGATTATATCGTGGTATTTTTTAGACGATTGTGATCAATTGTAACCCTTTTACTGGTAATTTCTAACACCAAACGTTGTATGAAATAATCCTTACAGATACTAGTGTATCTCCAACTTTTATTTAATTCGATTTTTCGCCCTTCTAGGAAACGATTTACCTATCAGATCCGGAATTATTCGAAGAATTTTCCAATCCTAAGCAACGCCTCAAACAAGAGACCCCATACAACGAATGTTCTTCATCAAATTCCACATCCCCGTTGATCCAGGAATCGTCTACATCGCATTCCGTGGTAAACGAAGAAGCGCCCATGGCTAAACTCGTGGCCAGGAACAAGAAGCAGCGCAGAACGATAGAGAAAAAACAAGACCAGCTCATTGAAATCGCCACGAAACTTCTCACCGAACGAGAAGAAGAATGGGACGTTTTCGGGAAATCCGTGGGAATACAATTGAAGAGCCTGGATCCGACACAAGGAATTATCGCTCAAAAGTTGATTTCCGATATTTTGTTCAATGCTAAATTGGGAAGGCTGTGCGAAGAGTCCACTATTAATTTAAAACCTCTTTCATTATAGAATAATCAATCCTAATAATATTTACTGATTGTTCTTATTTAATATTCACACAAGCACTGATTTACTTCCATTTATGCATCTATTAAATATTAATTTGTTGGTCATTAAGTTTCTTTATAAATTCGTTTATAAATTTTGTAAATAAATTACTTAAGTTTTAATTCGTTTGCTTTATTTCCTTTTTTCTAAATTTTCAAGGAATTCATACAGTCTGCTACAAAATTTTTAAAATTGTAATGTTAGTTCAGAGGAGAAAATAATGATAATCATACTTTAAAGAATCGTTTGGATCACATTCATAATGACTCAACCTCAACAAGTTCGTACACGAATAGCTGTTATTAATTAGTTTCTCTACCTACTCCGCAATCTCTATGTTAAGGAAGTGATTTTTGACTAAACACAATGAAGATCCATTACAAGTTTTTTGCGGGTTTGTTAATACCACGCACTCGGAGAGGTCCGTTCCGTTGTCTTCGAGATTAATTTTATGCCGAACACATCTCAATGCCAAAGCTATTTTAGGATAAGTGCACGTAGGTCACGATTGTTAACTGAAAAACGTTTGATTTCGTCTCTAAAAGCCGTAAATCCGCGGTGTTTAAACTTCCGCGCTTTCTTATCTACGACGTTACGAAACGCCAAAACGAGAGCGAACGCTATTATGTATTAAAAGTTAAAAATATTTTTAACCCGTACGTATTCATTAATAACGCGCGCTATTTTGGAAACTACGTGCGCTAAAATAGAGCCGTACTTCGAAAATATATTTTTGTTATTCCGAAAGTTTCGAGCAGAGCGCGTTGAAAATGTCGTTGGCGAATTCGACCGGCTCAATAGCCCTATTTGTCGGTTTTCAGGTTGGGCTCCGTAATGGCATACATTCGATCACAATACGTTATTTTCTCCTTACTCTCCTAATAAAGAAGGTTAACGTCGAATTTCTATTGTGTCGGCAGCGCTCATTAAAGCTATTCATACGCTTCTTTGCCAATGGAGTCACATACAAACGAGAATGTACGGGTTAATCAATTAGTTTTGCAACTATTAATCCCACACTTGACAATAATAATTGAATATTTCATTTTTGTATTATGTTGAGTGCGCTTAATGCAGAAAATTTCTTATATTAAGGACAACAATACGCAGGTGTTGTGAAGAATAGTCCTGGGGAATATTGTTTTTAGATCTCAAAGATTTAGACACAACAAGTGCATTGGAACCTCTAAGGTTTCATACTTATAAGTGACCTCTGGTAAAAACACTGATCTTACAGCAGCGGGAAGACTACAGAGGATCCTATAATCTTAATGGTTATGAGGCTCAAAAGATCTACTCGCAAACAACAACAACAAATTAAAACAATTCCTATAACTTTCTTTTCGTTATTAGTTCACCCTGTACATCAAATTTTTATTATCGCAAATTTCGTTTTTAAAGTACCGTTTAGAATTCCATAGAGAATTTTTTCAAAGTGTACCCATTCATAATTTTCGATTGATTGCAATTACTAGTTTAAAGTTAGGTGGGCGTTTGTGAATTTTTTTATTAGCATTTTTGTCGCAGTTAACAGCATCCAGAAGGTCGGCCGTTGACTTGTGGAATTGTTAGTTCAAATAAAGCACGTTCAATTGCTTTTCATCATCGCGAGAATTCTAAAAATAATGCAAACATCAAAAAGTCAACGGGACGAATTTATCAAATTATAGTAAAAAACAGCCTCGCTTTTATTATTTACTTTTTAAAGTCTATTTAGTATTTAATTTACCCGCGCAACCTTTAAATTGTGTTCAGCTTGGGAGTTTTCGAAGGTTAGGCGATTTTTTTGGGTACTAATATTAAGAAATGATTGTAAGAGGTCGTACCATTGTGCAATGTTTTGTCACCCAAATTAGCCCGAGTTTGTCCGTTATTTTTACGGTTTGTAGATTTTTTTACGTCGAGTAGCCAGACGTAGGTAGGTGTAAGTACGCGTACTGATTCGCGAGTTTCTACTATCGCATCCGTAAATACCGCTGGAAATAAAATTTACAGCGTGCGAACATAAATTGATTGGCAATAAGTGCTCGATGGTCGTTACAAATGGTCGTCGTTAATAAACAGCGCGGTTTAATAAATAAATAATTTTCGTGTTAACTAACATCGTTCGAATATTCGTGAGTTCACGCACAATAATTGCTCTCTAAATTGCCATTGATGTTTTACTTATAAGGCTTTAGTTGCCAATAAAATAATTGATTTGTTTTTTTGTATCGAACGGGTCGAAAAAAGTTTAAACACGTGCTGGTTGCGTTTCGAGAGTAAACACACCTTGAAGGTATTTTACCATTGAAAAGTTTAATATCTAATAATTTATTATTTTTATTAGTTGTTTTATCTAATTTAATTTTCTTTGCAGTACTTTAAAACCTGGGGCATAAGGATTTAAACGGCACCAATATGGTGGACTATTACAGAGTCCTCGAGGTGCCAAAAACTGCGAGCGGTACAGACATAAAAAAGGCGTAAGTACAAGTATAATTTTATAAATTTTTTTCTCAAAATTCATTGTAATAAATCTATAGTAAATGTATATCTTCAGTAAAATTACTCCTCTTAATAAATAAATTTGTTTGTAGTTATAGAAAATTGGCTTTGAAATGGCACCCCGACAAGAATCCTGAAAATATGGAAGAGGCTACAAAAAAATTCAAAGAAATTTCAGAGGCGTACGAAGTATTATCAGATGGTGAGTAATATTCGATTCACTAAAGTTTTTGCTATAATCGGGTTTGAAACATTTAGAAATAATTCAAAGTATGTTTAAAAACTAATTCGTTCTTTCAACAACCTAATTCGAATTGTTGATGATACGAATTCTTTTGTTATTACTCTAGTACGCAACGAGAAGAATATTAATTGATAACGTTTTGTCATTTGAATTTTTATTAAATATTTCTTGTTATTACAGCGAATCGTTATTGTTACTTACATAGTATGATTGGTATTTTATAGATTCGAAAAGAAAAATCTATGATACCCGAAGCAGCAGAAGTAGTTCGGCGAAATCGAGATCGTACCGCAGCCATTATTTTGACAGTTTCAATCCTTTCTCTCAGAAATATTTCGGTACATTTGCAGGTTTTTGTTTTCTGTGTGGTTCGACTAATTTTTTTGATTTTGGATTTTCTCATAATTTCCTTCATGTCATCGGTTTTCTCAACCCTCATTATTAACTGCGTGCTGTTTTTATGTTATTTAAGTTTGCCGTGATATCCATTAAAAATGTTTTCGATTTGGATTGGAATTTTGACTGGACTAACTTGTTTTTGAGTGTTTGTTATGATTTTCTCGAAATGTTTAATTCAATCTAGTGTCTCTTATGATAATTAGTTCAATTTCCGGTTAAACAAACACTTGCTATTTTGCATTTTCAAATACGTATTATCCTCTTTATGCAGGGTGTCCCGCGTAAGAACCGACACAGAGCAGGGCATGTAGGGAATCCTAAAATATGGGTAAACCCATTTAACTTAATACAAAAATACATTGCTGTGAAGTTAAAGGCATTCAAAGAAGAGTTGCAATTAAAAAAAATATCTCGGTAATACCCAATAAGTTATGAGTGTACTAAGATCATTATTTGATAGTCAGCAGAGATCAATTCATTTATTTTAAAGGGTTCATCAGGAATAATGCTTATTTAAAATGTTATAGAAATTTATTACCTGATAGATGATGTAAAAAAATTATTACTTCATTTTAAAAATATTTTTATTCTATTGGGTTTTTAAAATTCTTTTTCATTTTGATAAAAAACGTAAAAAATAAAGTCACGTAGACTATCAATTTTACTTAAAATCAAAGGTTGGCTGGGTTTTAAGTTGGGTTAAACAACATATTTTAAGCTCCTCTACATGATCCTGCCTGTGTCGGTTCTTATGCGGGACACCCTGTATTTGCTAACTAGTTCCATATTAAATTTAAATTACAGAGTGGCCTAAAAGTAATGGGTCACGCAGTAAACCGTTTAATTTAGTGAAATCGCAATAATTTAACGTCGGGAGATCCAACGATTTCGTATGTCTCATTACTTATGATCCACCGTGTATAATTGCAATTAATGAAGCAAGAATCCTAGTCGAAATTCGCTGTATAATTTTCTCGTAATTTATCACGAATAACTGAATAACTATTAAAATTTCGACGGGTCGCGGGTTTTCTAATTTCCGCTTGTTTTTACTAACGATTTTGTTTAAGTTGCTTCCTTAAATTTTATGGTTTTTTTAACGAAGCCAAAGTGCTACTAAATCACTTCCTTTACTAGACCGATTGTTTGCGTGTGTTCGATTTTAACGCCCCATTGAACTTAGTATGGAAACAAGTAAAATTTTTAAACATTTTTCATATTTTCTACTGCAGAAAAAAGTGTAGTTATTGATCTACAGATGAGCCTGTTTTTCTCTTTTTGCACCTAAAATGAACGGTGTAATTGGAATGGAAATATAGTATGTTTCCGAGTTTTCTCAAGGGTGTCGCTAACACGTTCACCATTAATATTTTTATTTATAAACTCCATATAATGGATTCTCGCGGTTACCAATTCGCGTAAACATCTGTTGAAATGTTTTATTTAATGCAAGTGAATCACCAACGGAAGGCGATTAACGACGTTTCTAAATAAATGGTACCAGCAGCGTGAGAGGTACTATCTCACCGATTGCTCCATTATGACAATTATGATGAAATTAAAGAGTGGAAAAGTCGTAAAAGTAGCATCCGCGAAAATGCCTCCATTATTATTGTAATTTGTCGGTCTGTTTCCTTGATTACGGTATGTAAAATTATAACTGTAATTCATTATTGTCGGCTACTATGATTCATTATGTTGGCTGACGCACATAATTATAGGTGGTAAAATTAGTGGTGGGATTCGAAATCTCGAAGTGTCGCTGACTGCCGCAGATGCGCACGATCATGCAAATAATAAATTTTGAAAAAAAAAACATTTTAGAATGCATCACTTCGTTTCGTGAGTCAGTCGATGATCGGTTTTTGGATGTTTTTTAGAAAAAAGTATTTTGTTGAATTTATCGAATAAATTACAATACGATTAGATATTGAATAAGAATGAATTGGATGTTTTGCGAGAATTTTTTGATTCATCAATAAGTACGGAGTATTTGCGTAAGAAATATTTGTGAGGAACAGGTATTTCCAATGGTGGAAGTTTAATTTTTCTTCCATCAGAACTCTTGCGAATCGTTTTTTATTAATTCATTATAATTAGTATTTTTTTGCTATTTATTGTTTTATCACTTTACCACTAGTTGAGTGGAGAATATAAAATTACCAAGGGTTTCTAACATATAACTCAAATATGTTGGTGACTTGACGAAGTTGTGAAAGAAAGTCAATTTATAATTAAAATTTGACTTGTTTCAGGATTTTCTATAAATATGTACAGTAACCTAAATAATGAATTTATTCCATTTGGTGTTCCCACCCTGTATGTAAATTGGGCGCAAAATGAATTCTAGATTTTATTCCCATAGATAAATTGGGCGCGGAGAATATAAGGTCCTTTTAATCTGACAGGTAAATTGGACGCAGAGACCCCGGAATATATAACCATTAATAATGTCTTTGATGGTTGAGAATTTTTATTTACAGCAAAGTATTTTCACGCACTATTTTCTTTCAATATAATTATAAAAATTAGAATTGCCCCCTAAATGTACTCTATTCTACACTACATTACTTTACCCTACTCTACATTACTCTACTCTACATTATTCTACTCTACATTATTCTTCTCTACCTTACATTTACAATACTCTATTCTACTGTTTTTTTAAATAATGCCAAATATGTTCATTTTCTTTTAAAGTTTGCAGCAATGAAGTCAAATAATTCCCTCCTCTTCCACCGGAAATATTCTAGCGCCCAATTTACCTATAGTATTAAAATACAATATTAAGCTCTCAGGTAATAAAATTAGTACAGGGTGTTCTCGAACTTATGGCACTAAATTCTAGGGGTGATAGTTTGCATAATTTGAGACCGATTCGCAGATTTCATTTATTTAAAAAAATTATAATAAAATAGAGGCATTAGAAATAAATGCAAAGAGCAACCCTGGCCTGAATAGTCAGCTGATCGGAATTTTAATTTAAAAGCAGATGTGGTGCATTTATCAGCGAGCACAAATTTCCCCCTCCGCCCTCCAGCTTTACAAAAACGTTATCGATACCGATCGTTTTCTCCAGAAAAATAAAATCTGCGAATCGCTCTCAAACTATTCAAACTACCACCCCTAGAATTTAGTGCCATAAGTTCGAGAACAACCTGTATAGTTCTGCGCCCAACTTACCACCACCGATATAGGATAATATAGGATATTTTTTCTTCTAATTTAATTTGAAAAATTTTATTTGCCTTCTCAAATCCTTCTCTCTACAACTCTTCCGCAGAAAAATTAAACTATATTTTCATATCATACAAACCCATTATACCTACATACTAAATTATTCTTTAACTAATTACTGCAAACTAAAAAAGGGTTATCTGCTGGAGTAGAATCAAAAGTAACTAACGCGTACGTTAGAATTTGAACTGGCTAAAGCAAGAACAACCATAAGAGCATGCGGCATGTCGATTGTCCCCGGACAATCTGAAACATTCGGATACGGTGGCTTTGATTCATCGACGCTTACTACCTTCTGAACGTTTCAAACTCGTCTGGCTAGTCATCATCTTCGACGCTTCTATCACCAGCCTTCGGATACAAAATAATACTCACGTATTTTGCGGTTGTATTTTTAGAGAAAAAGAGGCGCATGTACGACCAATACGGCAAGGATGGTTTGATGAACGGCAACAGCCGCGCCAGGAGCCGGTACGAGGACGATCTAGACTTCGGCGGTTTCGGATTCTTCTCCTTCAGGGACCCCGAAGACGTTTTCAGAGAATTCTTCGGCGCTTCGGTATTCGATTTGTTAGGTAAGCTAAATTCCTCTTCCTGTTTTTTTGTCGGATTCCAAAACGAATATCGTACGTTGCAGACCCCCAATTGGGAAGGGATTCGAGGAGACGGAACAGACACTCGCATCCGCAGAACGCCCTCAGCAGCGCTTCGTTATTCGCGCCGTTCAGCTTCGGCTTCGGCGGCGATCTGATGGACGATTTCTTCAACACCGGTCCGCACTCGACCGGATTTACCTCTTTTAGTTCAATAAATACTTCGTTTAACGGATCTCCCGGCAACCCTAACGTCAAGAGAACGTCCTCTTCGACGAAATTCGTCAACGGCAAGAAGATAACGACTAAAAAGTAAGTTTGCGAGAATGTTTAGATTGAGTATGTTGACCGAGAGCGCGAATGTGGAAATTTTATGTTTTTCTTTTATGTGCACCGGCAACAATGATAAATTTCTAGGTTTTCAATGCCAAAACCACGAATGGGTCTGAGAGTGTCCACTTTAGTTGAAAGTTGAAATTAAAAACTTAAATTGCACTTTAATGCTATTTGTAAAACCCAACTTTTATCATTTCAAATTGCAGGGAAAATAATTTAATTTGAAAAATTCTGAAAGGGATTTCTTATTTTACATTGTTGTATGTTTGAAGTGTAATCAAACACGGAACATCCTCTAGTTAAACTATTATTATCACATCTATTGTGGAAAAAATTCCAAAATTCGGAATAGTTCTATATTACCCCACGAATTATGAATTTGAGGGCGGGCTTTGGCGGCCCTTAGGAGAGACATAAAAGGACATATAGGGATGATTTTGACATTCAGATATGATATATTCTAATTTTTTGAAGTAGCTGTATTATTAGAGAACGTACAGATAATTGCAAAGTTGTATACAATGTGGTTTATGTTGTCTATGAAGCCAACTTTCATTCCTCTCATACATATAAAGAAAAAAGAAAGGGCGATAGTGTAAGATTGTAACTTTCTCATTCTAACCACTGTTATTTTAATAATCTTTCTTCGTTCAACTCATAGAACTGACCATATTTCAAACAAATTTGCACTTACCCATATGTTTGTTATCTAATAAGTAGCTGAATCGCTAAGTTAATTAAGGCCAGATATAAAGGGACAGTTTTAGGGATGATTTTGGCATTCAAGTTTGAAGGATTTTAATTTTTCGGTGTAGCTGTATTATTAAGGGCCCTTTGTTGGTTACCTAACGAGTGGCTGAATTGCTATGTTAGTTAAGGCTAATGATCATATCATCATTCGCTAGGATCATAAGAATTCTAGGATCTCAAGGATTAATTGCTAATTGATGCTAATAAAACTAGTAATTAAATATGAATCATATAACAAGATTCAGAAAATTTCAAAGTTAAATTTAACAGAAAGAAATGGCATTTCCGTAACGATTACGTCAAATATAACGTACGTTTATAAATAAAAAAGTAATTAAGGTGATTATCTAGGCGCATTTCCTGAATTTCTCCGTTATTCTTTAATATTATTCTGCAAAATTCCTAAATCTTTCTATAAATAAAACAACTGTTTTAATTGAAATATTAAAGAAATTGCGTTTGTTACAGGATCTACGAGAACGGCAAGGAGACAGTATTGTCATACGAAAACGACGTTCTGAAATCAAAGACTGTGAACGGGGTGGCGCAGAGTATAACATACAGTTAAACATCTTTTCGTTTTACTTTTCCACGATTTAGCCTAATTATACTTACACACCCTAAAATAAAACACTTACGTGGTTAATGTATTGCAATCGTGTCCGTCTGCCCCTCCTCGTAAATTGAAGCTCAACGTTCTTAGTTGTCGAGAAAATCTAATGTTGTAGTATAATGACCAATTAAGTTTTGTTAATTCTAGATTAGTGCGACTGTCCGTCGACTGAGCTCTATTGAATATTAATGTAGTTAGTCTGTGTCAAATGATACGTTGTCAAACACGAAATAATCGAGTATATTGTGCACTGAATCCGTTCTAAATTATAAGACTTTGCTGATTTTCACTAAGCTACTGTTCATTTGGTGGTATGTAGAGGTAATCTTTGTCTGCTTTGCAGTGGTTTAGCCTTTTAATTTCACATTACTACATGTTTCATGAAAATAACTGCGAGTAAACTTGTTCAAGTCGTACAAAATACATTTCTAATTCCTCTAAGATTGTACTTACTAAGCGAGCTTACTTTTCTAAAAGGCTAGTCCGTGTGCGAGAAAAGATGCCATTTTTAGTACCTAAATTGTTGAAATATGTATTTTCCTTTAACAGTATACAAGGTGGTTCATAACAGACTCTTCTGCGAGGCAAGTTCGAAATAATTTATAATCGGGAAATTGTGTAATTTATGAGCGCTGTAGTTGCTTTGAGAATGTTTTCATCGCGCGAACGAAAACATTTAATAACTTTGCGAGTAACTCCTACGGAGTTTGGTACATATTACAAAAATCATGCTTCGTGAAGGTCTAATATGCAATCACCTTGTATACGAATGCCGCGACGAATTAACTTACGTTAGTTGATAAATTTAGTTGTAATGGGTTGTTTTAGTGTGTTAGGCAAACCACTTTGTAAAAATTGCCTAGACGAAACCTGTGGGTTAAGGAAAGATTTGGAAAATTCGATGAAATTGAGAAATATCGCTTTACGTTATCAATTTTTTTTATTGTATAAGATGTGCTCAATAAATTTGGATAATCAATTTTTTATTAGTAAATGATTGTTTTTGAAGAACATCTACTTAGCTGTTAAACGTTCGATTTGTAAATAATTTTCGAGATAAAATACCAAGCGTGTCGAGCAAGTAGTTGTTTTGTTCCTGATTTGCGATTTCATACACTTTGTATGTATCTGATAAGTAAAATTTTATTTATTAATGCATTTTTTTAAATATGATTTTTTTTGTATAATCGGATAAGTAATGATAAGATACGACGTAAATACGACGTGTAGATACGAGAAACAGATTTTTGGAGTGAATTTCAGTAAATCGTTACCAATTTTTTCGACCTCATTTTATTGGCTTGGAGCAGTGAACTGATATAATTACAATTACTGATAAATGTATGCTTTTAAACGCAAAATGAACTAGTTCGTATTATTGTCATGATTATTCTACCTAAATTATATTTACTTATTTAAATTATAATAAAAGTTATTGACTTACCCTCATCTTTTTCTAACTACCCTTATCCACAACTATAAAATATTTCTACCAATACAGGGTATATCACGACGAGCTTAAACTATCTGTATATTGGAAACTACCGATCCAATTTCAATAAAATTTGTTATACATATGTTATGCAATAAGTAGTTTCAACATATGCAACATATAGATAGTTTAAATTCGTCGTGACACACCCTGTATTGTACTTAGGATTAAACAATAATCATCATCAACTTTCCCTTAAATTAAATAAAACAGTAAATACTCGACAACGCCGCTGTATTCCCGAGCGAGAAACAGGCAATGAAACTGTCGACGTGTAGCCGGGGGTAGAGGGGCGGAGCCCTTCCCGAGCTTCCAGCGAGTTTCAAACAATACAACTTCAAGTACTTTGTATTTACTATTAATTATTAAGTAATTATCACAATTAAACAATATTAATCAATTTAGTAGATATAAGTCGTGTACCCCGGTCTTCTTTTATCGCTCCAAGCGAATATTTCATTGTTTTTCGTGGATATTCCAGTTACAGCTGCGAATCCATTGTCATCATGAAAACTGTATTTATGCCCGAATTTCGCTAGTGCTTCTACTATATTTCTTCCCTAAAAAATAAATTCATGTGAAAGACACTAAACCAGCTTTAATTTTGAGAAACGTAGAAGAAATAATCATTACCTCTGTCTCATACTCTGCATCAAAAATAATTTCCATGGGGAATAACTGATGATGAAACCGCTTTTCATAAATTGCAGATTTTAAATCCATTCCCAACCACAAATGCCTCAGTATGGTCTTAAATAAAAATAGTAATCAGAACTATCTAATTGGAATTACATACTCAAACAGTACTCAAGAATCTGAATAGCTGGTAAATATAATATACTGCTCCACAAGAGTTAAGGAAGTTCACAAATATTAAGATTAATTTAAAAGTTGCAGGTTTTTTGATCGCCAAATTTAATGCGAGTTGTAGAGGTAGGGGCAAAAAATCCATTCAGATATGAGAGAAAACATTTAATTTCGCATATTTGAAAATTTGGTGATCAAAAAGTCGGTAACTTTCAAAATAATCGCATAATTTGCGAACTTCCTTAAATTTTGTGGATCAGTTTAGTTGCATTTATTACCAATGAAACTGCCGTTGTGATTTTGGGCCCGCCAGCTCCACCAATAACCATTAAAACGTTTTTGTTCCCGTCTGTAACTATAACAGGGCACATAGAAGACACGGCTCTCTTTCCCGGCGCCACGTAGTTCGAAGAGGACGATGCGAAACCGTTGCCATTCATCATGTTCGGCGATGAAAAGTCCCTCATTTCGTTGTTCAAAATGATTCCGGTGCTCTTCGACGCGAATCCCGCTCCGAATCTGCACGACACGGCTCGTCATCAAGCGAGAACCAGCGAAATTGAATACTTACAGAAGATTAATGGTGCTGGTGACGGAGACAGCGTCTCCATCAGGAGATAGAATAGAAATGTGCGCAGTCCCGTGATCGTCCGGCGTGTAGAACTTGGCGTTGTAATGATCAGGATTTTGGTAAGTCTTGCTATCCGATATCATACTCCTTATTTTGCCTGCGTACGACTCGGAAATATAGTCGTTTATTAACTGAAAATATTAAAGTTTCTTAATAGTTTCTTAATATTGAAATTTCCAACTTTACCTCGGTGACGTTCACGAAATTTGGATCGCCCATTTCGCCTCTTCTTCCGTACGCGAATTTGAAAGTTTCCACGATTCTCTGTGTTCTCGTTACTTCATCGTCATCTGCATCTACGTAGTCACTTAACGTATTTAAAATTAGGGATAACAGTATTCCACTTGCTGGTAAAGGTGATGTGTACAGAGTGTTATCGTTCTTGAGGCCGATAGATATAGGTTGGTTCCAAAGTGGTCTATAATAAGAATAAAAAACGCGATATTTATAATCATAATTCACACAAAACTGTAATTATTATAACGCAATCGTAATTAATTAGTGGAGAAATTAGCATGAAAACTCAACGGTACCTACTCGTAGGTATTCATGTCTTCCTTGGCGATTATCCCTTTATTGCTTTTGATATCTTTAACAAAATTTTCTGTTAGTGAGCCATTATGCAGAGAATCACCGCCTTCTTCTGCGATTATTGATAGTGTTTCGGCTAGTTTAAGTAGTTTGACAGATTCTCCTTCTTGATACGTTTCGTTATTCGAAGGCTTAATATAAATGGACCTGAAAAGGTATAATGAAAGTTATGCTTCTGGAAAAAGTAACTTTAAACTCATGGATGAATTTGTAAAATAAAGTGGGCATTTTTAAATATAAAGCGTGTTACCTCAATACTGGATCTTTGTACAAAAAATCTTTCTTCCTTTTGTAAACGCTGGCTAAAAATTTTGTAACGTACACACCATTCGTGCACATTTGAATAGTGGGTTCAACCAATTGCTTCCACGGTAAGCCTCCTCCAAATTTTTTGTAGAGATGCCAGTATCCCCTCAGCTCACCCGGTACTGCCACTGCTTTACCACCTAAAACATATTCATATTAATGATTGAAGATGACTAAAAAAGCCAATATTGTCTGAATCGATCAAGCTTATGTTGGAGTATTTTTATGATAGAAGGAATGGTGAAGAAAACCTAGGGATGTATTGATGGAATGCATGTAAAAATCCCAAAACCCAAGGACCATGGTTTATCATACATAAACAGAAAAGGATTTCCAAGTATTATCTTGCAAGTACGTTTCTCAAAATCATATTTACAATTTTTTTTTTTGTAAAACTTTGTATATTTTGATAATTTCATTTAAAAACAGTAAAATAATTTATTTTCCAATATTTTTACCCCATTTTGAGGAATCTGGATGATCCAGGAACATATCCCTAAAAGCTGCTTTGGGAGCCGTTTCTCTTGCGTCCAATGTCCACATTTCATTAGTGCTTTTATTGTATAAAGTAACGACAAAACCACCACCGAGACCCATGGACTGGGGCATGGATACCCCTTCGCAAAATAGGGTTGCAATAGCCGAATCTACAGCGTTGCCACCTTTCTCTAAAATATCACTGAAACACGAGATATATTTTAATACGTTTTTCTAACGAATAATTGGGGATTTTTACTTACACTCCTATGTCTGAGCATCCATATCCGTTTGTAACAACGGCACCTTTCTTTATCTTTTGCTCATTTGACAAACTTAGAAATAATAATAATACTGTTAACGTCACTAGCACAAACAATTTACACTTCATTTTTGGTAGAATGGTTAAAACCTAAAATAGAACAGAATTTTGTTAAATCACATTAAAAACTAAAATGTTCTTAAAATAACCAAACAATTCGTTAATAGACAACAAATAAAAATATTTATTTATTGTAATACAGAGCTCATTATCTAATAGATTCTTGTTTTTAAAATTGAAATTTAATACATTTTTCGTAAGTTGAACGAGATCGAGCACGTTGTGCTTTAACAACAATTTTATAACATAATTAAATTGTGGATTAAATATTGATATTGTTGAATATTACTCACCAGTCAGCGAGCTAATCTACATAAGATCCGTTTGTTTATTAGCTTATCTAACAATAATTCTACAAGAACGTGTGATCAAACTAAAAACTTTCTACCTAATCTTAATTCCTATTAAATTTAGTGTCCGAGCACCAACTTATACAACCGAGTCCATCCCATAACTAATTCATTTAATTCCACCTATTAACATTTTTTAACTATATTTGTTATTTTTAGTTCTCATAAGTCGGTTCTGAATCAGTGCAGAAGAATTTTAATATTCATATTTATTAGATAGTTGCGAATAAATATAAAGTCATGCTGACGAAAAATTAACAGAGTGGTTAAATAATGTATCGCAGTTAGAGTTAGGTCATATGTTAATAAAGATTAGAAAAAATGTATATTGTAAAATCTATAGTGCATTATATGTTAATATTGTTTCCAATTTGCGTGTTGGTTATGCATTATGTTGTAGAATACGTTGTATTGAATAGATATTATTTTTCTGTAATAAAAACCTTATCTTACTTTAGGTACTGCTTGACCATCCTGTACAAGCACTTGCACAATATTAGGACGTAAAATCTTATTAAATAAAACAATGATGCAACCAAAAAAGTGATAATAAAAGAATATTATTCCAATATTTTTAAAACATATGGGAAAAAGTGGCTTGAATAATTGGTAAATTTAATGTTAATTCTCTTACGGATTAATTCCGGATATCACCCGCACTCATGATTCAAACCAACAAGGCATTGAAGTAAAATATTTATTAGCTCGACAATTTGTATCATTTCGTATCGATTGAAGATATAATTAAATACGTAAAATCGATTTTCCTCGCCAGAACACATAATGACCTCTCGTCCTTTAGGTTATACACGTAACCATTATTTATTATTCATTAACATTATTTATATAGATTGAAAATGCAATTTTAAGAACGAGCCTTAACAATGAATGATAAAAAATTCGTAGGAGTAAAAAAAATAAAATTATCCATAGAAATATGTCGGAAACAAACAAAAGTGTTCACAGATAAAAAATGTAATGTACCAATTTTTAATTCAAACTTTCCAAAGTCGCACTCCAAATTTTACCACTTTGCTTGAGATCTTAATTTTAATTAAAATTAATTATTAATTATTCGTTTTCAAACTTGTCCCTCAGGCTCTTCGACAGGTACCACTGCTCTTTCAGTATCTTCTTCTTGTGCGTCGTCGGTATGGGCTCGGAAAACCTTCCATCCAATTCGGAATGCGGATATTTGGACTTCTTAGCGTGCTTGTATTTGTACGACTTGTACTTGTCCTTGATGTATCTATCCTCCGGGTGCTTACCCCGGTGGGTTTTCTTCGGTTTCTGCAGCTTCTTGGGGCGGTACTCAGTTCGCGAATAACTCGACGAACCCCGTTTATTGTCCTCTTCGGTTTCTTCACCCGTTTCTTCGTAACCCTCGTGATCTCTACCAAGCAGAAAATAATATTATACAGTGCCTACTTTTCTTGAAAGTAGTAACCCAATTAACCTACATAAGATTTGATTTCAAAGAAGAATAATTAGTAGCTTACTTTTCATCATCCGCATCTTCATGCTCAAAGTACTTGTCGAACGGACTCTCGTACTCATCTCTCTCGTTTTCTTCATAGTCCAGCTTTTCTTCGGTGTCGTCGTCTTCGGAATCGATGTTGTCTTCTTTCACAGGCTTCTCGATCACCGGCGGTCGAGGTTTAGGCTTCTCCTTTTGCTGCTTCTCAATCAACACAGGCATGTCTATGGTTTGATATTGGCTCAAGGGAGGCGGCCGAAACCTCGGCTGAGTGATGGGCGGCAATTGCGTGGGATTGTTTCTAACCAAACCATACTTTAGCTCAAATACACTAGTAAACGATTGATATAATACCTACCTTGGGTAATGATTGATGTAGCTAATGATGGGCTTTCCGTGCGTGAATTGCACGAACTGCGAGGGTTGGTTTGGCAAGTGCGGGGTGAACTGTTGGCTGGAATGGAACGATGTCGGGGTGCTCATGAAATGGCCGGGCTGCGTGGAGTCGACGATGATTTTGCCGTAAACGTATTTTTTCGGCTCTGCGAAGGTGGGCTGGACGTTGTAAAGGGGATGGTGCTTGATGCTGTAGGTTTGCAAGTTGTTCTGTGCGAAGGGTTGCTGCTGAGCCGGCGATACAATGGTCTCTGATGTAATGATGTTCGCTGGGGGATTGTTCGGTTGAATTGGAGGCGGTGGTTTCAAGTCGGGTTCGAAGAGTTGCTTGACGTGCACGTTGGATATAGAGTCGGTTGGCGTTTGTTGGAATTCGTACAAAACATGTTCGGATGCGACCTGGGTAAATAAAGGTTGGTTATTTTGTAGGCACAATTGGTTAGAATTTGTACCTTTGGTTCTATTACTTTGACTGGTTGAGTGAGATCTACTAGAGCCAGAGGTTTGGCTTGGTAGAAGGTGTTGGCCGGCTTAGGTTCGTAGTAAATTTTAGTATTGCTAGCTAAAGGTACTAGGTAGCTTGGCTCTTCATAGGATTGGATTTGCCTGGATAAATTTCTCTTGGGTTTGGCAGATATTTTTGTCGAATTTTGAGCATTTGCCGAAACTAGTAAGACGCATAACAAGACTATTCCAAGCTATAAAAATAAAAAAATATTTCAAAACTTTAAAGCTCAATAAATTTTATTAACTACTAGGTACCTAGTATTATCTTTCATTTTTTCCAAGTAAAAAATTATGCTTAATTGCCATAGGAGAAACCTGATAATTTTAAAGATACATAATATCAACTTTCTATTCTATACGAAATTTTAAATTATGTTGTAATGAGAAAAATATTGTCTAAAACTTCCACAAATGCAAGTAAAATTGTTGCTAATTAATAATAATTTTAAAAATAACTCTTACTACTTTTAGCAATGCAAGAATACCGTGCATTTTTCAAATTTCAAAATGATAAATTATTTAAATAATAACTGTCTAAAACATGTTTTAAACATTTTGTCACTTTAAACACGCACACTCACTGCATACCAATGCAGATCAATTGATCCACGAACTGATCAGGCAGATACTTACACAGAAATATTTCATTCTGCTTCAAGAAATTGGTACTGACTAATGGACGTGAAACCATTTCTTCGGCTCTTTTATACCGTTGCATCGAGTGAAAAGAAAATAAACGACGAATCAATTTAAACATTTTTCAACGTCTATTTCTTTCAGTTTCTTTCATAGTTGAGTGATAATACGAGGCGATTTTGCTCTCGACGAAATTAAGTCCTTAATTGAAAACGATGTTGCTCGGATTGTTTAACGTTTCATAATAATTTGTGGTTTACAGTTTCTGATCTTCGAGTACATGTCTACGTAGTTTCTGCCCCGGAATTCGGAAGTTGGTATTGTTACTTTCTTTTGTACATTTCCTGTATAAGAGGTGTTTCTAAAATTGTAGGCAAAATGATATCATACAAAATTGTGTTGATCCACCTTAATTTAATATATTTGTATATACAGTGTGTCCACGGATGGGGTTGCCTATAGGAGAAAAATTTTTATTATTCATTTTACGACAAAAAGTCATTTATAAAATTTTTTGCTTCATTGGATCTACAGGGTATTGCCAAATTAGGAAAACATGAAAATACCTCAAGAGAGAAGTACTATTATTTTTTATTGTACACGAAATTTTTATAAAAGAAAGTTGTTTATAATCTAAAATAAAGCCTGAATACAAATTTGTAAACTTAAATTCAAATTTTTTGTGTCCACAGATAAAGTTGACCAGATAAGAAAAAATGGTTATTATTAATTTTACGACGAAAAGCCATTCTTTATAAAAAAAATTAACTTGTTGAGAAAATGAGATTTACATATCAAAACAATAGATAAGATGTATAGGGTGTTAGTAAATTAAGAAACAGGAAAAAATTTCAAGAAAGAACGAAAGAATTTTTATTATCTTACATCAAGAATGAATTTCTTTATTATCTTACATAAAGAAAGAACTTATTTTCAAATCATAAATACAATTTTTCCATTATTAATTTATTTTACGTAGTTGCCCTAAAACATTTAATTTTAGTTGATTTGTGCGATTTGCAGCATTAAACGTCATGTCACCTACGCTTTTATTTATGCCGGTCAGTATTTTAATTTGTAACGGTATTATAAAAAATGTCAACCCAAGAACAGCGAATTTATTTAGTAAAATGCTATGGAATTGGAAATGTATCGTATAAACATGCAATTAATCTTTTTAATGAAGAATTTCCCATTACGACTGTATCGAGACAAGCAATGGTAAAATTAATAAGGAAATTCTCTGAAACTGGTTCAAACTGAGCATGTTTATTTACAAATTTTGGAAACATTTTTCATGCCATTTTTTAATACCCAGAAATACGTAACTCGCTTCTTTGGCAACATGACGGTTGTCCTTCTCATTCCACCGTCTTGGTCAGATAATGGTTAAATAATCATTTTGGCGAAAGGTGGATAGGTAGGTTTGGTCCAATCCATTATCCTGCTAGATCCCCTGACCTAACACCACTGGACTTTTTTTTATGGGGTGCCGTCAAACAAAGGGTTTAATCGAATAATCTACCACATGACAGGGAAGTATTGAAACAGCGCATACGGGAAGCAATAAATGAACTGAATAACCCGGAAATCATTCGTACAGTTTAAAAAGAATTTATTGAAAGAGCTGAAAAATGCGTGGAAGTGGGAGGCAGCTACGTATAATAAATAGTACAAAAGTTGTATTTTTGATTTATAAATTTGTGTTCAGGCTTTACTTTGAATTAAAAGCAATTTTTTTAAATAATAGTGCAAGATAATAAATAAATGGTCATGATATTTTTTCGTGTTTTCTTAATTTACTAAGGCCCTATACATCTTATCTAATGTTTGGTATGTGAATCTCATTTTTCCAAGAAATTTTTTTTTTATAAAAAATTACTTTTGGTCGTAAAATTAATAATCATTTTCTCCTATGGTCATCTCCATCCGTGGACACACAAAATTGGAATTTTAATTTGAAAAATTGAATTCAGGCTTTATTTTAGATTATAAACAACTTTCTTCTATAAAAATTTTGTATTTTCATGTTTTCTTAATTTGGCAACACCCTGTAGATCCAATCTAAGATTTTTCAGTGTTATTCTCATTTTTAATAGAAGCAAAAATTTTCATAAAGAATGACTTTTTGTCGTAAAATGAATAATAAAAATTTTTCTCCTATAGGCAACCCCATCCGTGGACACACTGTATTTTTCGAATTAAAATGCAACAATATTGTTCAAACTACTGCCATTTAATTTTATAATTAGAAATGAGTTTCAAATTACATGCGTTATGAAAGTAAAAACATGTAACTAATTAATTTACTTAGGAAAATTGGTGGAAAGTTTCCGAATCAAGTTCAAAACAAATATGCAAAAATGCTTGATTGGTACGCTAATAATTGAATACAGATCCAATTATCTGCATAAATACGAAAGGTTTTAATTTATACTGCACTTTCGATTCAACCTTCAATAAATATGGATACAGTAACGTCTATTTGTTGTTCCGGTGTTCTATTATTACTATTATATCACAATTTTAATTACTTACGAACTAAGGTAAAGCTCATGTACTACATGAGTAAATTACCTTCTGATACTAAAGATCATCCAATTCTTACAAATTTCGTAGAACTTCAAAATGATGATGGTAAGCTCCTTTTAATTAGTCATTAATACTAATTTAATTTGCAATTTTTTCACAGGATGTCTGTTATGTCATAATAGTGTATCATCATTTCAAGGAGTTCATAATAATATATGGTTTTGTGGCAATTAATGTTAACATAGATCAATTTTGTTTACTAACAGAAACCATCTACTGTGTTATTTTTAATATATTTCTAATTTATAAAATAATTGCAGGTAATGATACAAGGTAAAGCGACCTTTGATAATCGTGTCATTCTGTAAGTAATTAATGAATTCATAAGAGTAAGCAGTGAAACGGTTGAAAAAAGCATGTAGCACTAGATATTCGAATTTGAACTTCATTATCTTAATCACGACCGTTTCGTAACTTATTGAACAGTGAACTTAGTGAATTGTTTTTTTTTAATTATTAGATACGCAATTAAAGTAGTTGGTAAATCATTTCTATAAATAGTATTTTGTTTATAATTTGATGCAAACTTCACGCAAGCGTAGATGACATTAAAAACGATGAATAACAAAAAAAACTATTGAAAACTAGGAGTTTTACCTAACATTATTTGAAAAGTGACCTTGAGTTAACCACCCAATCATAAGTTATCTGTTTTATGATAAATATAATCACAATAAAAACGTATTGATTTTATTTTGTATTTGTTACAAACATTTTATGTTTTAATTTAATCAGAGTACATAAAAATGTTTGAGTACATAAAAATGTACTTAAATTGTCCTTACTATAATTGAACGTTTATTCAAATTTCAAATTTATCATCATAATAACTATTAACTATCAGTGATATATTGTGTGTGAGTGCGAATTAATGTAGTTATGTATGTGACTTTCATATTGATTTTAAGCCTCCTGTATCTTTTAAAACAAAGAATAGTAGTAATTTTCCATTTATTAAAGTTACCTTGCGATACCAAACGAAATATTTTCCTCGGAGACCTGCTCAGTTTAATGAATGAAGATGGTAAGTACATACATATGTACATATACTTGAAGGCACATTGCCTGCACAGTGATAAAAAAGTACCCGGAAAATTGGAATAAAACGCAAAATTCATAATCTTTTTTAATTTTTCTTGAATCTCCTTCAAAATAGGCTCCCTTTGAAGCGATACACATAGTCAAACGCCTTTTTCAATCATATGTTAGATGCATGTTTATAGCCCCTTTTTGATACGGCTTTTAGCTCCTGCGAATTTTCTTTGATGGCATTAATGGAGTCAAAACGGGATCTCCGAAGTGGCAATTTGAGTTTGGGATACAAAAAATATCGCTCGAGGCTAAATCTGACGAATAAAGCGGCACGAAACAGCATGTCTACATCGATCAGTTGACGATATCGTTTTTGAAGGAAAAGCAGCTCTATCGGAACGAGCCTCAATTCGCAATTAGTTTGAACAAAATCAAACGAGCGGTTTAACGGGAGATGTTGAGGTCACGTGCTACATCTCAAATACTAGCATGATGAGTTTCGAACTCAATTAACTTCATTTTCCTGCCGTTATCATTGTTTGACGAGGTCGAAGACCGTCCCGAACAAGGCAAGTCTTTAGCGAATTACCGACTCTAAAAGTTTTGTAGGTACCATTCGTAAATATGGGTTATACAGAAGGTTATACTGTTATAAGCTTCTGTTCGATAAAACAGAGTCACCTCAGGCATTTGCATCATTTGAACCAAGAAATTCCGTTCAAAACTAATCAAAACCCAAAATATGAGACAGATTCATTGTCCGTTACTTTTGTCCATTGCAAAATTCGCAGAGCACTAATGACATGAACTGATTCAATCAGCTGCTACAACCAATCTGATTGAGAAATCTCTCTAATTTTTTGCATGCTAATTAAGAAAAGTGTTACCTTCATACAGAAACTGAAATAGGTAAAAATATTAAGTGCATATACTATTAATTTAAATCAGAATTTCCGGGTACGTCAGAATGTATATGAAAATTCCTACAGGATGATTTTTCAAATCATAACAGCAATCATAGGTCATCATTTCATTCAATTATAATAAAGTCATTTTATGGACACCTTGTATTGTATAATGCTTCAGTTTCTATAAGGTAATTCGTTATTTAATTGTAGCCATATTACAACGAATTTTCTGCGATGTTACGTGCGTACAAACGCAGTTGCACTTTTTATATATTTAATTATAAACATTATAGAAGCTTTCTACATTTAACATATCTTATTTTCTTTAGTAACCGTATTCAAGAAACTTAGAGAATGGAGCAGAACACTTGGCCCTGTTTACAATTTGTCGAGTACCATATTTTTTCCATCTCTTAACATATCGAGTCCTGAAGCTTTCGAGGTGAGTTAAAACAATAATTAATCTTTGAAATAATTAGGCACAGTTTAATTAAGCATATACATAAATATACTTCTTTAGGCAATTGCAGCAACAACAAAAAACATTGAAAAACATAAAGTGTATACATTTTTGAACTTATGGTTAGGTGAGGGTTTATTAACAAGTACAGGTAAGCAAAATAATTATTTTCATTTAATATTTTTTTGCTACAAAATAAAACTTGATTACTTTTATTTAAACAGTTCCTAGATAATATTTTTGATTTTTATGAATATTTTTAAGGTACAAAATGGCACACGAGAAGGAAGATTTTAACACCAGCCTTCCATTTCTCAATTCTGCAACAATTTATATCCATCTTTAATAGCGAGACGAAGAGACTGGTGGCTTCACTGAAAACTGAATGTGACCAATCATGGATAAATGTAGTACCACATATCTCACAATTTACCCTATACTCGATAGCAGGTACAATATTTAATACAAAAACTGAGTGCACAAAATTACGAGTACCTTAATTGCTGTATTTTTATTGTAATATTTACAAATTTCAGAAACCTCGATGGGTGCCGTTTTAAATTTAGAAAACGAGGAAGACAAAAAATACGTCTCGTCCATCTACAAAGTCGGCAAAATTTTGTACCATCGATTCATGAGGCCTTGGCTGTTTTTAAACTTCATTTTCTACTACTTAAGTCCGAGCGGTCGGTTATGCAAACGACTAGTAAACGTATTGCACAATTTTACTAATAACATCATCGAAGAAAGGAGTAATACTTTCGAAAAATTCGACGTACCTTCGGATGACCACAGCAATATGTATTCGAAAAGACGGAAATTGGTGCTTCTGGATCTGCTACTTAATGCAAAATTATCGTACGGGATAATTGACGATGAAGGTATTAAAGACGAAGTCAATACGTTTATGTTTGAGGTAAATAGTATATAATCTACCATTTGTATAAATACCATTTAAATTAAAAGTGTCTGTAATGAATCAGTCAGTTAATTTTAATTGCATTTGCTTCTTATTTAAGTTTGCCTAATAGAAGAATAATTAAATTTCTGTTAATTTATTTTTTTTATTATAGGGTCACGATACAACAGCTAAGTCCATCTGTTTCACATTGATGCTGCTGGCTAATCACAAAAACTATCAAGTAAGATTCGGTACATCCAAAAACTATTAGATAGAAGCTAAAAGTTATATTTTTTCAGAACGAAGTTTACCAGGAGATAATATCAGTTCTGGGCGACAAAAACGAGCCAGACATCAATGACTTAAGCGAATTGAAATTCATGGAAAGGGTTATCAAGGAAAGCTTGAGGCTTTATCCTAGCGTTCCGTTTATTGGTAGAACTGTAGAAGAAGATATGGTTGTCGAGGGTTATTTTATACCGCAAGATACAGCAGTCAATATTCACATATTTGATATACACAGAAACGAGAAACACTGGCCGGATCCCGAAAAATTCGATCCTGAGAGATTTTTGCCCGACAACTGCAATAATCGCCATCCGTTCGCTTTCGTTCCTTTCAGCGCAGGACCCAGGAATTGCATAGGTAACGAATATTTTACAACACTAACAAACTTGTGAATTTATTTTATTGTTCTTGTTTCAGGACAGAAATTTGCTTTACTGGAGTTGAAAGCCGTTCTGTGTGGAATTTTGAAAACTTTTATTTTAGAACCAGTGGATACACCGCAATCAATCAATTTGGTGCCTGATCTTACTATTCGCACCGCCGATAACTCGTTAAAAGTTAAATTCGTATTGAGATAATTTCAGAGAAAGTAAAAATGCAATTCTGAATTTCTTTTTACTTTAGCAATCTCTTTACAATTGTGAACGTTTAAACGTTCATTAAAAGTGAATAATAATTAATCTTTCATTGTCAATTTATTTTCAATGGTGAATCCAATCGTTTGGGCAGGATAATGTATAATGAATGGGTTAAAACTTTTAATGAGCGAACATTTGAACTATAAAAATGTTTTATAAGTTTATAAGTTTTATAAGTTTTATAAGTTTTATAAGTTTTATAAGTTTTATAAGTTTTATAAGTTTTATAAGAATATTTCTTATGAAGAAATGGTTCAACTTGTGAACCGTTCCTTATGTTTATGCAAATTTTATAACATTATAGTATGTTTCAAACCATTACAAACGTGTAGTACAAAAGGGAGTTGTATAATTAATTGGTCGAGACCATAGACCTATTAAGTTAATAGGTCTATGGTCGAGACCAAGATTAAAATTAAATTTAGTTCTAATCAAAAGTTGACCAATGAAATTGGTCCGTTCTTGGTATAAACTTGAACAAAACAACCTTAATTATTCCTAAATAGATTAACTGTCATGTTCCATTAAATTTGACAATCGAAACATATTGTAACTGTTCTTATAAATTTGAAGTAATAAACGGTACAAAAATGGTATTCAAGAATTTCGTTACACTTTTCCAGAAAATCGAAAACAACCGGGCGTTTTCGATGGCCGGTTTCCCTTCTTTCCACCACATTCCCATCGTCGTGGAGCAATCCGGGCGCGGGGAAAGAGCGTTCGATATCTATTCCCGATTGCTAAAAGAGAGAATTATATGTCTCATGGGACCGGTAAATGACATTTCTAGTTCCCTTACAATCGCTCAACTATTGTTTTTGCAATCAGAATCGTCCACGAAACCCATTCATATGTACATTAATTCTCCAGGAGGGGTCATAACATCTGGTCTGGGCATTTACGATACTATGCAGTACATTTTACCGCCAGTTGCAACTTGGTGCGTTGGACAAGCTTGCAGCATGGCTTCTTTACTTTTAGCTGCCGGTAAGTACCGTGTAAAACTTTCTCTTCGAACTTCGCAGACTTCCTTTTAATAAATAATTATTGCAGATTGCTCTCTATTAAATGTGATAATGCAATGTATTCGTAATTTGTAGGAACGAAGGGAATGAGAAACTCTCTTCCCAATGCAAGGATTATGATCCACCAGCCGTCGGGCGGAGTGGTGGGCCAAGCAACCGATATCAAAATACAAGCTGAAGAAATCTTAAAGTTAAAGAAGCAGATAAACTCTCTGTATCAAAAGCATACCGGTATGCCGCTGGAGCTGGTCGAAACCAGTTTGGAAAGGGACCATTTCATGACGCCCAACGAAGCGCTGGCGTTCGGATTGATCGATAATGTTCTGACGAGCAAACCGGATGTCGCCAATAAGAAAAGCGAGGAAGCCAAAGCGTTGATGGACGATTTGATTAAGTTGCCGAAGACGCAAAACGACAAGGAAGAAGAGAAAATTTTGCGCAAAAATGTCGGGCCGAACTTCATCGATTTGAAGTACAAGGATGGCGAACGTACTACCAAATAATTTTAAGAAATCCACACAAATTGTTATTGCTGAAATATAATTAAACTGGTTGGTACCTAATGGTAAATTAATTGGGTGAGGGGCAACATTGGAAAAGTGCATGGTTTTCTTAGATAAAATCTCACGACAGTTTCAAAAAATGTGCTGCATTGGAGATAAGGGTACATAGGAAGTGAGATATAAATTTAATCACATATCGCATTTCAATGAATAACAATATCTTGTAATAATACAGGAAGCAGTTATCATTTAGTATACATATATAAAACTACAAATTTCGAAATAAATGAAAAAGTGGAATGTTTCTATTAAATCATTCCTTCAAATTATATTGGCCTGTAGTAACATTATAAAATCAATAAAATTATTACAATTTATTAGATATAACTATTTACATTAGATAAAATAACAAATAACAATGAACTTTATGTTTAAATCATAACATAGATAGGTACTTTAATTCGTAAGTAACAAATTATAAATTTACAAAAATTATAAATTAGACGTTTGCATACGACGGTTTACTTACGAAATCTCATTTAAATCGGTTATTTTGGAATCAAATAATTCGATTCTCTCCTTATTTTCTTTGCGTTTTTTTACAATTGATTTGTACATATAAATGCTAAACATGCAACAATTCAAAATAACAGAAACTATGAGTATAATATTGTTAGATGAGAAGGCCGTTAACATTCGATTTTCGAAATCGTCGGAATATTTTAATTTTTGTGACTTAACATTGTGCATAAATTCAGATGTTGTAGGAGTTCCAAAATTTTCAGTATGCCCAAGAATATTAATTTGTCGAACAACCGTTTTGTTTGTTGAATTTTCGGTCATGGAACTCGCCGATTTTCTTAGATCTTCCAATAATCTTATGATTTCGTTGTTGTTTTGATATTTTAGGTTTTCTAAATATTTGTAAAATTTACTATTTTCAAAATCGCCATTGAAATATTTGTACAATTGTGAATTTTGGAATTGCCTGTTACCAGAATCTTGAAGGTGTTCCAAAAACGCTTCAGTTAAATTTTTTATTTCCACCAAATATTGATTGATATCATTTTTATTTGAGCTTAAGTCTCTAGATTTAAAATCTTTGAGGCTCTCCAGGTATTTGAAAAAATTGGATTTCCTGAAATCTTCGTTAAAATACTTAAAAAAACCTGTATCGTTGAATTTTATATTTAGGTCTTGAAAGTTTTTCCAAAATTTATAAAAATTGTCATAGTAACGCTCGTCATGATCAACTTTCTTGTTTTGTCCTCCGATATTTGATTCTTTTAAAATCGAGGTTAAAAATTTTTCGAAATTTTCTTTTGCCCCTTCGAAAGTTTCGTGTTTATCATTGGCTGAACTATTATTTCCAGAACAACTGATTCCAATTATGTTGGATGTAGTAGCAGTTTTACCTCTATAGGATAATACTTTTTTATAAAGTTCCGAAACAAGTTTGTGTAAATTGTCACAAGTAAATTTGTTATCATAAAAAGAAATAGTGAATAAGTCAGGAAAGTCCTTAATAATTTGCTTTCCGTCCAAATTAGTTATTTGATTATGTTGAAGGTACAGATTATGTAAAGATTTTAAATTGTGCAACCTGTTTTTAATATCTGCAATGTTATTAGAGGACAAATCTAAAATATTTAATTCCTCTAAGGAATCAAATGTTCCATGATCAAATTCTTGCAAATAGTTATGGGATAAATTTAATACTTTTAAATGAAATAAATTGAAAAAAAACCCATTTGGAATCGTCTTAAGGCTATTATTATTTAAATATAAATCCGTTAAATTTGATTTATCGCTATTATTGAAGTATAAAGTATCTAGTTTGGATATTCTATTAAAACTAACATCGAAATATGTCAATTCATTTTCTTTACTATTTTTATTGTTACACATTGTCCTGGGGAGTGATTTTAACAAATTATTGTTTATTTCCAATTTCCTAATAATAAAGGGACAAATGTCAATCGATATAAGAAAATTATGATTCAAGTAAAGGTCAGTTAAGCGGTATTTGTCACTAATCTTAATATAAGTTAAATTGTTAAAACTTAAGTCTACATAGTTAAATTCTGTATTACTTGGATCAAAAACGTCCCACGAAAAATGAGTTAAAGAATTTTTCGAAAAATTCAACGATTTCAGTTTTAAACAACCGAGAAAAGTATGAGACGATATTTTATATATGTTATTATTAGAAAGATCTAAAGTTGTTAGTTTGTTTAGAGAACTAAAAACACCCACATCGATTTCAGTTAATTTATTAAAAGATAAATTTATTTCTGTCAAGAATTCGGGCGCAAACGCTCCCGGAGAAACGGCAGAAATTCCGGTTTTGTTTAAATTTAATATATTAAACCGATAATCTGCAAACGCTCCCTTTGGTAATACAGGTGGATTAGTAACTATTGATTCTAATGTTAATGCAGATGAACAATTATTCTCACATGATTCCAGTTTCGTCTTAATTTGTAGCGGAAAAGTAACGTGTTTGCAATTAATCCTTAATTTATTAGTAACCTCTTTTTCAGTGTTAATTATTTGCCTTCTTCCATAATGATCAAATGCCCAATTACTCCTAACCGAAACTGTAATATTCTGTTTTTCGGACTTATCGCTACATTCAGTTTGGCACAAACTCAACAAAATTGAATTCTCCATAACTAAATAAAGGAAAGCGATTCGACTGAAAACCCTGAAATATAACTTTTGTTAAATTTTTTTGTCACACATTTTTTGGTTTAATTAAATAATAACTAAACGAAATTAATTAAGACAAGAAATATTTGGCCTACCTTTTTGCCATTTTTTACAGGCAAGATGATACGTTACGTAGAGCTTCACAAATTACAATTAAATGTGCTAATTCGAAAAATTTCATTCCTGATGAGTATCGTTTATCACAATATAGTGCTACTCCAGGGTCGGATCCTGTATTTGACTAGATATAAAAATTTACAATAAAAAAATTAATAATCAATTGGCAGTAGAACAAGGCATATTACATTGAATCAAATAATCTTGGTTATAAAATTTTATTGTACAAATTAAATTTAAAAATATAGATATTTACATTAAAGGAAATAAAATAGGTTTTCAATTTTACAAATTTGCAAATGATTAAATAACAATAAACTTAGCTTAAAGCATAGAGTAGTTACTTCATTTCATAAATAATAAAGTAATATATTTACAAAAATTGTAAATTAGACGTACTTTCAGTTAGGAAATCTCATTTAAATCGGTTAATTTGGAATCGAATAATTCGATTCCCTCGTTATTTTCTTTCTGTTTTTTTACATTTGATTTATACATGTAAATGCTAATGATACCAAAAATTAAAATCAATAAAAATATGAGTATAATATTGTTAGTTAATAATGCCGTTAATATTCTATTTTCGAAGTCGTCTGAATATTGCAATTTTTGTGAATTGACATTTTGCACAAATTCAGAAGTTGCAGGAGTTCCAAAATTTTCAGTACGCCCAAGAATATTGATTTGTTGAATATTTTCGTTTATGGAAATCGCCGATTTTCTTAGGTCTTGCAATAATTGTACGATTTCGTTGTTGTTTTGATATTTGAGGTTTTCTAAATAATTGTAAAATTTACTATTTTCAAAATTGGCATTGAAATATTTGTACAATTGTGAATTTTGGAATTTACCAGAATCTCGAATGTGTTCCAAAAACGCTTCAGTTATATTTTTTATTTCCACCAAATATTGATTGATATCATTTTTATTTGAGCTTAAGTCTCTAGATTTAAAATCTTTGAGGCTCTCCAGGTATTTGAAAAAATTGGATTTCCTGAAATCTTCGTTAAAATACTTAAAAAAACCTGTATCGTTGAATTTTATATTTAGGTCTTGAAAGTTTTTCAAAAATTTATAAAAATTGTCATAGTAACGCTCGTCATGATCAACTTTCTTGTTTTGTCCTCCGATATTTGATTCTTTTAAAATCGAGGTTAAAAATTTTTCGAAATTTTCTTTTGCCCCTTCGAAAGTTTCGTGTTTATCATTGGCTGAATTATTATTTCCAGAACAACTGATTCCAATTATGTTGGATGTAGTTGCAGTTTTACCTCTATAGAATAATACATTTTTAAGTTCCGAAACAAGTTTGTGTAAATTGTCACAAGTAAATTTGTTATCATAAAAAGAAATAGTGAATAAGTGAGGAAAGTCGTTAATAATTTGCTTTCCGTCCAAATTAGTTATTTGATTATGTTGAAGGTACAGATTATGTAATGATTTTAAATTGTGCAACCTGTTTTTAATATCTGCAATGTTATTAGAGGACAAATCTAAAATATTTAATTCCTCTAAGGAATCAAATGTTCCATGATCAAATTCTTGCAAATAGTTATGGGATAAATTTAATACTTTTAAATGAAATAAATTGAAAAAAAACCCATTTGGAATCGTCTTAAGGCTATTATTATTTAAATATAAATCCGTTAAGTTTGATTGATCGCTATTATTGAAGTATAAAGTATCTAGTTTGGATATTCTATTAAAACTAACATCGAAATATGTCAATTTATTTTCTTTACTATTTTTATTGTTACACATTGTCCTGGGGAGTGATTTTAACAAATTATTGTTTATTTCCAATTTCCTAATAATAAACGGACAAATGTCAATCGATATAAGAAAATTATGATTCAAGTAAAGGTCAGTTAAGCGGTATTTGTCACTAATCTTAATATAAGTTAAATTGTTAAAACTTAAGTCTACATAGTTAAATTCTGTATTACTTGGATCAAAAACGTCCCACGAAAAATTAGTTAAAGAATTTTTCGAAAAATTCAACGATTTCAGTTTTAAACAACCGAGAAAAGTATGAGACGATATTTTATATATGTTATTATTAGAAAGATCTAAAGTTGTTAGTTTGTTTAGAGAACTAAAAACACCCACATCGATTTCAGTTAATTTATTAAAAGATAAATTTATTTCTGTCAAGAATTCGGGCGCGAATGCTCCCGGAGAAACAGCAGAAATTCCGGTTTTGTTTAAATTTAATATGTTAAATTGATAATCTGCAAACGCTCCAACCGGTAATATAGGTGGGCGTGTTACCATTGATTCCACTGTTAAAGTACAATTATTCTTACATTGTTCCACGGGCATCATAATTACCAGCGGAAAAGTAACGTGTTTGCAATTAATTCTTAATGTAGAGACAACTTCAATGTCAGTATTAATAAATTTCTGTCCATAATCATCTACCGATACATAATGCCCCGGAACTTGAATTGTAATATTTTGTTTTTCAGAGTTATGATCACTACATTCAGTTTGGCACAAACCCAACAAAATTGAATTTTCCAAAATTAAATACAGAAAACAGATTTGACTGAAAATCCTGAAAAAAAGAATCTCTTAAGAATATACATAAAGTAAATAGTTGAAATGAATCTAAAGCTAGGATTTCAGATATTTATCTTATTTTTTTTGGACGAAATTATAACCAACGAACGACAACTAAACTTATGTTACAGTAATGTTAACCACAATGAATGTTTATCCTACCTTCTTGCCATTTTTTATAGGAGAAGACGAAACGTAACGTAGAGCTTCACAAATAACATTTAAATGTGATAAATTCGGAAAATTCGGATTTCGATCTTGTTGAGTTTCGTTTATCACAATAAATACATTGTGGTACTCCAGGGTCGGTACGAACCACATTTGACTAAAAATTGCAATAAAAAATTATTATATTCAATTAGCAATTTAACATAAGAAAAGTATGAAATTAAATCAAATCATTTTTGTTATAAAATTTTATTAACTATACATACATATAAATGATTAATATATTAATTTTAAAAATATAGACATTTACAATAAAGAAAATATGGATTTGAAACTACATTAGCTCAATAATGTACTTATGTACTAGTAAAAATTGTAAAATGTATGGACCTATAATACTATGAACCTATAGTACTAAAAATATGTATATTCAGCCCTACATGTCATTCATTACTTCCCAGTTTACAATAATTCAAGTTGTTCTTGTTTATGAATACAATTTTTTTGAATGGACTTAAATACAAAATAGAACATAAATAAACAATTTAGAAACATTAAGATAATTAATACGATACCTAGTATAATTACAATTTTATCCGAAGATGGGTCTTCTAGATTTGTAAGTTGTTCAAACTTTGCTTCAGATTCGAGTGTATTAGATCCTTTAATTTCGGAAAATAACTCGTGAATTTCACTTGTTATGTTGCTTAAATTTAATTGATAAATTTCGAAAGTTTTAAGGGTTAGATCGGTATTATTTATATATTTTTGAACTATATTTGCAGATGAATTTTGTTCGATTTCAGTGAATTGTTCAAAATAATTTGTAATGTTACTTAAACTATTTTTAAATAATTCGAATTTTAGAGCAGTACTGTGATCCTTAACCTCACTAGAATTTTGAAAATCTTTAAAAATATTTAAAAATTCAGTAAAATTATTTTCAAACTTCATGCCGTTATTCAACAACTTGTTGATTTCATTTTTAAAATGCCCTAAGATCTCTCTCAAAGAGTTTTCTATCAATATTTGGTTCTCATTGTTAGTATTGTTTAAAACTGACCCGATATTCTGAAGCCCCGCTTTTATTGTATTAATTTCCTCGCTTGTGGACTTGTTATATTTCTCCACAAACACATCAAAAAGTTTCCTGAGATTCACCTGACTTTGATCTGCATATTGCGCATTATTGTTAATTAGCCGATCTAATAACTCAGTAAGATTTTGAAGTCCCATTTGGGTTTTGTTACCGTCATTATTTTTAGTGGCGTAAGATTTCACGAATAAATCGAAATCGTCACTAAACTTCTTTTCGTTCTTTTCGTTTTTAACAAGTGCATCTCTGAGACCGCTCGTGAGTTGCGTGTTGTGATTGATTAGTCGATTCAGTAGCGCAGAAATGTTATTTAGATTGTTATTTAATTGTAGAAAGTGTTCTTCTTCAGGACTTTCAGTTACCACTTCTTTTTTGCAGGCAATGCCGTGTACGTTTGTGATGTTTCGTTTATTATCGTACACAATTGATACGTTTTTCTGTTTAAAAAATGCATTAATAAAGATTATGTTCTCGCAGGTGAAGTTGTTGTTGAAGAAACTAATTTGTTGTAATTTAGGAGAATACGTTAACATTTTCGTAGGGTTTAATAAAGAAATATTGTTGTTTTCAATCGAAAGCGTTTCTAGTGATTTTAAAGGGTGCAAAGTATCATCAATATTCTCAATTTTGTTATAAGACAGATTCAAATTTACTAAATTTTCTAGGTGATCGAATGTTCCGTACTCGAAGTTACTTAGTTTATTTTGAGATAAATCCAAATATTTCAGATCGTTCAAATGATTCAACGAACTGGTCGAAATATACGCAATAGCATTGCTGTTTAATGATAATTTATGCAAGTATGGAGCTTTTTCGAATATAACTCCGTCTAGATTAGTAAATCTATTGGAGTTCAGATCTATCGTAGAAATTGCATATGATTTTTTGGTACATTTAGTAGTATTAATGTTTTTTAAAAGATTGTTGCTCGAGTAGAGTTGATTAAAATCGAAAGGACAAAATTGCATATTCGACAGGCGGTTATTATCGATTCGAATTACTTTAATTATTACATTATAACCCAGTGAAATATTTTCCAAGCGATTTTGACCCAAATCAAGAGAGTCAATATGCATATAACTCATATAACGATCAAATATGGAATTATCAAAATTCCTCAATTTATTGTTGCGCAAATTAAGCACTTTCAAATTTAAAGCTCCGGAAAACGCAAGGCCCTTCAATATTTCTATATTGTTTGACGATAAATCTAAAATTTTTAGTTCTTTCATAGAACTGAAAACTCCTTCAGTTATTTCTCTTATCTTATTAAACGACAAGTATATTTGTTCAAACGGGAGTCCGCCGAAAGCGCCCGGGCTCAATACCCGTATACCTAGATTTTTCAACACCAATATCGTGCTAGTAGAAATCCCATTGAAAGCCAGCGATGGAATTGTATCTAAATTCGAAAGACGCAGCTCCAGTTTTCTCGGACAATTGCAGGACCATTTTGAATTAAAACTCAAAGGGAATGTAACAGAACTGCACGTTATTGTTATGTTGTGGACTGTTTCTCCTATTACTCTGGGTGGAATCCATTTGTCACCAAAAAAATGGCGCTCGTAGTAACCGCTAGAGTACAGATGCGTCGTGCTAGCATTATCTACGCAACTAGATTGGACCTGCGTTACTAAGTTGCATAAATTTACCGATAATATTACCATTAGATACATGGTAGCCCTGAAAATTAGCATCTTCTGTAACATCTATTGTGTTGTTAGTTCTTAGCTAATACTACATGTGTAAATTGTGTTGCATGGGCTTTAAGGTTATTGTAGGTAGCTTATCAAAAAAATACGTAAATTGGAAGGAGTTTTAAATTAAAATTTAAAAATTAAGGATAGTAGGATCAAGTGTTCTGTATTGTTAGGTGATATTATTTAGTCTGTTAATTATTAAACTGAAAACTAGTCTGTTGTATCAATATAATAATCAAAATTTTCAAACTTTCTAGCCCTTTTTAAATATGTAAATAGATTATTATTTTTAAGACATGCTAGATGATTCATAAATCTACATTTTTAAATTATGCTGCAAAGCTGTTGTAAAAGCAAATTCCCTTCAGTATAATCTTATACTCACATAGACACAATTAATTAACAAACCGATTCATAAAATAAACAGTCTACGCACTACTTTATAAAATTTATAATTTGACAATATTCAGGATGTTTCAAATCGTTCCGATTAGTTTTATCTCTTATATGGAGAACACAGAATACTCGTTCCCAAAAGAATTCTCGAAAACTATAATATAAAATCCATCTAAAAAATTAAAAGAAAGTGTACAATATTTACGGTAACAGCATTTTTTATTACAGTATTACAATAATACAATAATTTTTCTTGCAATGTACAACATATATGTATGTAGGTATTTCGACTAAAACTTTACAAAAACTTTCTAATATAATATACACTTCATCGGTTTGTAATTTTCTTCAACGAAAACTTACTTGTAGAGCAATGAATAAAATAAATAAAGCAGGTGACGAACAACTAATTAACCCGTATTTACTGTGAGTACGACTACTGCAGTGCACTATGATTGATATTGACTGTAAATTAGACTGAAAAATCGATTTATTGGAGAGTCGACAACGTATTGTGCACCACTTCAATAAATAATTTTCTCCGAACATGTTTCGATTGTTGAAACTTAACTACACCATTAACAATGTGAACTGGAAGTTCCTATTTCGAATCAAAAAATTTAACAAACATTTACTTTATACCTAATTACAGAAATCACTTTTCCGATGCATCTATAGGGCGTTTCATCGCTATTTATACAAACTTCGCTAAGTATGTCCTGAATAACCCAAATCTATTAGTTATGTAGCTCTTTCATGACCTCTACCTATACAGTTTTATAACATGTAAATATATCTTACTTGGTCGTCAATCCGAGCTCAAACGAATTACAACAATAAATTTTTGTAGCAATAAAACGCCCTGTGTGAGTACATCATTTCAATACGCAAACGGAAAATCCGAATTTTATTTCGAATACATGGACAAAATCATTTCAATTTGACTAGACAACGGAAATGGCGACTTTGTGGCCGTTGTGCAGGGCCGGCTGCAGCCTGATCGTGTGCCGCAGCGACGTGGCCGAGGTGGACCTCCTGGAGGAATTGGTCATGGTGGTGGTGACGGTGCCCGTGGTGGTGGAAATATCGTGGCCCAAGCAGGACGTCGCCGGCATGCACATAGACAGGCAATTCGATAACCAAGTGAACGGAGGAATGTGTCTACACGGATCGAAGTTTAAATGTTTTAGTATTTTGCTGCATCTATAGAGAAAAAGTTAGTAGCTTTTAAAGGTTATAGAAGGAACACTTTACGTCAATAGGTAATACAACGATCAATCATTACTAATATAAGTGCTAATATTAATTAGTTAACTAAGTGATAGGAGTGATTAGCTACTTGCTACAAATACAGGTGTTCGAATGGAATGTAGAAAATGAAAATTACTCGCATAGTCTATTACCTATTCAAAGAGTTTTTCTCTACCTATACGTGCTACAAAACGTAAACATCCACATAAAAAGTCCAACATTACAATAGCAAATATACATTCTGTAGTATTTTTTTTTCGATTCGACCCATCATCTACTCGAAAATCTCTCTTCCATTGCTTACCTCAAATTGCCGCATACGTGCGTCGAAAAGAGACAATAGATGACTGGATTGGCGGCCGAATTCAAGGGTGCTAAACTCTGAATGAGTGTCGCTATAGCAATATTCGTCTGGGTTTTGGGAATGTGTCCGTATACTTGAAGCAAATCGAATATTATGTAGGGGCTCCAACAAACAACAAATACTGCAAAAAATATTAATTAGATCGATGCCGTTTCGACTTGGTACTTGTGGAAATTCAGAATATTTTTGATAAATTTACAACGTGTTGGCGTAAATAATCACGATCGATAAGTTTGATTATTAATAAGGTTCTTAAATAATCTTAATAATTTAGTTTAATTGTTTAGAAGCAAGTTAAAAGTAAAAATTAACAATTACAAATATTCATTAGTTTCGCTCCAAAATATTTGAAAGTAAAGTCGCGTACATTTTTTATTACTCCAATCAATGTAATTTCACCCTTCGCGATGCGTCCGACCCAATTACTGATTGTTTTGTTTTATAGCTGGCCCCGCCAAATTCAATTTGTCGCATTTTATTATTGATTGCCGCCTGTCCGAAACGGCCCGACTTGAATTAAAATGTACGAAATGTAGTTTTCAGACACTTAATAGAATTTGTGCGAAAGTTCGAGCGCTTCCTTACCGAATACGATGACGAACGTCATTTTGACAGTCTTTATTTTGGCACGTGGAATTATACCTCTGGAACTTGCCCGGCGGCAATCGTGGTCGTCGTGGAATATTCGCGGAGGAATGTCCCTGTGGTCTTCACCTAAAACAATTAATATTAACAATGTATTATTTATTACAAATCTAAAACGCCACTAATTGACTAAACGAAGAAGACATAATCGAGCGAGCTCAACTATTCGGAAGGAAACTCGCTACTCCTTTACCAAAAACTCCAAATAATAATTGATATTCTCGCAACGCCTGCGTTTCGTAAATACACACTTCAAAGGTGTTAAAAGTTTTCGTTTTGTCTACGCCGATAACTCCGAAATCGATTAGTAACCAGACTCTAGATTTCTGTGATCGTAATTAAATTCTTGAGAGGCCTCCGACGGATTCTCGAATGTACAACTAAAATCTATACATTTCGCAATCGTTTCATTCAATGCGGAGCAGATATTGCCCAAACTTCTTTAACGCGAACGAATTAGTTGAAGTTGTCTTTCGCGAATGTCGAGTGTTTTATTTCATGTAGATGGGCTTAATTGGCGAATCGTGGAATACAAATTTGCCGTTTTTTGACGGGAAAAATGTATTTATAGAACTCGAATAATGAAACCGTTTGGATCGGGCTAGGTAGAAAAAACAAAAAGGGCTGAAGTAAATGATCGATTGTAGGTACTTTGGAAACAAATAATATATTACAAATATTTTATTCGAATTCGTTTTGTGGAATATTTCTTGCGACGTTAGACGCGACGCAGATGCGACGTTTTTATCTGTACTAGATAAATGAGAGTTAATGTATAGTTGCCTAAATTCAAGAATGCATTATTTTTTAATTTATTTAAACAAATAAAGGGTAAACTGATTAACGTTTTATAGAATCACTTTTGATCCTATTTTTATTGTTATTCCTATATTCGTCACAAAATTCAATGTACCTACCTACTATTTTTGATGTAAACAGATAATGAAATTTCTTGGCTCTTTTAGGATACAGGGCGAGTTTTTCTCGATGTTTAGTACACGGATCTCGAAATTGTAGGAGATAGAAAAAAGTTAAATTGGGCAAACATTTGCAGTTTTGAAATACATGTTCACAACCAGTTTCAGTTTTGTAAAATATGAGACCTGTCAGGACATACTATAGTGTTTAGAAAAAAAAATGGAATCCAGAAAAGACTTGGTTCTCAAAAATTTGTTGAGTTTATTAACTACAAGACCTTCTTTGAATTATGATTATGGATAAACTTTGAGTAAACAATTCTCTTAAATAGATAATTATCCTTTTACAAATATTACAGTCAATAACACCTATATTTCCAAAATAGCCCAACTAAATTTTAATATCGTCCTTTAATTAATCAAAATCAAACTCAATAACAACGTAAACTCCACGAAATTAAATCTTCCAGGGACGATTCTACTAATGAGCTTTAGCTGGCCAAAAAAAAGGGCCCGATGATATTGACATATCGTCTAAGTCACTTAAAAGGAGTCCTCCTTACTAACCCCTTTGCCTGAAATTTTTAGCGACGACTCGTTTACATCAGTTTAAGCAATTAAAGGGCGAAGGAGATGCTGTCCTAGGCCAACATGAAAGGAATCTGTATTTGATGTCGGCACACAAATTCCTGCCGTTTTACGGGCACGCACAATACAGTCTGGATATACGTCGGCAGGATCGGCGGTCGCGTTTACTACAAACTCAAGAATGTCTGCAGCGGTCGTATAAATCGAATAAAAGGATTAATCCGTTGCTCTGAATTAGATCTTGTTCCTCTTATTACGCACCAATCGGATGTGTCGGGTTTGTCTCAATAATTAGTGCAAAACCTGATTAGGTATATTAGGTATTAATGCTTCGTGTTCGAATTATTTTGTTGGAGCTTGAGCATTCAAATTTGTATAATAACAAAGTAATTAATCCATCGAATTTTCTATTCATTTTGTCTATTCATGTTTATATCACATTTCCAATTTATTTGGAACTTTATAAGCTTAGTTATTTTTTTCCTGCAGAATGTCCATTATTTATTTACATGAATTCCTGCAACATTTGGTTTTACACTCGAGCTATTTTTGGATGTTGTAATACCCGCCTACGCAGATTTACATAAATACCACCTGTACGAATAATCACTATTTAATTAATCAAAAGTTTCGTCAATACTCACTTTGTCGAATCGGTATGTGGCCCATGGGAATGAGCAATTTGCTCTTCGTCCATATAGTCCAAACTATAACGGCATAACAGGCGCTAATAATCAAAGCGGGAATCACAAACAGTGCTAAAGCCACCAGCGTCATGTAAACTTTCCATTGCCATTGCAGCAGGTCTATCCAACATTGCGGGATATCTAAAACAAATTTTTCGTTATTACAATGCTATCTATAGGGATTGTTCTAATTTCTGAGTTCAAAGCGGAAACTTTTCCACAGTGGTTGATTGAATTTTAAAATAAGTTAAAAGTGGTTAAATGGGTTTGGGTTAACTGTATAAGAGTATTTTATCTATTCATTTATGCTTTTAAAAACTATTTTGTTTACTGCTGAGTTTGCGGCAATAATTTCAACCAACAGAAGTTAAATGCGCTTCTTTAATGCAGCAGTAAAGAAGAATCGTATGTGGTAGAATACACAATTATTATTAGACTAAAATGGAGTTGAAGCGGCGCTCTTATTTTACGAGTATTTGATCAGATGTTTACTTGCAACTCCCGCTAATAAAATTATTTGAGTAGCGTTTGCTTCCCGAATATCCTCATCTCAGTTTTATGCTTTAATATTCTTAGCTTTTTTGGACAGTTTTTTATTCCTATGTCCTATCGAATAGAGCACTAAATCCTGTAAAGGGGTCCCTCTTTTATTTCTATTTTTATGCGATTAGACATAGACATTTGAAGTTGGTGAACTAGTTTCTGGAATTGCACTTTACGAAAATATATAATCTCCGAAATGTTCGGCTCATGGAAAGTTATGCTGGAAAATTGAATTATGGATAAGGGCGTGTTCACCCCTTTGTTCCAGATTTTATACAAATTTTTCGTATGTCAAATATGTCAGGATATGTCATAGAAAAATTCGGTCGGAAGAATTTTTTTCTTTATTATTTCCAAGTTTCATAAAGTATAAAACAGTAAAAGGTTTGTGTCATATTGCACTAAAATTTACTAGTATGTGACAAACTCCGCGCAAGGAAGGGTTTTTCTTCGGATTGCGACGCGAGTTGCAATTTAATATCATTCCTGTTGATTTAATGTCGACATAAATATTGATATTTTGCAAAGTCAGAAAACGCTTTTCCTCATCCCTGACCAAACCGGAAGATGTGGGTAACCGGGAAATTGTCCCTAATCGAATCCTTATGTGAAAAATATCTTATATTTCTGACGTTCAAATCCTTTACTGTCTGTTGTAATTTTATATAAGAATCTGGGAAACTGTACGTTAAATTCTAATCGTCCAGTCCGTGACACAAATTTTTCTTCATGTAGCGAAAAGCGGAAAAGTACGGAGTCTTATTCCATAAATAAAATTAATTATATATTTGCAATTTATATATTTTAGACTTTTTTGGGTATAATTAAGTCCACATAGTGCTTTCAACGGATAAAAAAAGGGATTAGTGTATGAATAATACAAGCTTTCTCAGTGCAAAATAGTGCAGTTTTACCGGTAGATTTTTATACAGGGTGTTTCATAAGGAAAGGTCAATATTTTTTTATAGGTTAGGACCTCCAAATATTCACATTTTATTATAATATAAATAACTCCCAGTCAAATGTTTTATAGACTACTAAGATACAGGGTGTTGAAGTTTATTTTTTGTTTTTTTGCAACAATTTCTTTACCTATTGTTTAAGAAAAGTTTCTTTTTTAATCCTGGCCTTTTTTTATTTTTTTTCAAGTCTTTACGATAGGTACTTGGAGATCCTAAATCTATGAAATAAATATTGACCATTCCCTATGAAACACACTGTATAATTTTAAGGGATAAAGAGATTAGTGGATTAACAATTTTACGTGAAAATGGGGTTAGTGAAAATCGGCTGTTCTCTCCATCTCGCTGAGTTTTCTTTCAGTTTTTAATGGGAACAATGGTGCTCGGACAGATGAAAGGATGAAGCTCCGAAAAACTCTAACTTCTTAGTAATAATTTTAATTAAAGGGTGTTTAGAGATTAAAAAACCATTTAAATAACCTCTAATTACAAGTTTTTCGTGAAGTTCGTGAAATTTTAATGAACCGGCTCCAAATAACCAACAGATGAAGGGACTGTCGCCTTTTGTTATCTGCACATAGACTGTTTTATTCATTTTGCGTGGTTTCAAAAACCAATTAGATACGTTGTCATACGTTACCTTCGATGGGTTTTTCTTCGAACAGAAAAATCGTTGGTAGTGAAAACAATATGCTAACCATCCACGCCAATATCACCAACAGTCTGGCTCGTTTCCCTGGAATATAAAATCTGAATAACCAATCGCTCGGGACAATTGTTGCTAATTTTCATTAAAATTAGCATTATACTCGAGTAAAGCTGGTCGGGGAATACTCACAGCTACCGGAGAAGTTCATAGGGTGCGTGATAGCGTCGTATCTGTCAATGGATAATGCAACAAGTACGTAGGTAGATGAATAAGTTACTACCGCTTGCAGGAAGCGAATCAGTTTGCAAAGTACATTTCCAGCATGCCAAGCCACCGTTATCCTCCAAGCGATGTCCGTTGAAACGTTTATCAGGCCCACTGAAAGATCTGAAACATTATGCAAATATTAGTTCTGTAGTAGTTGCGGTAGGATTTATGCTCTTGATAAAGTTTCGCATTCGAGTGAACACCTACATTTCACTGTAAGCATAGGCATTTTAATACAAAGCCAGTTCACTAAATCTTGGGAATGGTTGTGAATATTTAAAAAATCGAAAGATCCTTTAGATATTAAATTTGGGTTATAAATGATACTTGTAGAGTGGGACACTATACAATATCACAAAAAATATGTGCATAATACAGATTTTAAAAAATAAATAGTTATATTAAGTCGAGCGAACTTAAAGCTTTTTTGGTTTGCCTAGCCCTAAAGTGATGCCGAATTCGCTATATACATGCATTCGGAATGGGAATGAAAAGTCTGTCAAAGAACGTAATATAGATTTTCGCAATTCGGTATAAAACAAAGAGTTAAGAAAATGGATTTTATTTCAGTCGAGGTGATTTCCGCGAAATTACGAACCATAAAAGCAATACAAGAAAGACGCATAAAGCAAATGAAATTTTCCGTAATAGGTACACAAAATCGAATTACGAGAAAGCCAAGTCGTAGAACCTTCGGCGATTCGAAAAATATGATAAAATCCAGTCGAGCGCTTTCCTAAACTACTTGTGACTGCGTAAAATATTATTTTTATTTTTGTGAAAGTACCTAAGAAACAAACAAGGAATAAATGCTTTTCAAATATTAATATGTTAGACACTCGTATTACATTTTCATAGCAAAGTTTCGAACGTATATTACGCGCATGTACATACACAAATATTATAGTAATTGGGATTATTTGCAAACTTGAGAAGAATTTAATGGCTCTTTCAATCGAACTGTAAAGTCGAATGGAGATCTGAACTCATTCAAGAGACGGAAATGCGAAGTTCATTATTTTTAAGGGGACATTTATTGCTTTATATACGAAAGAGTGCCGCTTTTGTTTGAATCAAACATGATATATGAACGTTTCCGATAAAATGAAAGATTTGCGAAGGGGAGGTAATGTTTTGTACTCCTTTGGGAGATAACTCTAATGATGAAATAAGTACCAATAAATTGAACTATAGATACACTAAGTTTAAGTAAAATAAGCGAAGAGAATTTTTAGTAATTTATGAAAAACCCATTATTTCATTAAACGTAACCCCGTTCATAAAATATGACAAGGAATCATTCTCTAAAGTCATCATTTAAGTGACACCCTGTTTATAGTAGTGGTGCGTTAATTTTGTTGGCCAGTGTAAAATTGGCGACTAATTTCTAAAATTAAATTAATATGTTAAATGTAAAGTAATCAAAAAAAGATCCTCCTAATGGCAAATAATGAAGATATAAAAAAATTACGCGAATTTGCATCGTAATATATCTTAAAACCTCCCAGGCAGTGTAATTATAAACTTCCATAAAATATTTAATAACAATAAAAAAAAAGTCCCATAAGATAGGGAAAACGAGCAGCGGGCTTTCCGAAGATTTACGAAGTTTAATATCAATTAAAAACGGCGGATAACTGAAAATGTTTTAATAAAAGCTACAATTTTTTTCTCTATTTATTGCGTACAATAACTTTTCGACGAATAATTGCGATTCGTTATTGAGCGGCAGACGAAAAGGACCCGTGGATAAAAGCCCTGAAAAAAGCCCAAGCACCGCAATTATTAACTTTCTTAACGGAGAAAAGTAATTTTATGTAGACGTTGTGAGTTGGCTCAGTCAAATTAAAATACTCGTTCCTAATAGAAATTAGTGCAATTTCCTTCGACGGGCGCGTATTAAATCACTTTTTATTATCACTTTCATTATCCGAATAGAAGTCCGCCGTACAATTTGTAGAACTAATTCAACTTCCACCGATTGGTAAATTTGTTCAATTATATTTATTGACACTTGCAATTTGTTATGTGCTGTGAAATTTAGAGAAGTCACTAAAGCAGATGAATGCTGGGAAACGCCAAAACCCAACTTGTTAAGCTTCAACATACAAAATTTTTACAATGGTATATAAAGTACCGATAGTAATGTTGTGACTTAATGTTGACGAATACCTTGCTATTTAATATAAATGGCTTCGTTTTAGAGTTTAGTCGAGCGCTTTTAACTCATAAACTGTTACCAATTCGCGTTCCTAATAAGTATTCATGCACATTATTAAATTACGCAGTTAAAAGCTCTTTATACCCAATACTTCTATTCAGAGCATGCTCCTGAAACTGCACGGATAAACTTTCAGATATGAAAATGCAATTTCTGTTATTTACAAAAGTTAATATTTCTATTGTTTGCTGGAATATACATACTCGTATTGTATTAGTTGCTAACATGGAATGTTCAAAAACTGGAAGTATTTCTCTAAATTATGAAACTTGATGGATATTGTAGTATAATAACTATTCGGTACTTACCTGCTATAGCGAGTTGTTTGATGAAGAAATTCATGCGAGATTTTCGACTTTTGCTGACGAAAAGTGCGATTAGGACCGCAGAATTGCCCAGCACAATCATGGTGAAAAGTACCCAAAGCACCGTGAACTGCTCGGCCTGAATCAAAAGAAAATTATTATAGTCATTTTGATGAAATTTGGCACCCCTTGAATTTTGCTTTTAAGGCAAGGTTTCGAAATTATTATTCGCAAATAAAACACCATGTATGTACTAAACACCGTTTAAATTCTGTTTTAACCAACAGAACAAGTTTACTAGAATGCAATAGTACGTTGGGTCGAGCGCGGCCCAATCTCGCTACGGGATAGCCAATGCATAAATAAATAATCATCTATTTTTCGGGTTCCCTAAGTAATGGTAAACGATAGGCCCACGCACGAACGAGCGTCTGTTTCTAATTTGATTTTTGCTGGCGGAAAATTTACTTTGCCATCGGGAGGGCTCCGCATTGTTCGGCAAGTATTTTGATGTCGCATTTCGTATTCCCGTTCGCAGTAAATTCGACGCGAATGGCTGGAATCAAAACAGAGATCGAAGAATTTTGACGGCGAATTTTCCCTCGTTCGCAACTTACCTAATTGAAATACGTCGGTCTAATATCAATTTTCCGTTTTTTATGTTTATTAGCGAGCGGCAAAAAAGGGTTTTTACTAAGTCGGGGCCCGAGCAACTTAGAATGGTATTGCCTACGTTTGCTTGTTGAATGAATTCCAGACTTTAGCTAGTCTAAATTTAGAATTTTAGGTGTAATAAATTTTTTTACGAACCTTACAGTTTTGGAGTTATTTTTAAATGAATACGGCACACAATTGGAAATTAATTTTCCTCCAAACTTTCCTCAAGGAACTTTCCCTGTGATCTAGTTTGAAACAAGTAAGTTAGGTTTATTAGTACTTTTGCTATAATAATGTTCACGTCAAAAATAATAGGTTACCTATAGATGTAGAGAAGAATAAAACATAGTTAAAATAGTTAAGAACCTGTGGGTATTTGGTATTATCATTTAAAAATTCTTTGACAGTATAGTAAGCTTTTCAATAACAGTTTCCATTACATATTTGAATTGATAGTAATTAAGATTACTGAATATTTTCGATATTGGGTTAAAAGTTTTTTTGCTAACGTATCTAGGCAATTTCTCATTCTCAAAAACAATTAATAGAGGATTTTCTACGCAATATTTTAAGCGAAAGAGTAAATTAAAACCATGACGTTGAGGAAATCCACATGCGCGTTTTTTTAAAGATCTAAAAAAAAACAAAAAAATATTCTTTCCTACGATGTACTCGTTCAACATACGAATTATTAGAATATCCATATGCAAATATTACATTTTTGCATGAAACTCGAATTCGAAATATATGCAATTTACTTCATTAACTATGTAAAAATTCCTCCCGAGCGAAACGCGAATTATTATTAACCCAATGGAAAAGAATCCTTTTTGATTTGCATTTCACTGAAGGGTTCTTCATTTATACTCATAATGTTCCAGTAATACAAGCGAAGACCCGGCTCTCTTTATTAAGTAAACCCTTTTATTTCGGGCCTCCTTCGCTCGCCTCTCCATGTTTACTCTGCCGGAGTATTAGGCGTAGATTAAGGATGTGTGTTGTATCAGAACTCCGTTTTATTCGCGAATCTTCCTCACTTTATTAGCACTGCTTCAGAAAATATTCGCGCGAAAATGGCGCGGAAACGATTCGAAATAGGTTCGGCGTTTGAAATCAAGTTGCAAGAGAATGCAGGGTGAATTGAGACGGCTGCAATTGAGCTGTTCGCGTCATGAGCGAACTTGGGGCAGTAAAACCGGCCAAATGAATCGTAAAAACGGGACCAATCTCCGTATGCTCGATACGGTTGAAGTCTCCTGCTAGGAATCATAGATAAACAGCGTCGGATTTAGTGGAAATTGCAGTTGTTGCTCAAACAGTTTTGGCGAAAAGAAAGATTTTTCTCTGTGAGTGATCTCTCGGAAATTTGTCTCAGTAGTTATTATGGGATCTTTTCTACATTCTTTTTAATTTCAATAACCTTCCTGCAGTCTAGTCATATATGCCTTTAAAAATTGATTGTATTGGAGGTCAACGAAAACTCGCTATAACAACAAGTTCGTAAAAACCCTCATGCCGGAACAGATAAGAAGTCGCGCCCTTTTTTACTGAAAAACGTAAACAGATTGTCAACTCCCATTTCACAGTGACTCTTTGTGTTCCCCCTTTTACGATCAATTTTATTTTTTATTTTTTATTTTTAGCGCAAGGACTCTCTCGGTTTTTAATCAATGCATAAAACTTTTCCGCTCTCTATAAAGGCGAAACAATGGTGCGGTAACGGTGCGGCTTCGTCAGCCGGAAAATATATAAAAACAGTTTTCATTTCTCGATATATCGACTCGACCTCATGAGTCGCATGGAGGTATAATTGCCCGCAGAACGTTTGCATCACGTCGGAATTGCGAATGGGGATCACGCACATTCCTGCTGCCTATCGATATCACAATACCGGGGCCGATCCGTTTGGATTTATACGGCTCATTTCGTTTACATGTGTATTCGACGATGCGAATAGCACATGTCACTCAAATTCAATAAAATCCTCTAGATTCATAGTGAATTTTCTGGTGAAAAACCGTGAATTATTTACTGATGAATTTAACCTTTTAAATACCTATAGCTTTTTAAAAATATTGGATTGCATTCAGCGCCTCTCGCCTCATTTTAAAAGTAAAAGTCGCGTCTCTAACTTGACAGTAAGTTTACATTGTTGTTATAGAGTAACTAGGGATTTTTTTACGTTAAAGTAGAGCCTTTTAGAGCCATGTTTAAGTTTAAAATGGGACGCTGGATACGGACCATTGTCTTTTAAACATCAATAATAGGTATGTAATTGCAATGTAGGTAGTAATTGAGCCCATCTTGTTTTTTACATTGCAAATAAATATGCTTCAAATCTACTTGTACACAAAGAGAACAAGAAAACAGTAGGCAGATAATTTGGAATACGACGTTATTGGCTGGCGGTTTAGGGGCCCTTCTAAGCAATTTTTTACAGATAAAATTACAGTATAAAAGTCTCGGAATGTGGATTTAAAAAAAAAATTAATAACGTAGTTTCGACATGTTGTTTGCCGATCTCGTATAAAAGAGATTGGTACATAAATAAAGCGCGGAATATTATTTCATTTGGCTTAGAAACATAAATATTTCGCGAAATATCCCTTCGAGTGGGAATCGAGCGCCACTAAAAAACAGTAGTATATCGTTCTAAAATGAACCTCATTTTTTACATTCTCCACCGGCGGGTTCCAAGTACCCGATGTAATTGGAAAAATCCGATGGAAAACAAAGCTTCCATTGTTAAGCGCCGATTTCAATCGACGCCAATCCTGAAAAGTCCGTCTACTTCTTGAAACGACCTAATTTATTTTGCTAAATTGGTGGTTGTCTGGTTACTGGATTAGCCGTAATACGTAATCGCATCATCGGCAGTCGGATAACCCTTCCCAAGTTCGGAGAGGTCAATTGAAAGACTCGAACATTTCCAACTCACGTTATTTAAATTGAAAGTAGTTTTTGAAATTTGCAGAGACAAGTTGTGCTGTACTCGTCTGCCTGCCATGCACCGGCCGAATATAAATGATTCCTTTGTTTCCAGGAGTTGCGTTGGGTCTATTACGTTTTTTCAATTTTGACGAGTTTTTGTGCCTGCAGCAGCAGTTTATTTAGAACCAGCTTTTATATCTATAATCGAATACAATTTCAGTTCCCACTTCCCTTCGCAGGGCCGGAAATTTGCTTTGCTAAAAGGACAGCGGTTATAAGAATCGATAAATTCATTAATCCCCTTTCACGAAATAACTGGAAGTTAGAGGGTGTGAAATAAGTGAAAGTCGGAATAAGTAAAATGCTCCATCCGACCCGAAAGCTTCCAGTATTTCCTCAGCAGGTTTGGCTTTACGTGTGTAATTCCCCCGTTGTAATGAAGCGAAATTGCCGGCCTGCGACCGTCTCCCATAAAAGGGCCTTTATGGGGCGATTTCGCCGGTTAAATACAAAAGTTGATTTGTGTCACCCTTCACAACTTCACGCTTTGGTTTATATAGTCTACTCAACTGCTACTTCTAATAACTACGGAAATATTCCTTTTAGAAAGAACGAGTTGATGCAATTAACACCTGTATGCCACGACAAAGAAATCTTTCTGTGGTGTGCAATAAGCAAAAGGGCCGGATCTCTTCAAAAGCACTGACAGTCCATTTTTGGCGAATGGCCCATCAAAGAAAAAGCGCGCATAGAAAGCTTCGCAGACTAACCCCGAGATGATAATCCTGATATATTTCCTCGAGTCCGAACAATAAAATTGTTAGATAAATTTCGCTCCGTCTCGGAAGCTTTCGTCGAGGAATATGATTTTTTTTCGGGTTGATTGTCCGCTTTTCCTCTAGGAAGGCACGGTCTGTGGGCGATATCTGCAAGTAAACAAATAACAATGGAAACGGCAACGACAATGAGATCGGGAACTGGATTGCGGATTATCCTTCAAATAATAGTTAACCTTTGTTAACTGTTTGGTTTCTTATAGAAAGTACCCAGGCGACTATTTTTGTAAATGAAACTTCTTCCAATGGCATGAAGTTGGCATTAAATCCGACTGTAAGGTAGATTTCTTTACCTCTAGTCTAAGATGTATAAATACTACCCTAGAGTCTCTTTGAAATGGCTCTCTTCATTAGTTAATTGGTTCTTGATTTCAAGTACTCTTTACTTACTCGCTATTTTTTTGCATTGCACTCTCCTGAGTAGATTCGATTTTCTTAAGAGCTCATCATAAAAAGCTTTAAAGAAAAGCTCTTCAAAGAACAAATATATTAGAAAATGCCATTATATTAATGAATGTGAACAAATTATTTTTTAATTGGAATTTTTAATAGAAAACTAGTACGTCTTAGTGAAATACAAAGTGTCGTGCGAGTAAAGAATTCCTTCGTTGATCAGGAATAAAAGTCTGTAGGGAAACGTAATAAGAAAATCTCTAGAAAAATCTAATAATCGAGCCTTCAAAAAACTACCCGGAATTGCGAGAATTTTCCAAGCAAAAAGAAAAAAAAAATCAGCCGAGTAAATCGTCTTCCACGTCTCTAATAAGTTTCTGATATATTATATCGATAATGTAATAATCTTAATCGTCTTTTCGCGGAAAAAGGAATTTTCTCGTCATTGATGAATCTTCCTTCTACGTCAACTCGAAAAAAAAACTGTCCACAATTGTAGCATTAATATTACCATCGATTTCGTGTCAAGATGGCAAATATTTGAGATTTTTCCGTTGAAAACTGAACATAAAGGTGATTTTTTTAATAAAAATTCCGATGTAATACTGTCAATGTTTGCACTTGAAAATAAATTAAAATTTTGAGATATTGATTGTAGAATAAATACCCACCTACTTAATTTATAAAACGCTCGATTGTGTGAATTATAAAATGCTCAAAGTTGCTGAATGTTACAGGAAGCCAATTTATTTCCCCTAAGATTTTATCAAACAACAGTAAAGAATAAAAATTGTTTTATAAATAGATATTTTCACAAGTTTTTATTCTACTAAACTCGAAAACACTATCCGACATGACTTTGAAAGTTCTCAGTTTAGTGTGATTTGAAGAAGAACCCTGCAGGTTTGCCCTTGTTTCGAGTTCGACTACACCCGATAATATTAATTGGATGAAAATTAATTTTCTTTGCGACTGTCTCGCTCAACCTTTCAAATACCTACGTCAGATCGGGCGGCGGATCTTTCAAAGACATCCGAAGGAGCTTCCAAATTTATTCTAAATTGTTTCAGACCTCAGCGTTGCCTCGCGTTCGGCGTCCATTTCGTCTCTCGAATTCAATTTCGAGCGGAGTTTTAAAAATTACTCCGCTAATTTTCGTTATGACTGTTCGGTTAATGCGAGAAATGAATTCCGTTAGTCCTAATGGAAGAATTGGCGGAATTAGCTGCACCGTGTACGTTGTATTAACCGAGTTTTCGTGTTAATGAAAGTGCAAGAGAACATTGGATGAGTTTTGAACTAAACTATGTTTTTAAAACGCTTTTATGGCAACTAGAATATTTTAGGGGCTCATTTTATTCTTGTGTTGGCTTCCTGAAATATCTAGTAACTTGTTGTAAATTGTAAAGGGACTTGATTTTGGAACGGAAAAAATTGAATATTGCAAGATGATTGAATTTTCTTTTTTCGTCACAAATATACAGATATTGTGGATCCCATAAGCTCCCTGAAGTGTAGGAAATAGAGTTATTTTCGAACTGGAAAATATGATCAATGTTGAGCATAAATCGGCAAATTTAATTTAAAATAATAAGACAATTAATTACTTTTTTGACTAAAAAAAAACGGAGCTCGTGCGAATCAGAAACGATAAGTAATTCAGGACTCTTAATGCATACTTAACTGTACAGACGAATAAATCGTGACTAAGAAAATTGAAATAGGATTTTAAGTTATTTTACATCGATTTAACATAAATTGAAATATAAAACACGACTCGAATTTTTGTCTCGTTTTTCTGTCAAAGCGACCGTCACGAAAATCAAATAATTTATTACACGAATAAAATACTTTTAAGAGCAGAACTACAAAAAAATAGTTACAAAAGACGTTATAAAAGATTCTGTGTAAAGTATGATGTATAAGGATAAGGATTTAAAAATTAGGGTAGTAGTTTCCCTGGTTGTTTGTTGGTGGTAAATTGCAACATTTACTTAGCAATCCCTTGTAAACATTAGTGTATTTAAAAAAATATTTTTTTGGGAAAATAAGTCAAGTTATGTTAAGAAAATGTCACAGTTCTGTTTGCTCCCCATGGGCATTTTTAAACGAAAATTCTATTATCTTTGTGTTGCTGTGAAAGCGAAAGTTGTTGATTTAGACTGTCACAAAAATGTGTTTATTATTTCGAGAATTATGTAACATATGAAAAAAAATTGAAATATTAGTTATTCACTTATTTCGGCACTTTCAATATCCATATAAAACATATAACAGCAGACTTTAGGGCTTGTTTTTCAAAATAGGACGCCGATTGAATTAAAAAGGAAAAATTTGAAAGAAATAATGTGTCAGAGAATCGAAAACAAATACGTTTTTTATACCACTATCAGTAATATTTTATTTTGTATTAAAATTTTATTTTCGGTTGGTAGAGCGACAGAAGAATATTTATAGAATACGGATGATATAAACATGGTTTCCTTAAAGTTGGCGACATTAAGAGGATATTAACCCCGGCATTAAGCCGATATATTAGCTAACACGTTATTAAACAACCACGGATAGCAGAAATTCTATCACAAATAGTCGACATTTCACGATTTATGTATTCGCGAGATGAATGCGCCGCTGAAACGTGATCAGAAAAGCGTACTAAGAAAATTAATTACACTATTTCCCCCTTAGGAGCGTCACCTCCGAATTCTGGAAATCATTTTGTCTTACAACTTCGTCATTATGAGTAGCGCGACTTCCGCTTCATTTCGCTTTCTTAACTTCGCGATTTGCCGAAGTGTAAATCCCATTTTGGATTTCAATTTGTAGTTTCCGCCCGGGTTTAAACTAATCAATTCCGAGGGGTCGAAACACTTTTGCGGATGGGAATTAGTCGAGTGTACCTTTAGAGTTGAGGGCGGAAATCCGCAGAAGTTTGCTCTAATATTATTCCGGTAATGTACGTATAAACGCGTGGATACATTAATACGGATAACGATAGTGTTGTTATTTGGAAGTTGCTACTTGCATGTGTATTTTGTTTTTAAAATAATTTCACTGTGTTAGTTTTAATGGAAGTTGCTCCGGGGAAATATCAGTAATTTATTATAACAGGAAATAATATTATACATTAAATTCCTATAATCAATGCTAGTCGGTTTAGCTACATAAAATTTACAAATACACAATGCACAAAATAACAAACCTATTAAAAATAGGCTATTACACTTCTATAAAACCTACTGTACATATTTAAAGAAAATTTCGAAATACGGCAAATTTTAATTGTAATTTGACATTTCTCAACCTATCTTCAACCGCCTTCGAAGGACAGTTACAAACCCATTTTTTTGAAAAGAGAAGTATAGGCTTGTGATATATTGTTTGAAAGGTCTCTTCATTCTCTATCCAAAAATGTTATTAGTAGATGTGCATTAGATGCATAGTAACCGAAATAATGAATTTATTCCATTTGGCGTTTCCACCCTGTATATAGTAAAAAAAGTTGAAAATATTTTCTTACAGAAACCTACAACATTGAATATCCTTTACTCCTACATTTTCAGATTTCTAACTCTTTAGGATCTCCTATAACTTCTAATGAACGGTTGAACGGTTTCCTTGAAAAGCCCTGTATTAAAGCGACTGTTTCCATTGGAAAAGGCTCAAATACTTAATTTACCATAGAATTTTCATTTTCGCCAATTTGTCCACTTGTAACAAAATAACGTTCCTCGACTTGAAAGGACATTTGTAAAACTTGATACAACGAGAACATTAATTATAATTACACGTCACTGTTTCCTTTCGACGAAAGTTTGCTCAAGTAGCGGAAAATGATTTAGTGACCCTTGAACCCGTCGTTAAGGGTCATCGAGAAATTTCCATAGCTTTATTAATTGAATTTCAGCAATTCAATGCCTAAAAGTTCGAAATAAAAAATAGCGCGACAATGAATTAAAATAGAACTAATACAATGAATGATATCGTGAATGTAGTGTAGTTACCTAATGGTTAGTACATACATAGTGTTTTCTTGAGTGAGTGTATGAACTTTGACTAGAAAATCCAAAATAATTCTGTAACATATGGTAGGTACGATTACCATTAGAAATTCAGCGTTACTGAAATAACAAGATCCAGTATGGTAGATACTTTGGTAGTATCATAGAAATTTTTTCAAGTATTCGTATATGATTATGAAACATTCTGTATTATATTTTAATGAATTGTTTTGAAATGTCACGAATGAGTTAAAGTCTCTCACCTTATAAAAGTAGAAGGAATTTAATTCTCTTTTGAGAGGTCTGGATGCATTGACGTTTGCTGATGTCCACCATGAACTGTGGTTTGAGTCGTCTGCCGGTCGTAAAAATAATGGCGAAATCGTGGTTATGACGTCGTGACTCGCTTGATGAAATTCGTTGTTGTTTTTCAGAAGGAACTCCAAGAAATAGCCGGTGTTCCTCACATCGGGCACTGCGGAGGAGCCTGCCATCGTTCACGCGGTATCTAAACCTGCAGCAGGAAAATACGGCTGTGTTAATACCTACCGGTGGATAAAAGAGTTTTTGATGTTCCGATATTGACGAGAAATTTTTTCAATTACGCCGAAAAATTCTTTCACATCGGCTAATGTATTCGTTTAGAATTTCCTCAAGGACGCGTTTATTACTTTCTTGACTTAGGCTGATACATTTCAAAGGATTTTTCCTTTCACTGCCTCAGACTAACGAGGTTATACTTCAGCTTTTTTTTTCCTCAAATCGACATATTAAGAAAAATTACGCGAGAGAAAACGCGAAAAATTCAATTTTCAACCTAATTGGCCGTTTTATGTGTTTGCGTAAAGCTCTACAAAAGCTCCAGCTGAACCAACCCATTTTTATACAGTATCATAATAAGTTTTTAATAAATACACATCGAGCTCGAGCTGCTGTCTGTCACTCGTCCCTATATGAGGACACTGTTATTAGGGAGAAACATATCGTGCACGTGCACATGTAGGAAAAATACTTTTTTTTCGTAAACAATAGCTCACAAAAGAATAATGAAGGAATTTCGAACAACGGTAGCTTTTCGAGCCAACAAATACAATAGAATATAAAAGCACGAGAAACATTCATGTAGGTGTACGCATGGGTTTCGAATATGCTGATGATTAAATAAAACGTTGTCAAAATGAAAACTGTAGCATATATACTACATTCTTTCAAAATGTCAACAGTAATAACTAGAAAATGTTAGATGATCGCAGTGGAAGCTTAGAACTATTGGATCTGTATACACACATGCATCATGCACAATTGATATATGTATACAAAATTGTTTTGTTAAAAATGTACATATGAATATTTTATTATATCTACATTATATGTATATTAGAAAGACAATCTAAAAATTCACGAAGCAAAGCTTTTGTGCCATTTAATAATGCTATTTCACGAATTCCTTTAACACATCTAATATTAAAGGAAACACCTTTACTTTGTCATACCGTGGGATCGCACAGTACATTTCTCTTTGTATTACAGACAGGTAAACACAATTCATATTGCGTTGAAATTGCGAACTTCAAAAGTAAATTACAGTTTGTTTTTGTAACACCATTGGATTATCATGTGGAACAAAAGTTGTCCTACGTCTCATACCTTCAACTATCATTTTTGTGGTGGTTGTTTTCCTAATTTTTTCTCATCTAAAAAGACAGGGAAAATGTATTTTCACACCAAACCTTAGCCCAAAAAATTCATTTTTATCCACAATTAGCTCGAAATGGTAGGTCATAAAAGGACGAAAAAGAGCAAAATGTCAAAACGTTAACAACATAGAAAGTCCTTACAAGACGCACAAAAGGAGCGATAAAATAATATTTAATTCATGAATAAGACATTAACAAAAATTTCTAATCCTATGCCTTGCAGGTGTTTATTAAATCGAGTCATAAATCATCCAGAAAAACTGGTCAAAATCTCTAAGTTTAAATCTGTGTAACAGTCGTTTACATACTAGAAAATTATTTGCTTCGTTACCTGCAGCTATTGTAGGATAATAATATAATAACAGCTTATTATTAAACTACCAAGTCGACCGGTAATTTCATAGCTATACGATTACTGTCATCTGCACTCATTAGACAATGATTTGTTGACTCTTTCACGCACACGCAGGCGATCTTTCTCTCATAACAAATTACATATTTAAATTATAGTGATTTTTGCTCCATCGTTTAATCCACATTCGATATGCAATAATATTCTAATTCTTGCCTAGGAAACCAATCCAACTGCTTCTTAAAACAGGCAAAATTTAAGGTTAAAAGTGAACGTAAACGAGAAATAAAATCCATTCCTGAAAATGCGATGGTATTCCAACTAAAAACGTTTTGCAAAATTCGCATGACAACTCTAACATTGTAACGTATAATTAAAGTAATAGGCGCGCATAATGTCGTAAGCAACAACGCGATATTATAATTTAATTATATGCAAAGCGAATAAAAATTTTAATTTGCAATTGCAGTTCAGTTCAATTGCGATTTTCTTCGCACGAATGTTTATTTCTTCAATGTGAGAGAAATAAGATTTTTCCTACATGCTTGAATTGATAGATACTAAAAATGATGAATTTAATTAATTTCTGAAACGTTACCTACATGTATGTATGTAAGTATACTTCCATAAAATCGAATATTGAATTCAAAGGAATAAGAGAGTATTACGCGAATGAATCTTCCATAAGACCTCATTTACAAGGATCTCATTTGTCTGCAGATAGCATTAGTGTAATTTTAGGCAAATATCTAATGGTACCTACATAAATTGAAAATTACTTTTTTTCTGCGGCTTTCTTTACAGCACAGCCATCTAGAATAATGCGATCCCATTTATCCTCTTTTTTTGTCGAGGCGGCGTTAAAATTGCGGAGATTAACCTATCCTATTCGTATTCTCTTAAATAAATCTTATTTACACCGCCATTTATTAATTACAAACCCATTTCAATATCTCACGCTTATCAGAATGTAGGTAAATAAAGTAAACAAAAACCTTCATATAAAAGCTTTCCAATGTAATAATAAATTGATGAGAATGAAGAATCATTAAAAAATGAAAAAACCTTTAAAAACAATCAATTATTGCTTGATTGTGAGATGATTGCATTATTTAGTATTTGGTGTATCTCCTATACTGAATTAGGAGTAAAATACACCCTGTTAGGATGCATTTCGCCCACTATCCAACGCCATTGGAATTCAATTCCCATACAATCCATCACCGCAAACCGTTCGGTATTTATAAATTCACCGGATTATGTCCGATAAGCCCGTTTGGCAAATCGTACGGGCTTAAAATCAACGTTATTTCTGTCCAGTCGAACGGCTCGAATTTTTCGACTGGCGCTTTTCGTTTTTGCACCGGCGAAAAACTTCCAAGCGTCCCAAAACTAAATTAATCTGGCCCGAATGTCTAAATGAAAATAACAAGCTCGGTAACGAGCCTGATTAAGCGCCAACGTCTCGAATCGTTTTCATTATAATAAATCTAATTAGATGCGATTTATCGGAAACGGGGCCCGCGTTCTGCTAATTTTACGATGACAGTTTATTAAGCCGGGACACTGGCGTTTCAACTCTCGCTGGTTTACATATTTATAGACAACTAGAGGCTATAAACAGCCCTACATTCGTTGCACAGTTTCATCGTGATGAATGTGTTAGATTAAATACATTGTCTAATGTAACTAAAATTTATAAAAAAAATCGAATTAAATACGCTCCTGTTACATCTAAATTCTTCTGATAGGTTATAGAAATGTCGGTTTAAGTTGTAGATGACTTTAATAGAGGACCGATTCTGTGGATGTTTATTAAATTCCCGTAAGACGAAGGAAACGGTCCCCGAGTTATCTAATTGTAAGCCGGAGTTAAGCGAACAACAAATTATATTACAGTTATCCGGGAGAGGCAATAAAACAACATTAACACAGAGAAGTAAGATGTAGTGTTTCGCGGGCCGAGGGTCCGTGAAGCAATAAAGGAAAAAGGGCGGAAAATTAGAGCCCGAGCGTTTTGTTTCGCCGGTTTCAGGTTCTGAGAATTGTTTTTTTCTAACGTGCCATCGTTTAATGAATTTTGACGCTTTTTTGTTATTGTATAAATGACTAACTCACTTTAACTCCCAAACCAATATCTCAACTTCCAGTAAAGAGCGATGAAACTTTTAAATTAATCGGGCAATTGATATGAATTTCCATTAGTGTTTGCGGGAGCATGACTTGACGTACAAATTATTTAACATTTTCTTCCGTTTACTTCTTATTGTCTACCTAAGCTTTTCAATTATTAAATATTTTATCTGAGCTCCCTCTGTTGTGCCTTAAAAAACCAATGCAATTTCAATTTTCATTAGTATTCAACGTAGCATTTGCGAGTTTAAAAACCAACTTATGGAAAGCTCAACTGTCCTGGGGTAGGTATTCCAAAATAATTTTTAATAAAACTTCAAGAATTTATGTATGGTAGAAAAATGAGTTGATATTAACACCTATCTGCATTAGATAATACATTAAAAACCATCATTTGCGCTACCTGGGGAACTTTTTCAATTCGCAACGGGTACACAGCGCAGAAACGTGCCGACAGTTATCGCGATTTATATGCAAATTTAAAAATTTGCAAAACGTGCGCCCGTTATAACGCGTGTGATGTTCGACGGCGATTCTTTTATTAATTTCCAGCTTATTAATATTAAACAGCGAGCGCGATCGGGCCGACGCGGCAAGGGAATTCCGTCTAAACGCGCGTATTAAAAAAATTAATACGATGCGGCGTGTGAGATATTACTTCCCGAGAACTAAGAAAATCGCCGGTATTCTATACTTTATCGAACGGACGCAATTTATACGAGCGTTACTTTAAATGGAGACCGGATTTTTTGCAGCGAACTTCTAACATGGGATGTAGGTAATAGAGTTTTGCTTTTCTCGTTGATGCGACGGTTTTCTGTTCGTGCCTGTTTCGGTGTTATGGCACAAACGGCTCGAATTGATAAATTACATTTTTTCTATGAGGGTTGCCCCCTATAACTTTAGAAAGTTACAGTTTAATTGAATTTTTTTGAACCCAAAATCAAAATCACGATGACAAGTGGTTTATTATAGATGTTACGTGACAAATGGTGTTTAATAAGAATTAAAACAAATTTTAATAAAAAAAATCGAGTACTTAAAAATATTATAAGTTGAAAAATGGTAAAGCCAACAAAATAATACCTTTTAATTATTATCTTAATTTTAATGGATGACGATTTTTATAATCAAATATTAAACAATCGTTTTATAAAAAATACTTCACATACAAACTTTTACTAATCAATCATAAACTGTTAATTAAGAATTGTCAAACATCATTTTCTCAATAAATACCCTAAAGTTTTTTTTTTTTCAATTTCTCGCGAAACGCAATTAATAGCGATTAAAATTTCACATAGCTGGGATGAGTTTTGCGGAAAGAATTTC